AGATCATAACGCCCATCTCAAGTAGTTATGCTAGCCCGGTGGTTTTATGTAAGAAAAATAATGACTTATCCTTTGGAGCATCCAAAAAGGTGGAGATTCGCTATTGATTACCGTAAATTAAACTCCATAACGAAATATCCGGTATATCCGTTACCGATTATAGAAGAAAGAAGAAATTCTAAGGAACATAAAATCAACCAAATTTATGACGACTTTAGACTTAACGACTGGTTATTTTCAAATAGGGGTTAGGCCTGAGGACGTGCCTAAGACTGCTTTTATAACCAAGTCTGGCACTTATGCATTTTTGCGTATGCCGTTTGGCCTTTCAGGGGCCCCGGCAACATTTCAGCGATGCATGGACATTGTGTTAAGACCTGTTCTTGGAAAGTCCACATTTATCTATTTAGACGATATCATTATTACTAGTGATAATCTCGACCAACATGTACAGGATTTAAGACAGGTGTTTTCTTTATTAAATGAGGCCGGTCTAAAAGTTAATGTCGAAAAGTGCAAATTTGCAGCCCCTGAATTAAAATATTTAGGTTACAAAATATCTCAAAAAGGGATCGAGACAGATGAATCAAAAATAATCGCTGTACAAAAGTATCCGACTCCAAACACGGCAAAGAAGCTCTCTTCTTTTCTAGGACTTTGTTCATATTATAGGTCCTTTATAAAAGATTTTGCAGGCTATCGCTGAGCCATTGTTAAAATTAAAAAGGAAAAAGGCAAGATTCTCGTGGACGGCCGAAGCCAATAGTGCTTTCGAAAAATTAAAACAAGCATTAACGCAAGCCCCTGTGTTGAAATTTCCTGAAAAGGATGAGAATTTAGAAATTTCAGCGGATGCTTCGGATTATGCGGTAGGAGCGGTACTTTCGCAAAATCAGCAGCCCGTGGCATTTTTTAGCCGAACTTTAAATCAAACACAAAGAAACTATTCCGCGACCGAGAGAGAGGCACTTGCAGTTCTGTTAGCAGTGCAAAAGTTCCGAGTCTATTTTGGAAAGGCGCCGATAACAGTGTACTCTGATCATGCGGCGGTAACTAGATTGTACTCAGGGAAAAATTTATCCCCAAGGTTAATAAGATGGGCACTCAAGCTGCAAGAATATAATCTGGTAATCAAGCATACCCCCGGAAAGGAAAATATCGTAGCAGATGCCCTATCAAGAATTAAATTAGACGAACAAGTTAATACCGTAAAGGTGGCAATGCTCACAGCATGTACAATAAATTCCCGAGAAACTATAATAACCGAACTGGGTAAGGATCCTGAGTTTGGAAGTATTTATGAGTATTTGAAGGATCCTGAAAATTTTAGCCACCAAGATATTGTGGCGATAAGAAATAGGGCGGCCCATTACGAACTAATAGATGGTCTATTATTTTATACAAAAACTACGAATTCCAACAACGAATTTCGACCTGTTATCCCAGCTAGTCTTAGATTAAATATCCTGCAGGAGCTCCATGACAGCCCTTTAGCTTCTCATGCTGGTATTCGAAAAACTATCCAACGCGTACGCGAGGCAGTCTACTTTCCTGAACTGCAAAAGTTAACAAGGGCGTATGTCCAGTCCTGCCCAACATGTCAAGCAGTTAATTATATTAATTTCCGCCCGGCCGGGTTTCTAAATAGTATTAAATCCGAATTTCCAAATGAAATAATTGGCATCGATTTATTGGGCCCTTTCCCAAAAAGTCAGTTAAATAAAAGTCGCTATCTCCTTGTTATGGTTGATCATTTTAGTAAATGGACCGAAATTGTTCCCTTAAAACGAGCCTCCGCGAAATTAGTTACTGATTCTATTTTAAATAAATATATTTTAAAATACGGGGCGCCCCTAAAAGTTATATCGGATAATGGTCCTCAATTTGTAAGTAATATATTTGAAGACATGTGCCAAAAACTGGGCATACGTCATTTAAAAATGGTCCCGTATCGGCCGCAATCAAATATAGCGGAACGGGTCAATAGAAATATAGTGAAAATTATCCGTAGTTATGTTAAAAATTTTCATAAAAGCTGGGATAACTATGTCAATGAATTTGCTTTCGCCCTTAGGACCGCAAAACATGATACAACGGGCAAAACTCCTGCTGAGTTATTTCTAGGCAGAAAGATTATAACACCGTTAGATAAATTATTTTATGTGCAACAAAGAGCCCCAGAATTTAAAATGGGTGATATAGAAAAACTAATAAAAGAAGCAAAAAAGAATACGGAAGTAGCACAAAGAAAAACAGAAGCTCTATTATGACTTGAAACGACGGGGAGTAACTTATAAAGTAGGGGATGAAGTTTTAAAACTTAAAAATTAAGCATTCACTTTCTTCAGCACCAGAAGATAAAACTGCCAAATTTTTTCCACGATTTGAAGGACCATATGTTATAGAAAAAATAACTCACGCTGTAGTAGTGTTAAAAGCCAGAAATGGTGAAACCTGTTCCGCAAACATTGATCAAATCAAACCCTACTTCGATCGTAATAAAATGCAAATCTTTTCAGATCTTTTGCAGGATCCGGCACGGCAGACACCGCAGGTACAAGCTTCCAGAGGTGGAAAAACGACAAGTACAAGGGCAAGCCAATGAAGAGGCAGGAAGCAAGTGAAAAGAAAATTGCCCCGCGGAAAAATTGAAGGTAACAAGAAAAAGAAGCCGTTCCACCGTCCAGAAAAGAGAGTTCACGAACACCCCCAGAATGAAGAAGGGAGAAGGACGACGTATGTGAAGAGAACCAGGAGAAATGACGGCAACTATAACCCGGCTTTAAAACGGAAGATCTACTCATCCGACAGAACTCTCCGCAGCAAAAGTCGCCGAACTGCGGAAGGGCCATCAGCGGCGGAGGAAAAAGTTACAAGGAAAAATTTGAACGGCCAACAACGAGGTCCAAGCAGGAACACGACAGAAGTTTCCCGGTTCCGCCAAGACCAGCTGCCATTCAAACGGCCAAGACCACAAGCAGAGGAGAGAAAAAGAAGGTATTCAAGGGTGGCCGAACTGGTGAAAAAAGGAAGCTTCCAGAGGAAAGCACTGAAGGGCGAGCCCGTACAAGAAGGAGGATAAATCCAAACTACTATCTGCAGTACCTTTAAAGACTGGGCCCAGAAAAGGATGTCCGAATATTACAAAGATAAGTAAAATTTTATGTTACTTTGCAAACTTAAGTTAATCTTTCATTCTTACTGCAAGTGGCAGATTTCAAGAAGTTTTACCTCATGCGAGGTCTACCTTTATCGCCAAAAGGGCGAGAAATGAGTTGTGACCGATTTTCTATTATGTTTTTCAATTACTCGCGCGTAAAACTAAAGTTGATGTATAATAGCGTTGTGTAAAAAGACTTAAATATTGTAAAAAGTTATTGTATAAATTTTATTTAAAACATTCTAGCAAGAAAGAAGTTTTAGTCTGAAAGACTTTTTGAAATGTAGTTATTTCAATGTAGAAAGAATTGGCACTTGCTTTGAAAAGAATAGAAGTTAACAATGTACTACTAATGTATGTTTTCAAATGTGTAAAATTAACGGCATGTTGATATGTTCTTATATACAATGTGAACTGTTATTTTAAATGTTAAGAAATACCGTGATATGGTAAAAGTGAAAGTAATGTTAAAAAATTTGTTATTCGTGTGACTGTAAAGACTTAAATCATGGTGAATATGTGTTAAAGGTTGAATGATGTAGTTAGGCTCTCTGACGCTACACTTTAGAGTTAGCCACTTTCAGAATAGTACCTCAGGGTTTAGAGTTGAAATTAGGGTGTGTTAAGAGGTCTCGTTATGTTGAATTTTAACACGTTAGTGTTTTGATTGTAGGAGGAAGTGTGGAACACGTAGACAGAAACACATTCGTGTTTGGTGTTCTTTTACAACACATGTCAGAGAGCACGGGGAGAGATAATTAAAATAGTCATGAATGAAATAAGAATGTTAAGAGAAAGTATAATTCTATATGTTACTTGCCATTTCATTGTGTAACATTTCATTAAACTAGTTTTCCTTCCAGATCTCTGGAAGGAACCAGAATTGAATAAAAAGCTCCTGTTTAGATGCAGTACAGATGAAAAAAAAAATTGTTGTGTATCCTGGGAGCTGCTATTGTAACAAAATTTCTTTCTTTTAAATTTCTAGTTTCTAGCGAAGTTATGTTTGTAAAAGATTGGCCTCGCGTTAGATTCTAGAGCTAAAAGTTTTCAACAAGGTCGTTTTAGACCTCAGTTTCAAACTAATTAACTCTGGCGGGAAGTATGTAAGGATCTTAAGTTTTACTAACGTTTATTTTTATTTTAAATCTTTACTATCACTTCTTATTTTCTACTTCCGGCCAGAATTATAAGCGTGAAGGTTTTTATGCAAAGTTGTCTGGCGAACGCCAAGTATTTAAGTTGTGGCTTTTTGCCAAGCGAGAGAGAGGAAGCAGTGAGTTCGAAGCAGGCCGCTTACCTTAGAAGTTACGTAGTTGCTGTTTGCCTTCCAGGCCAGAGGTTTTAATCCTCTTGATAAATTAAACGTATTGTAGTGTTCACAGTCTCTGTACTACATACGCTTCCTGTTAATTATAAGGCCAATCTTCCACGTTTATTATTCTAAAGTTAAATTAGAGTTTAGTTTTATTTTGATATCTTTTACGTTAGACCCCGAGTAGGAGGGGGTCATTGTATTCCGAAGTACGGAAGTTATTGTATATAGAGAAAAAATAAAGGGTTTTGTATACCCTTCGTCTGTATCCTGTCTACTTACCACAATTAGTGAACATAGCTTTAGTAAGCTCTCTGTTCCGAGTCAGGTCCTTGTATGTTCCCGAAGAAGGTTAGAAGGAACATTGACCCTGATAAGAGTACCAAATTTATTTGTTCAGTTTAAGGAAATTCTCAATCACGAAATAATCCGAATTTTATTTTGAAATATATATTTTAGGAAATAGTTTAGAAAATTTTTGTTTGTGATTAAAGATTGAAATGTTTCTTTTTCACTTTACGATAGATTGACTGGCTTCGTTATATCAATGGACTACTGAATATTGGAGTTGATGAAAATGTAACTTTGCTTAATTTTAATCCAGACTATACCATCAAGTTTGCTGATTACATCACAAAGGTCGACAAAAAGTAAGACAGAATTTCATGGATGTATTAGTTTGTTTAATACCTGGCTAAACTTTTCGGGAGCTAAGTTACTTTTTTCTCTAATGATGTCACTGTCTGCAGTAGCTGCAAAAATATTAAAAAAGTAACCTACTGATGTTCAAGATGCTTACATCTTGATCCAAGTGTTGATTGGCCCCTGTATGTATTTAAATTTAGAATAGCCTTTTCAAATGAACCTTTTTAAGTACATGAAACTAAACCCGTAAAAATCAAATCGCTTAACAAGAACAAAGGACCGCCCAACGGGTATAATGGTTAGCGTCGCTGACTGCCGTGCCAAAGGGCCCGGGTTCGAATCCTGGAGAAGGTATGGATGGTTGCAAATGTACAGTGTTCGTACGTCATGGGGCACTCTGAATATGCGGGGAGCGAAAAATCCTCTCGAGAGGTTGGTGGTAGGGGAAGAGGGTGAGAGAGCCTCGGAGCCGGACTTTCAGGGTGCTCCCCTTTAAAATTGGGGACGGAACTGAGATAAATCGTTCTGTCACCTGTAAGATGCTCAAGGCTGTTGCCAACGACAGGAGTACACTTGCGCTCCTTGCCCCGAGGAATTTCGTGGGCTAACTGTAGATAAGAGAAGTGAGCATTAGCAACAGCAGTAGTATTGACAGTAGAGTTAGGGAATTAGAGTTAAACACTGCCATTGTTGTAGTTAACTGTAATATTATAATTTTTTTATTACTTAACTTACGAAAAAAATTTGGGACAACACTTTGAACTTATTAATAAAAGAAATTTCTAAACAATGTCTTATTAAGTTATCTGCTCATGAAATGAATATGATTGTTCGAAATCTTTTAAATAATATGAATAAATATTACCGCAATTAATTTTTATATTTTCCGTATTCTATTAATTATTTAAATAATTCACTATTTCATTTTAGATGATAAATGAAATACGAAATTCCTATAAGATACTAATTCTGTTCCAAATATCAATAAAAAGCCCATTTCGTTCTAGTTTGTCATACAATTCATGACCTTTGAGGGAATGACCAAATTTCACTTGCGTTTTTCATGTCTATGACTTCGTATATATATTAGATTTATATATAGTGTTTTTCTAACATAGATATTCTGACACAAAATCGAACTTTTTCTGAAATGACAGACCGAAAATTTCCGTATTTAGATTTGAGATTTTTGCAACTCAAATCATGCCAAAGTCTCAAGTTTCGTAAAACTCTAACAAGTAGGTTTTAAACAGTTAGCTTTCAGAATTTTAGCTCATTAATGTTAATTGAATTTGTTATACATTTATTAATATCTCTTTTTTTGTTAATTAATAGGTTCCTATAAATTAAGAATATCGCCAAGTAAATTGTTCTTGGCGCAAATGGAAAAGAACGAGCCAAGATAAATTTTTAAGTTTCTCCGTAACTTTGTTATAAAATTTTACAAAATTTAATATTTGAGCATAATTTGAGTCCTAAATTCGAAATATGGAAAGGAGCAAAGTCCATTCCTCGTCACATAGCGATACATACTTCGAAAAATATGCATCTCTATGTAAACCAGGAACTGACATTTAATCGATGGATCTACAAAGGAAATGGAGCATCGGCTCAAAGGAGCAGAACTTAAATTGCGTTGAAGCCCAATAGAGCCTGGCTCCAATACTTCTTAGATTTTGTCATAAATTCTAATTTTCGCAGCAGCGCACCACAGCCCTAAACAAGAGGGCTGCCGCTTTTCTTTTACGTTCTAAGGTATTTCTCCCGCCATCTTAGCGTGCCCTCGTGATGTGCTGGGAGCGTATTTCAGAGGTCCGTGGCTCGATTCCCGACGAAAGCATTGCGAATTTTTCACAACTTCTGCTTGCAGAAAAAAAAAAAAAAAAAAAAAAAAAACCTAATGTTTCTATAACGTAAGTGAATCGCAATTGCAGAAGAAAATTTTGTGGATCTCCATTATTTTATTTTAAATATAGGTAAGGCTTAAAAATCGATTCTAACGTCTGAATCTATGCCTGTCTTAGGATCAAAACTCATTCTCTGGAGGAGGCTGAGACTTTTAACCCTTTGCGGCACAGTGTGTCCGGTCTGGACACACCTAAAAATTTCCTTCTGTACGCACAGAAAAATTGAATGAAAAAGGATTTATAGGTTACTATAGGTTACTCTAAACCTTCTTTATTTATCGTAGATGGCAGCTCAACACAATATATTTTAGCCATGTTTAGGTTTTTAAGACCCTCATTTTTCTTCTTCCAGATCTTCCAGATTTTAGGGTATAAAAGGAATTGTTTGAAAAGAAATTTCTATGTTACTTTTTTGCTGTGTGCTAATCTACTTATTCTATTTTAGTTTTAAATTTTTACCTTGAAATCTTGCCTAAAATCAACGGCGAACCCTAGGTGTGCCCAGACCGGGCTCACCGATAATCTAGAACAACTGAGAGTCTGCATTCTTTGTTTTTCTGCATCTCATCGGTCAGTTCATTGACAACAATGCTCGTTTCAGCACTCGTTTCGAAGTTCTATTCATTTAGTGTACTCGCTTTGGGCACACCCACAGAATTAAAACGATAAGTGCTATCTTCACAAAATTTTACTTATGTACTCCTCTAGGCCTAATTAGAATGCCTACCCCCCTTTTTTTTAAATCAAAACTCCAACTTTAAAAGGTAGCGTGCCGGAAAGGGTTAAGGAATGAAAAGCCTTATCCACATGCTGCTGAAAGAGTAATGAATTGTAAGAACGAAGTAGCTTTCCGTTACCAAAAGTAATAGAAGCGATCACACCAGTCGTGCACGTTCACTGTGAGTGCCTTCTCACGGTAAAGAACCATGTGTCAAATACGGGAGGCAAAAAGTTTCAATTTAGAAATAATTCCTGAAATCTGGGGAAAAGGTTTTCTGCCACATTCTGCTTGACTGTTAGAATTATATAAACAGAGAGCGGTGGTGAAAAGATCTTACTTATTTTCATATTCACGCATCTCCGTTAAAATCTCATGCTATGGAGTACAATCTTCCAAGGTCTCATACTATTTCTAGCACTCTCTTTATTCTCATTAATGACGCTTTAGCCATTTCACCATGTTTGAACGGTTTTCTGAAAAAAGAATAATCCTTGTTTCTGCAATTCTTTGAAATATAGTTTAAGGGTATATAATGGAGAGTTTAAATTTAGCCAGAGCCCGTCTGAGCTACTTAAGAGAATTTTAGTGAAACTGTAATTCCAGTCAGAAGCCCAAATAAAACAAGGTCTGGCATTTTAATTTAACTATAAATAATCATTATTGTTTATATAGTAATTTAACTTTTATTTTTGAATTTTTAGTCCAAAGGGGCTTTGTCCCTGAGGGACTACTGTTTTCGTTTTTCGATTTTGCGTCGAATCACTTTGGATGTCCGTTTCACTTTTCCAACTGTTGCCACCCAATATTATCGCCCTGTATTGTATTTCAAAAAATTAAAGAATGAGGAATCTGCATAAATGTATATATGTTTCTCGCATTGTGATAAAACAACGGTACCTAGAGCCATCAAATTTTGAATGACGTAATCCGACTGCGAATATCGGCATCTGGAATCCCAAATTTGAAATTTGGAATTTGTTTATTATCAATTTCATGTTTTGTAAAACTTTGATGAATTTTTTATGAACAAACTCAGAGATTTCAAAGCGAGCAATGGCAACGTTGAACAGAAAAAATATTTTTGTCTGCAGCGCATGAGACTGTAATCGGAAATTCTAAAGATACGCTCAATTTAAAATTATTTTGCGACATTGCTCTTGAACTCAATTTTATGGTTTAAGTGCGAAGAACATGATATTTAGTAAATAAACGCAACACACAAAATGTTAAGAAAACGCCCCTGTAGACGTAATTTAAAATCTGAAACCTTTCAGATTTTTAGTCCAAAGGGGCTTTGTCCCTGAAGGACTATTGTTTTCGTTTTGGCATTTTGCGTCGGACTCATAAACGTCGGTTCACTTTTCAAACTGTTGCCACAAAATGTTAGAGTCCTGCATTATATTTGAAGAAATTAAATAATGAAAAATCTGCATAAATGATTGTCTATTTCTCGCATTGTGATAAAACAATGGTACATAGAGCCATCGAATTTTGAATGACGAAATCCTACTGCGAATATGGGCATCTGAAATCCCAAATTTGGAATTTGTTTTATTATAGATTTTATATTTTGTAAAACTTTAACGAATTTTTGATTACAAAGACTCAATGGATTTAAAAAGCGAGCAATGGCAACGTTCTATATAGAAAAAAAAATACTTTTATCTCCAGCTCGCGAGACTCTGTATATCGGAAATTCTAAAGATATGGCTCGTAATTTAACAATTATTTTGCGATATTGCTCTTAATTAAGCAACAATCTTAAGCTGAATTTTATGGTTTAAGTGCGAAGAACATGATATTTAATAAATAAAGGTAACACTCAAAACGTTAAAAAAACGCCCCTTTGGACGTAATTTAAAATCTGAAACATTTCAGATTTTTTTTTTTTATAAATTTTTTTTATTGATTTATTTTTTCCCTCTTTCTTAACGGCCTTCCATAGGGCTCCAGCATTTCTGCTTTTAGAAATTACGCCCTACAAAGGAGGAATTTGAGAATTGTTCTATGTGTTCTATTAACTCTACTTCCGCAGGTAAAATGCCTATTGGAGAATTCTTCTTTTATGTGACATCTCATACCGTTCAAAAATCGCACAAGTTGTGGTAAGTTACGGTATAAGAACGCTTCTGCTTACAGCTTAATACTACCCACTCCACATGCTATTTCTGGGTACACACTCTTACAAAATTACATTTTTACTCCATTACATTTTTGTCCACTCAACCTGCCTTTACATTTTTGATCAAATCCTTTTAATCACTGTTTATAGGACTGTTTATAATTACAGAGTATGTCTTTGCACTCACGGGGTCGGTTGACTCGGAAATGGATACTTGGTACTTATTAATGTAAACTCTCACCAATCCATAGGAGATATATAATAAATTTGTAAAATTGAGTTGCAGAGCCAACTTATTTCGTTCCGCTGTACATTTTCGCCAGATGTCTTTGAATCACTCAGTACACATTGTTTAATTGGAGCTTATTGGCGCACGAGCTTTTGTTATCCGTTGTAGCTCATTGTGAGTTCAAAGTACTGAGATATTTCCCGGTTAGCTTCGCTCTTTAGATGCGCTTTGCACTGTGTTCTGTTTAACATCCTTAGTAGTTTGAAGCGTAACTACTGATTTTACTATGGGGATACAATGCAGAGTTATACGGCTATTTTTGTGGAAAGTTCCAGAACTCTGAAGTGTTTCCTTAGATAAAATAAATTTTATCGACTTATCATCGGATCTGTGGGCATTCAGGCTATCACAAACCCATACTCACGCCTTTAAGTGTACGTTCAAAAGTCACAATATAATAATATTGGGCATATAAATGTAATATATTGTATACAGTTTGAAGATTATGTCTGTGTACTCAACTGAACTTCTGAAACGAATGCTTTTTAATTTAATTCTAAAACTAAACTCTCATTTTCATTAATCTATACAAGATGCAAAAATAAATTTGCAAAATCTAAAGTCAGGAAAAGTAATATCTTAATAGAGACTATAAAATTTTCAGGGCTGAAGCAGTTCTTTGTGAAGTCGCAGTTTCTTTTTCCGCATTCAAGTAGTTCTGAAGTTCTTTAAAATGCAGTAGATACCATTGTCTTGTATTTCCCGTGTTTTTTTTTTAAATCACGCAAAAATCTCTAGCCCCCATGCAGAAAAGACCAAGAAAGTCAAATTAAAATTTAATGAATTTGAAAGTGTAATGGTTCATCGCTTCTCGTTACAGGGTCGTGGCTAACTACATGATGTGGAGAGTTGTTCTAAAATCATTTCCTTACTTGTCGAGTAACTGGACCATTCTATCTCAGGAATTTATCTCAACGTCCACAGAGCAAGTAAAAGAAAAGCCACTTTGGAAAAAATGTATTTCTAATGTCTTTAGCGAAATGGAAATGGTCCTGCATTCTTACTATGTGCGACATTATTTCAAAGAAGGAAGTAAGGATGTGGTAAGGCCCAAACTCTTTGAGCTATAAATTCATATAGTGTACAGATAAAGCCATAGTTTAAAAGGCCATAGGGCGACGTAAAATCTGCCAGGAGGGTCGGGCTGCATCTCTCATATCATATCATATCATAGTGTGCAGATGCTTCAAAAATGATTGACAAACTTTAAAAAGTGCCAGCCTTTTTCCAGCTAGAAGCCCAAATGAAACAAGGTCTGGCATCTTAATTTAACTTTAAAAATTATTATCATTATTCATATAATAATTTAACTTTTATTTGTATATTTACCTTTTTAAAATTTTAATTTAGTTATTAGTCCGAAGGGGCATTGCCCTTGAGAGACTATTGTTTTCGTTTTGCGATTTTGCGTCGAATCACTCTGAATGTCCGTTCCACTTTTCAAACTATTTAGCCAAATATTATCGCCCTGTATTATATTTGAAGAAACTAAATAATGAAGAATCTGCATAAATGTATGTTTCTCGCATTGTTATAAAACAACCTTACCTAGAGCCATCGAATTTGTATACCCCCGTGGTTGATTTATTTTTATCAACCCCATTTTATCAACTTGTATACCCCCGTGGTTGAGACTGCCTAGGTACAAATCCTAAGCAGTACTTCCCAGGCGTTCTCCTGAGTCAACGACCGGGGGGAACGTTTAGGGACAAGAGCTTTAAATCGGAGAGGTAAAACGTTTTGGGATCAGACAACCAAGTACACTGAAGTGACAAAAGTCATGGGATACCTCCTAATATTTTGTCGGTCCTCCTTTTGCCCGGCGAAGTGCAGGAACTCGACGTGGCATGGACTCAACAAGTCGTTGGAAGTCCCCTGCAGGAATATTGAGCCATGTTGCCTCTATAGACGTCCATAATTGTGAAAGTGTTGACGGTGCAGTGTTTTGGGCAAGAACTGACCTCTCGATGATGTCCCACAAATGTTCGATGAGATTCATGTCGGGCGATCTAGGTGGCCAGATCATTCGCTGGAATTGTCCCGGTGACATGGCGCATTGTCATCCATAAAAATCCCATCGTTGTTTGAGTACGTGAAGGCCATGAATGGCTGTAAGTTATTTCCAAGTAGCTGAAGGTATCCATTTCCAGTCAATGATCAGTTCAGTTGCACCAGAGGACCGAGTCCATGCCATGTAAAAACAGCCCAGACCATTATGGAACCACCACCAGCTTGAACAGTTCCTTGTTGACAACTTGGGTTCATGGCTTCGTGAGGTCTGCGCCACACTCGAACCCTATCGTCAGCTCTTACCAAGTGAAATCGTGACTCATCTGACCAAGCCACGGTTTTCCATTCGTTTAGGGACCAACCGATATGCTCACGAGTCCACGAGAGTCCCTGCAGGCGATGTCGTGCTGTCAGTAAAGGCACTCGAGTCGGTCTTCTGCTGGCATAGCCCAAGGAAAACAAACTTCGCCGCACTGTCCTATCGGACACGTCCCTCGTACGTCCCACATTGATTTCTGCGGTTATTTGACGCAGTGTTGCTTGTCTGTGAACATTGACAACTCTACGTAGACCCGCTGGTCTCGGTCGTTAAGTGCAGGTGGTCGGCCACTGCGCTGTCCATGGTGGGATGTTATGCCTGAAATTATATACTCTCGGCACACTCTTGACACTGTGGATCTCGGAATGTTGAATTCCCTAACGATATCCGAAATGGAATGACCCATGCGTCTAGCTCCAACTAACATTCCGCGTAAGTCTGTTAATTCTCGTCGTGCGGCCATAATCACGTCAAAGCCTCTTCACATGAATAACTTGAACACAAATGAAAGCCCTGCCAAAGCACTTCGTATTTATACATTTTCTACGCGATACTACTACCATCTGTACATTTGCATATTGCTATCGCATGACTTTTGTCACTTCAGTGTATTTTAAGACCAAGATGTGAGAGATTTGGGACAGGGCCATCTGCCGGTGATATGAACATTTTTAGCATGTTCGTACGTGGAAATGACATTTAAATTCTGGACAAATTCTGGGATCTGGGACGGGGCGATCTGTCAGTGGTAAGACTATTTTGCTTGCGTGGAAACAAATTTGATTGGGAGCAGAACTTTAAGGACATTTGAGTCTTTTAGTCTACCAGTCACAAAAGAGTCAACTGGTAAGAGGTTCTAGAAAAGTAAAGCTTTACAGTTTTATTCCGACAAAGGAGACAAATTGAATTTCTTTGTCCTGGATGCGCATGAGCAAGCGGTAGTGTGAAAAGGGATAAATAGACTGATGCCTAATAATGGGAGCAATGAACTAATCAGTGAATATCTGCCTGCAACATCAAAGAACCATTACGTAAATTTGTAAGTTAAACAAATTTGATAATAACGCACGTAATATTAATGAGCTTCAAAATTATTTTCGCAGGCTTTAGAATTGGTTAACTATGTCCGTCAAGAGTTCTTGAACTTGCTATCAAGCAATGGATGGTTGGATGAAGAAACTAAGCAAAAGGCCATGGAAAAGGTTTGGTTAAATTTTCTTATTTTCTTTACATAATAAAAAATTGCAAATTTGCCGAGATGAAAATTGTACCTAAAAATCTTTAAAATTAATCAGATTGTAAATCCAAAGAAATTTTACAGCCGTATTTAAAAGCCAAGGCTAAAGCTGGTTCTGTTAGCGCGACATGCGTTTTGCAAATGTAAAAGAAGGGACTTCAGAATGCTTTCCTGTTTCGCTGTTATAGTTCGATCAGAATGATCACCTAATGGTACATATATGTACCGGTAATAATACCGGTCGGTACACAGCGGAAAAAAAAGGGACAGTTCCATATCTCCCGTTCAACTGGGTTGATTGACAAAATTCAACTTGCGTTTTCCATATCTCGAAAGCGCGACTTAGGATATGTATTAGATTTATATATAGCATTGCCCTAATGTAGGTATTTTGACACAAAATCGGACTTTTTCTGAAATGATATGCCAATTTTTTCATACATTTCGTTTCTACGACTCAAATTATGCCAAACTGTGACAAGTTTTGTAAAAATCGCGAGAGTAGTTTTTAAAAAATTAGCTCTCAAGATTTTAGCTTCTCAATGTTAATTGAATTTGATATATTTTATTAAACTCATTTGATTCTTCCTTTCATATTTCGGAATTTGGGTTCATTTCAAATAAAATTCACCTGTTTTTATGACTTATTTTTAAATAATTTTTGTAAATTTTTCAAAAAATATTTTGAATTATAACCTATGCATGTTTTGCATCATCTTAAAGAAGATGTATTTCTAAGCATACATGCAAAAAATTAGAGTTTTTTATTCACAATTTCCTAATATATATGCGAATTTATATATTACAGCGTTCTTAAATTTGGCATATTCGTTACAAGCGATAATAACACTAAAATTGGTTCAGCCACTTTATTAAAAGTATTTGAAAGTATGGAACGATGTCTTTTCTTCCGTTCGTGGACAATGAACAAAAAGGCAAGAAAAATAGGTTGTTGTAAATTAAGAAATTCGCCAAGCGAATAATTCTTGGCGAGAACTGAAAAAAATTCGCCAAGATAAATTTTTAAATTTCTCCATAAATTTCTCACCAAATATTATGAAATTTAATATATAGGTCCAATTTGAGTCGTAGAATGAATGTATGAAAAAAAAATTGGTATGTTATTTCAGAAAAAGGTCCGATTTTATGTCAAAATACCTAGGTTAGAGGAAAGCTATATATAAATCTAATAAATATCCTAAGTCGCGCTTTTGAAACATGAGAAACGCAATTTCAAGTTCATCAATCGGCCCAGTAGAACGGGTAATATAAAAAAATTTATTTATTTATTTATTTATTTTTGCGCAGTGTACGTTTGACGCCCTCTAAATGCACATTAAAAAATCAAATAAATAAAATACCGGGACAACACAGAAGGTAAGAAGGAAAAGTTCTATGTTATTTTTTGAAATAAAACTTTAGTTCCAGAAGTTTAAAGTACCAGCTTGTTTCTTCAGTTAGCAAATTCATCGGTGATATTCTAGAAGTTTGTTGCAATACTCTAGTTTCTGAACTCTATGCAGTATTCATTAAATACATGGTAATCCTCTTTAGGTCTTCGGAACTGATTGGTGTCGGAAAAAACTGCTCCTTCAAAAAGTAATACTTACAGCAACTGTGAGAAAAAAATTGAATTCCTAATGCAGAAGATTTACAATATTTGGAATTTCCTTTTGGAGACTGAATAGATTTAGAGCTTACGAGCGGTAAAATCGATGAACACTAGTAGTTCGGAACGAGGTCTGAATCCCGACGAATAGGCTGGCTGCATTAAGCATTTTTGTAGCTTTCCCATGTGTAAAGTGTATACGAGCCATTTCCTCTCGGAAAGTCCGCCATGTAGGACTCTCCCATAATCAAAACAAACCATGGAGACATTTTTCATTGACAAGAGAGCTCGCATGATTTGTCTTAATTAAAATTGATCAACGAATGAAGTTTGGGTTTCAGTACCTTTTTATTTTTAATATGATTCTGCGAAAATATATTTAAGAATTAGTATTGAACCATAATTTTTTTTGAAAAGAAAAATACTTACTTGCTCACTAATTTCCATACTTTTATATTATATTAATTTCGATATTACTTTTGTAATTATGTTAGTTATATTATGCTAATTTCCATATTATTTTATATTATACTAAGTTCCATACCTTTATATTTTCGATATGATTCTAACCTTTATATTATATTAATTTCCGTATTATGTTATATTGTACTAACTTCCATACGTTTATTTATTTTCAACATGATTCTACAGAAATATGTTTTAAGAATTAGTTGTAAAACATAGAATCATAAAATTTTTTGAAAACAAAAACACTTATTTGCTTTCATTCTACAGGCTTCGGCTATGACAGCGTATATTGGATACCCGCAAGAACTTCTGAATGATACTCTAGTCTCTGCTTTGTACGCAGACGTAAGTACATTTTATTAATGATTGTATTTTTAGGGTTGTTATTGTTAGTGTCGTGTACAATGGTTGCCAGAACCTACTCCAATGAGATATTCGACTAATATTTTTCCACCTCAGTTTTGAAGGAAAGCATTTCGAAGACTGGTCCGGGGGTTTCCCTCCCCTCTCTCCTTCCACCTAACCACACGAGAGGACTCTTGGCTCATCATATATTTAGAGTGCCCCCATGCTGCACAAAGACACTACACATTTACAAACATTTATGTAGTCCCTGGATTCGAATGCAGGCCCTTCGGTACCACAAGAGGTTCGCCTAACCACTAAAATGTCTGGGAGACTATATTTTTACAGTGTTTCCTCTAAATATTTTATTTTCTTCGGTCATGCTTAGTACATCTAAGATATCAACGTATTTTCATTTTTTAAAAAATACTAACAAAAATACGGAATACTAAAATAAAAACGGAAAATCCTTAGGAAACTCTTACTGTGTATTTTATAATTTGATAACGCACTGTATTAAGAAATGTATTATTTTAATGATTTGTGTGGCGACTTGCCTACTGCAACTGAACGTTGCCAGTCTGGTACCCTTAGCAACCAAAAACAAAATAATAATTTCTCTATTCTATTGTTATTATTATTAACAATCTGTCTCAAAAATTGTACTACCATAATTAATGACTCGTATTTTATTACGAATAACAACCTTCAATGTTGCCCGAATGCGGAGTTTATATGTCAAAATTCTGAGCAACAGTAAGTTATCCAGTGTGATGAGATGCAAGTAAGACATTTTACCTGTGATTGCAAGCGTTTTGTCGCATTCCGGTGAGTCAACATATTTCTGTCATAATTTTAGCGGATATATGTATCGTCTGCTGCATTGGAGCCGCCAGTTTCTCTGATTTCAAGTACTAAGAAACTGTGTCACTATAAACATATTATTATTGTGCATATTCTATACATATTATTATTGTGCATATTTGATTAATCTAAAATGGTTGACAACGATGCTGCTTCACAATTGGCGCGAGTGGTAATTAAGCCACCACCTTTTTGTCGCCGAGACCCATCGTTATGTTTCATTCAACCCATAATCTGCCTTAGTTTTGTTGGATGTTGTCATAAAACTTTATGTACCCCAATAAGAATGATCATTCTTTTTGGATTCTTGACTAGTTACAATTTTTCCGGTCTACAACATTTTAAGGCTCGCAAGTCTTATCGATTTGAATGATTAGCATGATAAACGCTTGCTGTTATTGTTGTGACTTATATCATTTACCTGACAGCACGTACCAGAACAAGCCCACAAAATTCATCGTGGCAAGGAGGGAACGATTAACGTTGGCAAGCCTTGAGCACCATATAGGTGACAGTACGATTTGCTCAGTTCCGTTCCCAATTTTGATGGAGAGCACCCCGAAAAGGACGGGTCGGAGGGCCTCCAACCCCTTTTTCTCTAACACCAACCTGTCGAGAGGAATTACGGCTCGCCGCATATTTTGAGTACCTCTGCCGCAAAGCATCAAATGGAAAGGCCACATTCATAATAATAATAATAGAGTTTTCCAAGCGGAATTGTCAGCCATCAAAGCAGCGATTAAGATAGCCATTCTCAAAAATCTCAACAAATTTAGCATAAAATCTGACTCCCAAGCAGCTATTCTAGATATTAAGAATCCCTTATCTTCCTCTCCATTGATATGCGACATAAATTCTCTTCTTGGCAAAATTACAAACTACAAAATTCAAATTTCATGGATCAAAGGACATAGTGGCCATTTTGGTAATGATCAGGCAGATGAACTAGCCAAAGAAGCAGCTATTAATCAAGATGGTACTGAAATCATCATTCTGTGGTCTCGCTTAAATTTCAAGTACCTACTAAAACAACTTGCTTCAAAATCTTGGCAAGATTTGTGGAACAATGCTCCACAGGGAAGACGCACATATAACTTGATCCCCAATGTAAGCTTCGCATCTCTGTACTCGAATCCTTCATTAAATTACTTTATAACAGGACATGGACCCTTCCTCACATATTTCTATGCAAGAAATATAGCGAATTCTGATATCTGTATGCATGGGGAACAGGGAACTCCTGATAATTACACTTTCTCATGTCCCTTAATTGAGGATATTCACATAAAATCCCCACAAACTCATCTCCGGGCATTCCAAAGGTTTTTAATTAAAGATAAACATCAGTATTCAAAGTTTCAGAAAATTATGTAACGACTCTCTTCCTACGACCTAGATCTGTGTCAAGTGTAAGTCCACATACTGCATAAACTTAGTGAACTTTTGCATGCTGTGATTATGGACAAAATGACTCCGCTCGTGAACTTTATAAACTGCAATAAACCAATATATCTGAAATAACCCATGTACACCCACCTCTTTAGCATTATTATTACAATTCATTTTAACATTATGTTGCCAGTACTGATTATAATTATTTCATTATGTTTATCTGTTTATTAATTATGTTTATCTCCAATTTTTGTTGCACCAAATCAGATGTTCAATTTATCTTGTGAATCTTAAATTGTATTCCGACTATGTAATATACTTATGTCCTACATCATTATTTTTAATAAATACTGGATGCGGGGCGTACTGTGGGATTGCACGATGTACCATAATAGTCAAACTCTAGACCTTTTGGAAAGCTTCCGTCTATTATAAAACTTGCTATTCCCCCCTTTTTTAAAGAGTTAGTATGGAAGGCATTACCAGTTGACCTATGGTACATCGCTGGTGTCCCCCATACTTTTACCTGTACCTGTACCTATACATTTACAAACATTCACGCCTTCTCTGGGATTGGAACCCAGGTCCTTCGGTACGGCAGTCAGAGACACTAACAACTGCTTTGGTTGAGTGGCTGATAAACGCTTTCTCAGCATAAATCATCTATGGCAGTAACGATTTCAACTGCATCTTCTGAATGGTTTCGAAAGTTTCTACTTTTCTCTATAAACTGGTTAGTACAAAGAGCAATATATTAGGAGTGTTCAAAGGAAAAGGCACGAAACGACAGTACGGATATACTGAAGTCTTTTATTGTCTGTACCACTGTTTCACGAGCAGAAGGATTCCTTCTTTCCAGAATTTCTGTAGCTGTGACAGGAAACAGTTTTCCACTGTGTCCTTCAGCTCGTCGTACGAGTTGAAGCTCTTACCTTTGAGATGTCACTTCTCACCAAATCGTTCACCTTGTCGATGGGTTTGGCCGTGATTACCGTTTTCGTTTGTCCTGGTATCGGGTCATCACTCAAAAACTTCAAGTCTTCACGAAAACTGGCACTCCACTTTCTCATTGACTTGTTGTTGGACACACAGTCTCCTCCGTAAAGGGCCACGGTTTAATCCTTTCCACAGTCAGAAATCTGATAACATCTCGCTGCTGCTCAGTTGTCGAATTTTGCAAAGTGAACGCCAAGATGTCATCACACGCACTGCTGCCTCAATTGGACGGAATGCACAACTGCCTGCTTCACTCCGACATCATGCGTGGGCGCTGGCGTATGCGCACAACCACGTCGGATGCTTCATTCGCGTCCTTAGATGTCTCACGATGTTATGCCGAAGAGGCATATTTAGATGCCAATCGGTTTGTTTGTTACGGCGTTTCGTATCTTTTCATTTGAACGCCCCTTAATAAATTAAAACAAAATAATCACCTCCTTAAAGGAAGAAAAAGAAAATTATATTTTCTATTACAGTGTGAGGTTTTCTTAAATATCTTGCATTCAGTTCATGTCATAAATGACTATGTTTAACTTTTTTTCCTGTAAAAAGCCTTCTTCCACTTCTACGAAGTTAAGTACTTGTTTTTTTGCTTCTGAATAGCTGCATTAGATTCCTATTCAGAACTGTTATCATCTGTTTCGAATTCGTACTTTTTCAAAAGAGTCACTTTGTCTCTTTTCTATCAACGGCACTTTGATTTCGCTAAAGCCATTATAGTTAACGTCATAATAACCCACTGAAAATCATTACCTAGTTCTTCTAAATCAAAGGAATCGTTTAAATCAGATTTATACTTAGAAAAAAACCATTACAGTTCTATGGCTCTGAAAACAGATGCGACTATTATATCTGACGCATAAAAAAGGAAAGGTAAGAGAAATTATTTGAAAGGATAAAGTATAAAAATCATTATAGTTTGTGAAAACGAATATTTCTATAAAAAATACCCAAACTTTAAAAGATGTTTAAAAGTTCTATGCAGTAGTAGCGGTAAATCTGAAATAATTTACAAATCTGTAGGGAGTTTTCTTACGTTTCGTTTTTGTTCTTTCTTCTGCCAGAACACTAAAATATCATATACATGCATAGTCCTTTAACTTTTCATATACACTGATGACTTAGGAGTTCTCCGCGAAATTTATCTCACAGAAAATATCACTGCTGAAGGATTAAATATTTTTTAAGGTAATTTAACATATCGTAATCTAAATTATTTTTACAGCTACAAATTACCAACGGAAGTTATTATGACAACATAATGGAATTGAACAATAGAACAGTTAACAAGAAGATCTCTTCTCTTTATGAGCCTAACGTAAAAGAAAGGTATGTAATATTTTAACCACTTCTGCAATTTCTGCCTTTAAATGCTCTTTTACACAGAACGAATACGAATATCTGAAGCGAAATGAATTTAAAATTGAAAATGGCATACCGAAAATTTTCTCGTAGTCAAACATTATCGACTTCCACCTGAAAAATAAAATTACTAAATGAAAATTCTCTATGCTGTTTTATTACAACGAAATACCAGTTGAATATGAGATATTATGCAACGACAGTATCTCAGAATTTTAAGTTTTACTTATCTATTCACGGACTGCCTTGAAGATCGAGTAATTTCCAGAACACTGTTGTTTCCGATAAGTGTGGTCACCTGTAAATCTGTGACTTCATCCTCTAGGGCAGAGATGTCAAACTAATAGGTACACTTGGGCCAAACAAACAAGGTTTAACTTTAGGCGGGCCGCAAAAAAAATCAATATTCATAGAAACGTAGATTTATTTCGAATAATACAGTAATAAAAAAATATATATATTTATATAGAAAAGAACAAGAAAAATTTAATGTTTACGTCCTGATACTTGACATCTCTTCTCTGCTATTATCTTTCCTATTTCGGGAGAAATTTTGTTTGCAGTGATAACTTTCAACGCTGACCCAAGGTGAGCATGATTAATACGGTTTCTAATAGGAGACTTATTACCTTTCATGACTGAAAATAACTGCTCGCACCGATAAGTGCTACCAAACATGGAAAAAATTTCATATGCGAATTTTTGAGTATTTTCAAACCTGGCTGGTAAATATTTGTAAAATTCAGGCACGCCCACTTCAATGAATTTTGCTTTTAAATTTGAGTTGCATTGAATCTCGATCACCTCCATTTGCATATGGCTGGGTACTGAGTCAATACTTATTGAGAAAAATCGAAGAAAACAAAAAAAAAAAAAAAAAAAAAAAAAAAAAAATTGTCTTCGAGGGAACTGAAATCATTAAACCTCGTTTCAAATTCAGTTGTTAAATTTGCAATTTTTTCTGCGTAGTTTTGATACGAACAAGTATCATCTAAACTTGATTTGTTCATGCTGCACGTCGGGAAGTGCGTCAAATCTTCATTTTTAAGTTGTTTTTCCCAAAGAACTAGTTGACATTTGAATGCTTTAATTATGTCAAACATGTTCGTGATGATATGATCTTTTCCTTGTAACGATAAATTTAAATCAGTTAAGTGTTTGGTTATATCAACCAAGAAAGATAAATCTTGTATCCATATTGGATCGTAAAACAAATTTACCTCTTGATTTTTAGTTTTTAAAAACTGACATATTTCTTCTTTCAAATCCCAGAATTGTTTGAGAATCTTGGAGCAAGATAACCAACGTACCTCGGTATAGTAGGAAAAACCCGAATATTCACTATCTAACTCACTTAAGAAAGCAGTGAATTGACGCTGATTTAAACCTCGAGATCTTATAAAATTTATAACTTTTTTTATATATGACAAAACATTCTCCATATTTATTACTTTCGTGCATAGAACTTCTTGATGTATAATACAATGCATATGATAAATGTTTGAACCGTGAATTTCATTAAGTTTTTTTCCTTAGTAATGCTACGAAGCCCTTGTTTTTCCCGGTCATTGATGGAGCGCCATCTGTAGCTACAGAATTTAATTTTGCCAAAGGTAGATTGTATTTCTGGAGAAGTCTAAAAACACAAGTAAATATATCTTCTCCTGTGGTAGTACCAGGCATCGGTATTAGTTCCAGTAATTCCTCAAAAATGTTAAAATTCTTGTCACAAGAACGAAGAAACACTGCTAATTGAGCTTTGCCACTAATGTCCGTGCTCTCGTCACAGGCAATGGAAAAACTTTCGAAACTAGATGATTTTGCTTTGATTTGATCACTTAAATTCGCGGCTAAATCAGTAACTCTTTCCGCAACTGTATTTCGAGACAGTGAAATTGATTGAAAAGCCTTCACATTTCCAGGACAAACAATTTCTCCAGCTTTCATTAGGCATTCCTTGATGAAATCACCGTCAGTAAAAGGCTTCGAATGTTTAACTATCAACTCGGACAAGACGTAGCTTGCATGTACCGCCGCTTCACTTTCTTGCAATACTTTACTAAACATGGACTGTTGCTTTTTCACTCCTAACTTGAGCTCTTTCAACTTTTCTTCTCTCATTAATCCTTCGTAATTGTTATATTTCGATATGTGTTGTTCGTAATGACGTTTAATATTATATAACTTTGGTACATTAATAGTATTATTACATATCAAACAGATTATTTTATCTTTTATTTCACAGCAAAAATATTCTAATTCCATTTTACTTGGAATATTCTATGTTCGCCAGCGATTTTTCGTTTAATTTTACTACCACTTGGTTTTGATATAGACATACTGAATACAAAGGGCTGGAATAAACACGGTTAACGTTAAAAAGTTAACAAAAATTTATTCTTTCCACAAGAGATAAATCAAAATGCTGAAATATTTCTTCAAAAATATTCTAACAATATCACAAAATGTCAAACGTTTAGCAAAAATCAATTCAAAACAGAGAAACTAATTTTATCTCACAGCGAAATCGCTACAAATCAATCACAGCATTAAGTAAACAAACAGTTCGCTAGAACTACAGCTACTACTGAGATGAGTTGTTTGTTCTCGACTTTTATAAGCTTTATAATTAATTTCTCGAATATACTGGAAACATCTATGAATATCTGGATTTTTGTGGATGGCAACAGCAATTTTGAGATATTTATTTATTAGGTATTAAATGCACGCGCTGTTCTATTTTTAACCTTCAAACGCAGCTGTCTTTTCAAAACTCGTCTGCGTTGCTAAGACAACATGAAGCAAATCTAATTACAATTCTAAATAAAAAAAATAACTAAATAAATAACTATGAAATCCGTAACAATATGAATTAAGTAATAATTAATAATAAAGCAAAGTGCATGCACATGCATGCACCAATATACCGTACAAAACTATGATTGGAAAACTGAGACCATGAGTTCGGCCACATTCGGCTATCGGGGGATGAGTACAAGTTCTGAGTGCACGTGTCCCCCAAAAGCCGAAGGTAGCTGAACGCAAGCTACTCACACGCATTTGTAATTTAAGTAGTGTGTGTGTCAGCTCGCTGTGAGTAATCTAACAACACTGAATAAATTACCGTTAATTACTTAGCAGTAAACATTTCATTTTTTTCTTAGACGATATGTTATTTTATTATTATATATTATTATTTGCCGATATATTGGCCGGGCCGCAAAAATATTTGTTGTGGGACGCATGCGGCCCGCGGGCCGCTAGTTTGACATCCTTGCTCTAGGGTTTGCGTGTTGACTGGTTTTTATCTTTGTTGTACTTAGGGTTAAAAAATCAGCCTCATGAAATTTTAAGATCATTTTGTGAAAATGTAATGCAGACACCATGTCGAAATTTAAGAGCTTTAATATTATGAACATTCGCCCACTTTCCTAAAATACAGCGTTAGAAAGCAGTCTTTTAATAATAGATGTAGGGTTTCCTTTATTTTGCATAACAAATTATTTTAAGTTTGGTATCTTTTCTGAACCTCTCATTTTACCCTCGCATTTCATCGCCAGGATGCAAATTTAAAATCAAGTGATTATTTAAATGGACGAATCTTGTAGTTTATTCAGAGCGTGATTTCGCTAGCCAGGGTACGTTGCTAGTTTGTTCTTATTGTTACGCAGATCTTCTGATGCGCGGTTTTCGCCATTTAATAAGTACGTCGCCGGGTAGGTGTTAAGTCAGCCTCGTTAGCCTTAAATTAAATTTTTAGTCCAGCAGTACTCTTTTTTATCTTTAAATTGATTTGTGAACAGTTCTGAAGTTCCACCGCAATTCATGGCTGTTTCTGTAAGCACAAAGTGCATGTATTGTACGTTAAGAGTTTGACAATTAATAAAGGGTTATTTTACTTTTCTTCTGTGCTGGTATTCTTTTACGCCTGTGCGAGAAGTCGCCATGTTATCTCGTAAGATCGTTTTAACTTTATGATAGTTTAGACGGTACGATCTTACATAGACAAATTTGAAAATCTAATTTTCCAACTTAAGTCTAACACGCAAACATAACTTTCCTTTCAGTAACATTATTCAGAATTGGGCATCCGTAATTTGCATATTTTGAAAACGGCACCCTGTGCCACTACAGAAAGGAATTGAGGAACAGGTTAGGTTTTCAAACTAACACCTCAAAAGAATTAATGGCAGGGTTCAGCAGGTGTTCCGCTTTAACCGAAACTGCCCCGGTTTGATCATGTGGTCCTTGCATTCTGGCCAATTTGTGATTTTGTCCAGGTTATTTGGCAAATTTTTAAAACTACTGAATATATAAGAAATAAAAGTAGGCAGCTTCGATTAAAACTTCAATTTGGCAATGAAAATACAGCTCTGTTACATTCACAGTTGACAATATAAATATTTTGTATCTTTTAATGTTGTCTATATGATTTCTCCGAAAGTTATAGCATGTGGAATTTAGATATTATCTTTTCATCCAGATATTTTTTACACTATGTATAACAGAATATACTCTATGGGATCCAGGTATTTTTATTCCATTTTTTTTAGATGTTTTATCCAGTTAAGAGTTGGCGACATTGAAAATTATACTTAACCGTTGAGCAAGTGCTATCTTAGATGCGTTCAATCTGTGACTCGACATTTGCGATTATTCTTATATTAAATAAATTTAATCTCCAAAATACCAAAAAGAACTGCGTGTTCATTGATGAATTAAAATAGGATTATCTGTTTTTGGAAATATTTTGGGATTGCGCTGAAAAGGTGAAATGTGAACTGTGCTTTCCAGAATTTTCAGTAGCTCATCTTAGGCGTTCGAATATTAAAAATCACTTAAAATTTGCGAAATATAAGGAAAGCTTAGTAGCAGCGGCAGAAACGTCCTTTAATATATTATCACATTCTAAAGGTGCAAAGTGACAAAGAATGATTAGTAGTAGCACCTAAAGAAGCAACTTTTGCATCTCACGCAGCTTTTCAAAATGGGGTTCAGCTTAACGTTAGCCGATTGTTTATCTAAATTGATTTCGAAGCTTTTTGATGCAAAGTTCATGCTATCCAAAACAAAATATAAAGCTGCCAATGTAAACGTGTTTTAGCAACTGTAGTTTCAGCGGCTTTATGAAGATTTAATAAGAGAAATTTAGTGACGGTATCAATAGGTAGTTTTCTAACAAGAAAGATATTAAAATGTGCCAAATGTTGCGAGGTATTTTGTACCAGATTGCAGCACAAAAATCAAATTTTTAGACTTTGAAACAGTTCCCAGAGAAAATTGCAGAAATACCGGCATTTAATGTCAATTATAAAAACTTACAACATAGCAAACAAAAATAATATTGAATTTTGTGGAGATGATTACAATGGTAATTTCGAGAGTGTAAATGTAGAGGAGAAAACCAAAATTTGTAATTGGATTAAGAAATATTGTTAACATTGGTTGCGGTGCTCACACTGCCCACAACTGCTTTCAAACTAACGTCGATGCTATAGCTAACAAAACATTTAACGAACTTAAAACGACTGGGCAGAAAACTACTTTTTACGAAATTTTATAAATATTTCTATATTTATACTGTTCCAGCCGCTAAACTAAAAGAGTTCTCTGATTTTTCTAGATATAGAATATAAAAAGGTTCTTTAGTATGAAAACAACTGTTTTCTTTCTCTACTTCCAAGTAGTGACAGAATACTTGAAATCGTTTTTATATAACAAGAACACTGTCCAGTGATGATAAAATGGATTTTTGATAATGAATCAAAAGGCAATGACAACTCAAATTATTTAACAAAGCAGTCTTGGATACTGAGACTAAAAAAGCGAGTGCAGCTGATATTTTCAGTGAGACTGAAAAATTAAAAACAAACTATGAGAAAAGGCCTGATAGTAAATTTATGCACTTCGAGAAAGAAGTTTTAAAACACTAGAAAGTAATGGAACTAATTTAATTACAGAAATTGCTTTTCTTTTCTTAATGAACAAAGAACCTGAACAAAGTTTACATAAGATGCTTAGGTATTCTATCTATGAAACTTAGTAAACTATAAATAAAAGAATTTCTCTTCCAAAATAATTTCCTATTTTATTGATTTACAGATATTGTAGTCCGAAATTTGTTTTTCTCATCAAAAGTCATATGACAGTCATTTTTATCATATGAAAAGTCAGTTTTATCATATGAGAAGGCTGTATTTGAAAGAACAGAAATTATATTTGCATTTTCTTACATATAATCGACATATTTTTTTATCGGCATTAAATCGATTATTAAAAAAATCTAATACGATGCACAGAAATTTATATTAACAGTATTTCTTTATCTCTAGTTGGACAGAGCACGCAAAGAAGGCATCTAATGTTAAATCATGCTATAACATAATGCGAAATAGCATAGGTAAGTTGAATTTCCCGCTTTTTGATTTTATTGTTTTAATCTAATTAATTAAAAGTGAAATTTTAAAATATTAGTTATGTTTCATATTAATTACAGAAGAATATATAAATAATTATTTCAAGAAAGAGTAATCTTTGCCAAGGTTAATATTAAAAAAAATAAAGCTGAATCTTTACATACTACACGAAAATTTCAGGGATAGTTATATAATTTTTCAAACTGAAATTAGTGTTACATAGTAATTCTGGTCTCAGGGTTTTTTCTAACTGTGGATTCTCGGTCCGAGGTTCGAATCCCGCAAACGGGCTGGCTACATGGGCGTTTTCGTGGTTTTCCCCATGTGTAACGTGTGTACGACGTGTGAAAGTCCTTTCCACGAAGGCATCCCTCCCTTTAGGCAGATAGCCCTCGAGTGCTTTGCCATAATTAAATACACCACCTAACTGTGGATTCCTTGCCAGGAATTTGGCTATTATAATAGAGGCTGGACTGCGATGCAGGCATCGGTAATACTAGATAAAAGAAAAGAATATAATTTTTTTTTCGCTTTTGGATTGTACAGACAATGAAATTGCTTTTCTATCCTTAATGACAACCTGGAAACTGAGTGGTCTGAAGCAAATGGCATTTGATAAAGATTTGAAGGGAATGCAAACAGAAAATGTACACAAAAGTATTGTTCATTGTGGGATATGTTTTGTCGAGACATGATATTTTCTGAGGAAGAGTAAAGTACCCTGAGGCTTTCGCATGCTGTTCATAAAAAAGGATGTGCAACGCCTACTCAAATTTTTAAGAGCTGGTATTGGCTGAGAGAAGGTCGTAGCAAACTGCGATTCACTAATTCATTTGAAATGAGGCTTGGTTGCGTCGGTCGTTGCTGTTTAATTATTAATTAGGCGATAAGTTAAAAGATGGAGATTTGGTTGAAAGGTGGAGGCAGATTTTCCTGGAGCTAACTGGTTTTGAGTTGGATGGTGAGAGTTTTCGTCAGCTACTAGTATTCATTTGGATGCGGAGTTGTAAAAAATGAAGGAGTGTGAAAAAAAGGAGTTAGAATATTCTGTAAGGGAACGGCTCAGAGGTTTTTTGAGCGACTTGTCTTGAATTGTGCGGAAAGCGGTGATTAACATTTAGCTTTTGCTTAGAATTAGAAAGAGTTAACAATATGAAGAAGAAAAAGAAAAGGAAGACAACAGAGGAAGAGGAGAGAACGAGAATGGCGGCTTCGTGCGTGTTACCAGCTGAAACTAATAATTAATGAGCGGAGGAATAGATGAGAATGAATTTACCAAATTTCAGCGATAGCGACGTTTTTGAAATTATGAGTCTTTGGTCTAAGATTAACGATACCCTTTCGAGACTGTTATTTAATAAATGGACGAACAGATGAGACCGAACTTCCCAGATTTCCAGATTTAGCGATGTCGATTTCCCGAAATTATGAGTCCTTGGACGAATATCAATGACACTTTTTCGAGGCTGTTATTCAATGAGCGTAGGAGCAGATGAGTGTGAACGTGCAAAATTCCAGACTTAGTGACTTCGAAAATCGGTTACCGACGGTGTGATGTGCCACGTTTGAAGTAATACGAAGAGCATGAAATTTGATTTTCAGTGTGCTTCGGAAAAATGACTCCCAGTTTAATTTGACTAGTAGAATCCGATAGTGTAGGATTTCGAAGTCTGCAGACGTAAGTCGTACTTTCTCTCAGTGTGTACTTGATTATGGAATTTAAAAAAATTTCTAGATTTTTCTTTAGATAGGACAAAATCCTTAATTGTGATTTCTATTGTGTATTTAATACGTTAAATGGGTAGTTATGTCCTTGGAATTGTATAGCAAGGCTATGTTATTCTTTAGGTTATGTTTACTGCATCTGTCAGTATAGTTAATAGACTGAATATTGTTAAGAGGTCGAAACTGGGTAGTTACTTCCTACTTATTGTTATAATTGTACTAAATTGCCAAAATGTTCATTAGGTAATAAGATTAAAAATTTGTTGTTTCTCAAAATTTGGTATGTGATTATAATGCATCCAAACTAATCAACATTAATTTAGTTATTTAAGATCCTATTAACATCACTTGAGATTGACGAAGTTTAAAAAAGTGGTTTTTTTAAATCTGGTATATAAATCTCAAGTTTCGTGAAAAATAGAAATAATTCATGCTTATCCACATCATTTTCAACAGTGTGTTATTTTAGAACACATTTCAGTTTAAAATAATTTTTTTTAAATTTCTTTTCAAATTTTTCACTCTATTTTAAATTATTTAAAAAATTTGCTTCTAATTTACAAAATACTATTAAATTTTTATTTTTATTCCAGTTACTAGTTTTAAACTCGTAAACTATCAATTTTAAATTAGTCACGTTTTATCGACAAAGCCTACCTTGTAACATCAACTTATGACAGAACATAATAAAAGCGTCTTAGTGTTAAGACTGAATTTTCTGAGCTTGTTAACGGCTCCAAATTGCTTAATTCGTACAGCAACTTTTGCAGGTTAGACAGTCTCACAATAAAAGGTGCCCCGACCTTAAATTTTGAATATTTAAAAAAAAATACGTGTGAATCTGCTGATTTAAAATTACATAGCGATGAAAAATTAGCCGCTAAAAAGTTATAGGTAAACAAATAAAATGCACACATTTTAATAATATTTTGAAATACAGCACTATTTGGTAAATTTTTGAAATTGCAGATATCCTCAGGTGTTTCACATTTCCTCTCACAAAGGATCCTATTTCCAAACAAGAATGTCAAATAATATGCAGACACATAAATAACCTTCATTTACAGGCACTTACTTGTGCACGAATTTCAATCATTTCTTTTTTTTTTTTTTTAAATTTATTATTGATGATTAGCCGCTTACCTGTTTTTGTAAATATTTGTTCATACGTTTGCACACTTTGCTCATTCAGAGAAGATTATTATTATTATTATTATATCTCAAGACAAACTTATTAGTCTAGAAAGATAGGACCCCGGTATGGTGTCCAAAGCTCTTATCAAAGACAGGTGCAATCTTTCCTCCTTGCCGCGATGAATTTCGTGGACTTGTTCTGACATCAGACAATCGATATTAGTCACAACAAAACTGAATTACGGATTAAATGTATTGTAATATAAATGAGGCACACTGAAGACAAACCGTGGCAATCATATATTTCATAACAAACACATTGACTTGAATAAAAGTTTCAAACTGAGAATTGTAAGCGCACCAAACATAAATCTTCTGCAACAACTTTTATTTTGCTTTTATGTAAAGATATAAAACTAAATAATTTGTAAACAATTCTCAACCTAAGTAAGATATAATAATATGATGAAATTTTGAGGAAGCGATTTCAACAAAGCAGTTAAATGATATGCATCAAATTACTATAATTCAGATAATTACGTATGCAACAGGCAATATACTAGAGACGATTTAGCTTATTTAAAAGAACACAAGGGTGCCTTCTGGGTATAGTGGTAGGGAAGCTACCGCCACAGATTTAAGACTGGGTTAGAATCCTAGAGAAGACACTGATATTTGTAAATGTATCGTGTTTTCGCGCTATGGGACTCTTGTCGAGCCAAATGTCCTTTCAAGAGACCGGCAATATGGAAAGAAAAGTATTAGACACTTGGGCCCCTTCTCCAGGAGAGTATCCTAAAGGATACTCTAGTTTCCTTCAGGATAGTTTTGAAAAACTAGGACGGAGCTGGAAAAATTCGTACTACGAACCTCTACGATGCCTAAGCCAACGGTATGCGCAACCCTGTCATTGGCTTAGGAGCGTATAGTTGATTCATGGTATGCTACTAATGTAATGCTACTAATGATCTAATGATTCAACCCTCTGACCGGACAGGGTTTTCGCTAAGAGAGCAAAAACTTCCAAAACTACTACGAGAAAAAATTATTTTCTTGATTTTAATTTAAAAATTCTCCTGGTATTTTATAACTGGATTTGTGTGATGTAATATATTGCCTTAGTTTTCTTTACCGTATTTTAATATACACGTATATATACGTTCTTAGAGATATCACAAAAAATATTCTAGGCCGTATATATACGGCCTTGCCGTTTAGAGGGTTTGTGTCAGTCAGAAAAGTCAAAACAACAAAAAAGTATGGAACATTAAAAAAGTAGTTGCAAAATAAATGTAAACTGACGGCTGAAAGCATTGTATAATATGAATAGATGCATTTAGCAAATCATTGATGCTTCAGTGACTTTGAAAATTTCGAAATTTTACCAAATGTTTTCAGAATGCTTGATTGGGGGATTAAAAATTTCATATCAAATACGTTTTCCTTGTTTCGACGCAGGTACTTATCAGCTATTTTAACCGATGTTCCATAAGGTATTTTCTCATGCCAGCATGCGTACGTCGCGTAACGATAGTAGATACGGCGCATATTCGAGAGGTCGAGGTTCGAGTCTTGGCGAGGGCATTGCACACTTTTCACATCCTGCTTCACAATAACCTAACGACTCTACAGTTTTTTTGAGTGTTTAGAATAAGCGAACATTTTTACAAACAATAGGAAGTTCATAGTTAGCAGATCTTTGTTTCCCTTCTCAACTGGGATCCATAAATTTGAACAGGAATTTTGCCATAGCTCCTTTAAATTATAGAACCAAACAACCTGAATAAAACATAAGAAAATGTAATAACACTGCTATTAAATATATGTAAACAAAAATTGTCATATTCTATGTATAAACGTAAATTTTAGTTTGAGAAAGCCGCTTTTGGAGTACTTTTAACATCAACGAATTAATGAATTTCAGTATTAAATCTCCTCATGCAGTAGCGAAATTCTTTCGGAATTAAGGATTTTCAGAATATGTCTCTGGACAACTTGTTTTGTACGTTTAACAGTTCTCAGGTAATGTTTCCAAAAACACAAATATTAATTGCCGTAATTGCAAATGAATGCAGATACTTGAAAGCAATCCGTACAGTAGCATGTTTTCAAAATATGTAAATATTTAATCATTATTAATTTTCAAATACATTGCTTGGAAATGAATTATTTTTTTATTATTAGCTCAAAGGGGCAATTTGCCCAGAAAAGATGTTAATTTCTTTTCGCATTTTGCTTTGGTTCACTTTTTAAATTGTTGCCACCAAATATTAGAGCCCTGCATTATATTTTTTAAGAAATTAAATAATGAAGAATCTGCATGAATGTATGTATGTTTCACGACTGTGAAAAACAACGGTACCTAGAGACGTCAAATTTTGAATAAACGTAGTCCTTCATTCGAATATGGTCATTGGAAGCTCAAATTTGAAATTTGTTCTATTATCTATTTCATATTTTGTCAAACATTAACGAATTTTTTATTAAGAAATTCAACGATTTCAAAAGGAGCAATGGCAGCGCTGTACGAATAAAAACGTTTTTATCTCCAGCAAGCGAGACTGTTTATTGGAAATTCTAAAGACATACTCTTTTAAATACTTTGTGGTATTGCTGTTGAACTGAATTTTATGGTTTAAGCGCGAAGAACCTGATATTTAATAAGTAAACGTAACACCCAAAACGTAAAAATACGCCCCTTTGGACGTAGTTTAAAATCTGAAAGCTTTCAGATTTGTATCCTTTTTTTTGCTTTATATGCATTTATCTTAATGTGACAATAAAATATGTTCGTTGGAGAGATGACTATTTTCAAATTTACTCTCCAGTTTGGATTTGTATTCCAGTAGAGAGATTTCTAGTGTCTGACTCAAAATCAAAATACTTATCAAAATATTGAAATGATTCTTAATTCAATCAAATATAATTTTCATTATTTGAGTGTATTCTTCATTTACAACATTCTTTTACAGATTTCCCCGCAGGAGTTTTCCAACTTCCATATTTTGATAAGGATCGACCTTAGTAAGCTATTTGCATCAAGCATTCAAATATGATCTAGAATGCTGAGCATTTTCGCAAGTTGGTTCCGGTGGCAAATTACGTACCTTAAAAATAAGGTTAACTAGTGTTACATACAGTGCAATTAGATCTTACCTCGTCTGTTACGCGAGGGTATGAATTAGAGTGATGGCTAACAGGATGAGCCTGGATCGTGAACAAAGAGTTAAATCCCGTTCACACTAGCGGAACTTTGCTTACAGAAAAACGTAACCCAACTCGACTACTCCAACCCGAAGGACCAATTTTGAAAGGGAATTTGAGCCGGTTGACGTAAGCGTAAGAGATAGCAAGCATTAACTCTTATTAAGCTTACGTTAGACGGCTTCAACTCCATTTCAAAACTGGTCGCTCAAGTTAGGTTACAGGAGTATTAATATAGTAGTAACTCGAGTTAACGTATTTTTTTCGGGAGGGGGGGGCAAAGATTTGCTAGTGTAAACAGCTCTTTATAGTCGAAGTTTCAGAGAGGGAAGGGAGTTCAAAATCCCAAATTTTAATTCAGGCTTCGGAAACAATACATAGAATAATATTTGTCAGGTACAGACAGTGGAATATTTATTAAATTACACATTCTAGAGTTCCGTAGTGACATTATAACATTTCGAGAGTGAATGCTCTCCCAATTATAAACGCCTTCTTCGAAGATATGTTAAAACAATTTTCAGATGGCTGGAAAGTTGGAATGCGAGGCAAAGGGAGTATTTCAATTTAACAGCACATTTGAAAATACATAATTAGGTCATTTTTTCAAAGTTTTCATTCTTCCGGATCATATTTGAATGCTGGTTTTATATCATATATTTATTCAGTTGTTAATGAAACTGAAATGCTTTTATTTACGCAGATAGGGTTTTCACAAAATGCTAGCAAAGTCTGAAGTTTGCATATTTATTTGTTTCAGCTATCTGAATTTTGGAGGAATCGGTTTCAAGATTGGTCAAGAAATAACACATGGATTCGATAATTTAGGTAAATTATTTTTTATTTTATTTTGAAAATTAAAACACCTACTAAGACTACTTCAAAAAAACATTTTTTAAATGTAACAGTTATTGCAAATCATGTAATTGTGCTATTTAAATATAGCATTTTCAAATCTATTAAATAAGAGATTATATTAATATAAATAAAAGGAAAACAAAGGCCGAGATATAAAAGCTTTGTAAATTTTGGATGCTTCAAAATTATTATTATCCTTTTTTAAAATTTCTAGTGCTCCGTTGCAAGACTACTGAGCACCAAATAAAATACAAAAGACGAGAAAATTTACATCAGTGTATCTACAAACTCAGGTCGTTCCTGGACACTCAGTAGCGCTCCCCATTTGCGCGGATGTGGCAAGTCCATGTCATTCTTGAGAATGCATAAGGGGCAAAGAGAGTCAGGAGCGACAGTGATGCGCTGGATGTGCTTCCGCAGGCAGTCGCCCACCAGCGGCCGAGCGGTAAAGTCGCTGAACACTGGTAGTTCGGTCCGAGTTTCGAATCCCGCGAAAGAGCTGGCTACATGGGCGTTTTCGTGATTTTCCCCATGTGTAAAGTGTATACGAGCCAGTTCCCCTTAGAAAGTCCTCCACGAAGGCATCCCTACCCTTAGGCAGATAGCCCTAGTGTGCTTTGCCGTAATCTCAATAAACCAAACCAAACCAACCGAAGGCAGTCATTTCCAGACAGACATAAGACAGAATATTGCGGGAGATTTCTTAAATGCGAATTTTTGAGGATTTTGCAGTAAAATGCTGGTCGCTTATCGCAAGCAAAGAGACAAGAACTTATATAATCAGAGTATAAGGTATTTATTACATATAAATATATAATTATATTCATAATAAATAAAATTATAAATCATCATACTATAAGGTATTTCTCCCGCATTCATAGCATGCCTTCGTGGCGTAGTCTTCAGCACGCTCGAAGCATATTCGAGAGGTCCGTGGTTCGAGTCCCGGCGAGGGCATTGCTCATTTTTCGCATCTCTCTTGCTTTCAAAAAACCTAATGTCTCTGCAAGATTTAGTTAATGATTTTATATCGGCTAACAGCACTTAGGTGTCAGAAAAGGATTATGATAAGGCTATTTATCACAAACACACTAAAATAATTACATAGACTGTAAGAATGTTTTGCAGAGGTGGTAAATGCTGGAGTGGGGTACTAACGTCAGACGTTTTCACCATAATAAAGGATTTGCGAAAACCGTATTACTGTAACTCTGCACTTTTTAACTTTCAAATACATAAATTAAGAAAAAAAATCCATTAAATTCCCTTGAGATTATAAACGCCTTACAAATATTGCGAGTACTTTCTTACAATAGTAATTACTTTTCGTGATTTTATGCAATTAAAAATCACGAAAAGTAACTACTAAACTGCAGTTTTCTTTTACAAAATAAAGGCAGTCGATGAAGAACAATGAGTAGGAAAAGTAATTATTAAAACACAATTTTCTTCTAAGAAATAAGTGTATTGGACAAAACATAATGTGTAAATTACATTTAATTAATTTAGGAATATTTTTTAAAACAGTGAGCTGAATTACAAAACATTATTCTCTCAAAACATTATTCTTATAAACTCTCAAAAGTCAAAAGCAAAGTTTTGTTACATCACAAGTTTATTGCGTTGAAAAAGGGAAGTTGTAGTACTATTGGGTGCGCATTAGATGTGAGATGATTTGCAAAAGAATGAGATTTAAAGAGAAGTGAAACACTTTGTCTAATCTTGATGAAAGCTTTCAGAAAGACTGACAAATTGATTAAGATTCGTTTCGTATTGGGCAAAATATTGACAAAAAGTATAATTATTATATTAGTGAAAGAACTGCAATGTAAGTCGTAATAAATAAAACGAAAAATATATTTTTTCATTCAGTAACGTGTAAATTTATGTCAACGAGGCAAATTCCTAATTTTATGAAAAAAAAGTACCCATATAAAATTCGCCAGTATTGTAAGATTAAATCAGCACTGTCAAAAGATTGTCCATTAACTTATTTAATCTCATTTCCTCACACAGAAAGTAAATTCAAAGTAAAGTGCAAAACCTGCAAAATCATAATAAAATAAATGAATTTAACCAGTTATTTTATGTTAATTAGCTTTTCTGTCTTTCTCGTTTTCCATTTTCCTGCCAGAATGTAAATTTCTAGTTCGCGCGTATTCAAATGAGGTAGAGAAGAGAGTGTATTTAAAGGAGGGTAGTATTAGAGGGTAGAATTAGAGCGTGTTCCGCCTGCTGAAAGCCATGTTTACTAATTGATTCTGCCGTGTTGCATTATTCTCGCCGTCAGGCTTGGCGTGCCACTTTAAGGTCAGAGCCAACTTTTGTGCTTCTGTGTCTGTGTAGTCGTTGAGTTTAATTGCATTATCCTTGGTTAAGCCGAATTTTTTTATTTTTATTTTACCATAAATGCTGGTTGCTCTGCAAGCCCGAGTACTGCCTTCTGGTAACTTTTATTTGAGCTAAATAAAAGGATCTTTTACACCCTTCTGTCAGAGCCCGGGTTCGAATCCCGGGTAAGACATAGATGTTTGTAAATGTATAGTGTCGGTGCGGCATGGTGGCACTCTAAATATGCGGCGAGCCGAAAGTTATCTCGTGTGAACTGGTGGGAGAGGAGAGGGGTGGGAGTCCTCCGGATCCCTTTGCCCGGAGTGCTCTCCCTCAAAAATGAGGTGGAAAATAGAAGCCCAAGCTATCTTTGGAGTGGGCTCTGGCAACTATTGTTCCATGTAATATGGACAAGACAACAACACCGTTCTGTCGTAATTTCAGAAGACATAGGGATAAGTCGTTTTAGATGTTAGAGGTTTCGTATATTTAATTCTACCAAATATTACGGAATTCCATAATGTAAAAGAACTCTAATTACATGAGCAACTTTTAGATACACTGAGAAATCTATCTTTTTATAACAAATGATATTCCACTGATGCGCCGATTCGCTCTGAGGTGCTTTGGAAAATTAACATGGTACCATGGTGATGTGAATGAATTTGAGAATTATTTTTATTGAAAAAATAATAAATCTTCATGCGTTAAATTTATGTAATAATTTTTTCGCGTACCTTCCATTACTCTAAATTGCAGCTGAAAACGGTCACAGAAAATAATAAAAGCATTTCAAATGACGCCCAGTCTCCATATAAATGGTATGAAGCACCTTAAGCACATCAGCAAGTCAACGAATCAATCGAAGTGCTGAACAATAACCAAAGTGTGTAACGGAACCAAGTACATGGACTGTACCTATAAGCAATGAATGAATGGCATGATGAATATGTAGTTAAATACTCCGCCAGCCAAAATAAATCTGTGCTGATGAACGGACAACCGGACAGAGCTTGCGATGTCGGTTGCACCAGACAACAGCAGAACCTCAGCACCAGAAAGGTACCACGGGCGCCAGAAAGGCGTTCCTACTCTGGATAGCTAGTGTACGGGAACTATACTTACTTATTAAGGGTAAATAATAGGTGGCCCCTTCGATGGTATAGTAAAACGAATGACGATAACACAATGTGAACATATGGCTCTTTTATTTTGTAGAATTAGATAACTTTAGAAAGCAATTGTATTACCTTCCGATTAGAAATCCTTTCAAGGGCATTCTAAGTGCAGGGAAAAGTTGCACATCGCTGGGACATTTTCAGACTGTGAGCTAATTGAACAAATGTTGGTACCAAAATGAAACTCATTTCCTTCGACAGCTGGTAATTTTCCGTTCTTCAGAAAATTACTCTGAAATGAGGAAACAATGAAGAAAGATCTATGATTAACGACTCTTTCTGATTTCTGGAGTACTTTATTTTGTCCAATTAAACAGCTTTTACTGTTGATAATACATATTATTGCTGAGAAAGTTCAGTTAAATGGATATTTGATAAGCCTTTTATCCCCAAAAAACTATCTCAAATTCCAGTGAATTTAATAATTTCAGTTTTATACATCTCCAGGTTTAATACTGTTGAAGAGAAAAGACTGATAGGTCTTTCTTCAGAATCATTGAAAATGAAGGATTCATAAACAGCATTGTCATAATTTTGGAATTCAGAACAAATGGTGACCTAATATTTTTAAAAGGTTAATTAAAATATTTATTTATTTTATGATCTTTTTGATGCTAGGCAGTGATCTGAGCTTTAAAATCCAAAAAAGAAAAAAAAAAAAATGATAAGGTAAAATAAATGAGGGTATATATTTTAGTGGGCAACAATGACGATGTAGGCAATGGTACAGAAAAACGTTTAGAAAGTAGCGAGGAAGGTAATATTGGGGCCCTAGATAAGAAAAATCAAATCAATTTAGCAAAATTTGAAAAAAAGCAATGGAGGGAATGAAGATGACAATTACTACTTTTTCGAATGGAATGCACCACATGAAAAAAACTTTCACTGAGCAGATATATATTGTTACAAGCTTTAAAACTCAGGACCCATAATTGAAATTCACAATATTATCGGTCACTTGTTTAGAGGGAAGTGTTTGAGTGACATTTTTCTTGAAGTATGTATTTTGATACATCATGAATAAAGCTGAAGCCAGAGGGAAGAAAGTTAATATAGATACAGCACAAAATGGAAAAACAATGTATATAATGATAATGACAATGAGGGTTAGATTGGTGTAAGATAAAATATTATAGATAGATAAACATGCTCAACATTTAGCAAAATCATATTTACTAAAACTCTTCATTGGAACATTCATTGTAATTCAAAATTCCCCGCCCAGATTTTAGATTTTAAAAATGGCAATGATGCTAAACACTAGAATGTGTGTGTTAAATGTTTTTGCTAAGAATATACACCTATAAAAGTCGCATTTAGGCTTTAACGCAGGAGGAAACAGAAAGAAGGGAACCAGAGAAGGAAACAGAATTTTTGACGTGTTTATTACAGAAGACAGTATTAAAAATAATGACCATTAAAAAAACAAACGAATATTGTCAGATATCAGAATGCGTCCACTTATAGATTGCCACGCATTTTTACAGACATACGTATTTTATTCGCTTAGATGTTTGAAAATTCAACACACTTCTGCTGAGAATGTGCTCAAGATTGCATAGGTCTTCCGTTTTCCATTGGCAGACTACGCACTACGCGAGAGTAAATGCAGATTACCATGCCGGAAATCTTATATAATCAGTAGTGAGCTATACGGAACTTGTTCGAGCTCTTTGTAGAATTTGTTTCTAATTTGCGATCCCCTATTTTATTATTATTATTATTATTATTATTATTATTATTATTTGATATTATCTTCAAGAAAAACACACATCTTGTGTACTAAATTATACCTTGACAAATATTATACATTACATTAAATAAATTATTTTTTGCAATGGCTTTAGCAGGGAAACTGAATAATGAAATCCTTAATAGTGTAAAAAAAAGCTAGAGTTAATACAGAGATTCACTACTAGTAAAGCTAAAACTGATATTATTTCCACAACACCTGCTTTGATCGTATACCGTTGGGAAATGCCAGCTACGGTAACATAGCTCCCCCCCAAACCGGGTTTCGGGTTGCCAGAAAATAGCATGGTAAAGCAAGGTTGCCATATTTGGCGCAAAATCGCCCATTTGGGGACAAAATCGGTGCTACGCCATTGACGGAGAGAGAATATTCTAGAACGAATTTTTACCGGTTTTCCAGCGAATATTCTCAAAGGCAGGTCATAAGCTATAAATACCCTGCGTGTGCGTAGAGTAGTAGTGTATCTTGAGTATGGTGAGTTCAGTAGTAGTGTTTTGAGTTCAGAGATTAGCTCGAGAGCGATCGACCGAGCCGGAGGAGCTATATTCTCCGGCTCAGCTTATATCAGGCTATAAGCTTTCTTCACCGTTATAGCCTGATAGTCGGATTGTCTTGATGATTGTTTCAGCGTGTTTGCATAGTTTTTCGACGACTGTAAACGTGTCTTTGGAACTCTTCTGTATAATACTGACGAATAAATTTTATTTTAAATTTTCATCCAGTGTTATCGTCAATCACTCCAAATCCACGAAGCCGTATAACACAGCAGTACTATATGTTATCTCCTTAAATAGGAGAAGTCTTTAAAAGAATTTCATCCTTAATTTTATGTAAAACGTTTTTGAAACGTCGTCGGTTATCTTAAAAACTTCTTAAAAGGTTATCTGAGTAGAAAAGAGATGAAAATAATGTATTGAAGCTTTTGGTATAATGTGCCTCAAAATTAAATTTATTTATTATTTTATGCAATTTCTGGGATATTTTATAATTTTCTTATTTTTTTATCTTAAAGTTTTTTTTTTTTTTTTTTTTTTCATTTAGTTTTTTTTTTTTTTTTTTTTTTTTTTTTTTTTGTGCAGAATTATTTTTAAAAAGTAAACTACTTTTATTAAATGTGAAATATTTAATTAAATCGTAACATTTTGCTTTTATACGTCTGAAATTTTTGTTAAAGTGTCCAGTGCTGATAATGTTCCATGGCGTGAAAAATGAGGCTAAAAGATATCAGATTATTAGGAGCAATTTTCAGGCACGCCAAACAAAAGTAGTTTGCATGTTGATTCACAAAAGTGATTCACAATAGGCCATCCTTTAAAGCATAGCCAAGATAATTACAAAAAATAAAATATACTCAAGCTGCAACGTAACGGAGTCTAATGTCAGTTGTAGCTAACACACAGATTTTAATGCGTACATTTCTTATTTATTCATGTCCATGGACGCAGTCCTTGATAGCTGCAAGTTTTCCATACTTCTGTTCATTGCATATGTCTGGAATATTTTGTTAGCACTTTTACTGCCGCGTCACTAGTATTCGAGTGACGCCAAAAATTCAGATTAGGCACGTCATCCATATTCGGGTGACAGTTGATTGAGTAAGGAGATATTTGAAAAAATTATTGTTGATTGATGGAAAAAAAAAAAAACGAAAATAATTGTTACCGACACTTACATACAATCCATTCACTAAACTGAATTCTTCCGTATTAACTTTTCTTTCTTCCTAAGCAACCAATTCTTACAAAATATGATCAGTAGTAGCTAACCACATTTATTATCAGTGCATTTATCAGTATTCGAATCAGAATCTGAAAATGTCATTTTGTTTATAATTATCTTTCTGAAAAATCTCGACTGTTCCTTATCGCTACTATTCGAATTTTTGTGAACTTTGCAACAGGTTTATTCTTCATTGCCATAAGATTCACTTAAAAATGACTCTTTCATTTTTCTTTTAGCCATTGCAAAAAGTTGGGGCATTAACACAAAAAATTATTTGTCCACTGTAGAAAAAATATTTGGAAGAGAAGAAATAATTTTCGAATCTCCCACCCTTTCTTAGATACTTCGTTCTTGACGAAAGATTTTAAACCGAAATGCATGTCCCAAAATGTTTTATTCTAGACGCCTAAACTCATACGATCTTCCCGATCGCGCAGTACAGCAGCGCTCGCCTCCTAAAGGAGATTTTCTTGCAAAAGTGCGTGGCAGTCAACGTTTTAAAGAATATTGAACACACATTTTTATCCTAAATTTACTTCTCTTGTTTAAACTTATAGCTTAAAACCATAAAGCACTAGAGAATGTTTGCAATCACTGACTCAAGATCGCTTTGATTTTTTAGAATTCGAACTGCGCTAGTGACAGATGAGTCGAAGACTGATTTTACGCTCAGATAATTATTTTATCTATAGCGGTACGGAACTGCATCTGACACTTTTATAGGATTCAGTTATTTAGCTTCAAACTTTTCATCTAGATGTAAATTATAAGAAGGTTTACGAATAGCGGACACGGAGAAATATAGCTCGACCGTCTCAATTGCAACCCTAGTTGGCATTCTGCCAAAACATATAAAGACTCGTCCAGAAGTGGCGGTATAACTTGCTGCGACGTGAAAGGTCTTCCCTTCTCCGGAAAGAGCTATGCTGGAGGGAAAGAAAGTCCCCATCTTTCCACGCTATATTGAGAATAACTCGGTCTGAATGGCGCATGCGTGCTTGCGCTCATGGTCGCGGATGAGGCGGTCGAACTCAAGAAGGTTAGAATAACCTCCTTGGTCGAACTATACTAGTAAACAGTTCTGTAGGAACGGGTTAAATTGAGTAGGAAAGTGTTGTATTAAATACTTTAAAACTAGAGGACATAGAATTTTTACTCGCTTTTAGTGAAGCACATTATTTAATTCCTTCATGTAGCCTTCTATATTTAATAAAACTGTTGTTATTGTATTTCTTTGTAACTGAAAATTTCCAGCAGTAGTTCATAATAACAATAGAACAGACAGTGCGGTTTATATCGAAGCAAATGCAGAGTGGAAATACCCATTTAGCAAACTAAGCAAGTGTTTAGCGCATCAAGGAAAGTGGGCTCCACAAAAAAGATGCTAAGAGATTCAAGGAAACGGATATCTTCAAAAGTTCCTTCTCTTTAGGGCTTTTTATGTTATATTATATAGTATACAAAACTCGTAACAATATGTTTATATTCAGTTCTGAATAATTTTATTAATATCAATGAAAACATTACAGGTTGGTCATTTGATAAGAATGGCAATTATGTGAACTGGTCGGATCCAGTATCGGATCAGCTTTTCAAAGAGAAATCTCAGTGTTTTAAAGAGCAATATATTAATTACACTACTGAATACTATGATATGGTAAGTTAGTTATGTTTAAACTTTTGCTGTTTAAATATAATGCATATGGATAAAGAGTTCGAAAGTATACAGGAAAGTTCTTTAATATTATTAAAATACAAAACACAAATAGTAAGTTATCCACTGAAATGTAGTTTGGGATAAAAGAAGAGCTCAAATCTTTATTTTTGGGCGAAGGAAGAGAACATTGTTCGCATTGAATACAGGGTTCTAGCCGCTTGCCTGTTTTTGTACCTGCTTGATAGTACAATATAAGACAGTGTGTATTATTATTCAGCCAAAACATTATGACCGCTCCTGCACTGTGAGAATTCGTTCACCAGAATTAATTAGATGGCATCTGAAAAGGAGAGAGTGTTATTTAACGAGTGCCCGAGATAGTGAATTATCATTTTGTTGACTAGTGTGCAGGTAAAAAGTTTCGATTTTAAGCGACTTTAATAAATGCCAGATAGTGATCGCCCGAAAGCCAGATACGAGTATCTCCGAAATGACATCACTTGTTTGCGAAGTGCCACTATTGGTATTTTGTGGTTTGATTTCTTTCGATTTTTTTAAACTTATGGTGAAACACTCAAAGGTTATCTGCCTAAGTAGAGGGATGCTTTCGAAAAGGACTTTCTAAGAGGAAATGTCTCGTATACACGTTACACAATGGTAAAACCTTGAAAATGCTCGTTTGCGTAGAATTGAATCCAGGTCAAACTATCAGTGTTCAGCGACATTACTGCTCGGCCGCTGGTGGGCCATTGGCATCCATGAAGAGTAGAAGCTGAACGGTAAAATTGATAGTAGATATTGAGACACTGATCCCACCCCTGGTCAACAAATACTGATGTTGGGGATTGTCTCGTTTTGTAAAGGTAAATAGGCGGCTACCAGTAATTCAGGTAACCACTGAATGCAGTGCAGGTCCATATATAAATGGATCTGAGCAAACAGTTCATGGGGCGATGTTAGATATGAAACTTAGTAAGAGAAGCCTCTCTCAAGTACCTCTGTTTTCTCAGCATCATGGACGTTTGCGACTACAGTAAGACGTTTCTTACTTTTCGTTTAGCCAACCAGCTGATACAGTGGGGCGGTATCATATCGGTAGAAAAACGGCAATGTTGTAACTTTCTGTAACACAATGCCCAGGATGCACATGTCTAGAAATGGCCTTTTCTGAATACACACACACACACACATATATATATATATATATATATATACCAACTATCAAAGGTAGAGGAGGCGACTGAATAAGATCGGTAGCGGACGCTTAGACGACAAAAACTTAGTAGATGAGACACTTAGACGACAGGACATTTAGCCGACAAAACATTTGGCCAATAGGTTGCTTTTCTTTTTCTTTATTAATTTAAAAATCCAGAGTTTCTTTCACACTAAAATAAAAAAGTAGTACTTATTCATAAATGTTCTCGTTAGATACCGAGGAAACAGCTTTTTTTTTTCAGATAAATATGGACACATTTTTCTAGAACATTGCTGCATGTTTTTTTTTCCTATATGTACATGTTGTAAATTAAACGTGCTGCAGGCTAATATGTCTTATCGGCTGAATCCCCGTGTCGGTTAAATGACCTGCCGAGTATATCTCTGTCGGTTAAAGGCCCTGTTGCTAAGTGTCCGTATCAGTTAAACGTCATGTCGGCTAAATGTCCCTGGTGGTAACAAGTGCGTGTCGGTTAAATGTCCTGTCAGCTAAATATCCATATCAGCTAAGTGTCCTGTCAGCTAAGTGTCCTGTCAGCTAAATGTCCGTATCAGCTACGTGTCCTGTCGGTTAAATGTCCGTGTTAGCTAAATGTACATATCGACTAAATGTCCTGTCGGCTATCTGCTGTCAGCTAAGTGTCTCGTCGACTAAATAGTTTTGGGCTAAGTGTCACGGACTCGAACAAGATTGACACAAGTTTCTAACAATTAATGATTGAAAAAGAAGGATGAGCAAATAAAACAGAAAACAAATAAATTATCAAATAAAAGTAAATAAAATAAATGATAAGAGAGAACGAAGTTATATAAAATGAATTAGTATTTGTACGCAGTAGTATAGTTTCATAAATATAGAGTGGGGAGGTTGTGTCATATTGCTAGTACTTAAAAAAAAATGCAGTTATAAAACAGAAGAAGTCAGTGAATAAGGCAACCCATCGAATATATTATAAACCTTGCAGATGAAAACACTGTAATTTCTAAGACACAAGCACAGGAATTAAATGGCGACCATACTGTTTTATGATAAAGACAGAAAGAGTAAATTTAGAAAGGCATATATACAACATAATTAGATTATACAGCAGGCAGAAATCATGTTATAAATGACCAAACAAAATCGAGGCTGCGATAAAGTCACAGATGATGATGTTTACTGAATGATATATGCTGCTAATGAGATGGCAAATAAATTCCGTAATACAAAATTTAAAAAAAAAATGAATGGTGGAGAGAATCTCATTAAATTATGTAACACAAAATTGTAGTAGTGGAACCTAAAGGATATCACCCAGTAAATTATTAAATGCCAATGAAATGGTAACTGGAAAACTAATTTTAGAGAGTGAGAAAAAGCACGAGTGTTTTATTGCCATTGCCAGTGAATGTTTACAGATAATTATTTGAATTGTTTCGTATGCAGACAGTAAAAGCATTTCTTAATGTATTGTCTGTCCATGTTGTTACATTAGCATCCTCGCAGAGATGAGGGATGGAGGTATTTGGGTTATTGAAGAGCTAATGAAAGATATAGCTCCAACCATTTCTCACGCACATTGGGAATATTCACGAAGACTAAAATATTGCAAGTGCTCGTATAGGTCAAAATGGTTAAACACTGTGTAAAGTGCTCAGAGCCACCGATTAATTTTTCTCCAGTTTCACAGAAGAATTTATGTACCCTTCTTTCTGTTGTTTTCCAATGTCCCAAAGACGCTGCCATTATTTACGAGTTCTTTATTCAGCCCTAAAGTCCAGTTAGCGTTTAGGTTCGAGTCTGAAAGCTACCCATCTAGTGTGCTTGATGAAGATCTGTGGCTCTTTTCGCAATCATATTCGCCTTTTCATTAATAGACTACATTGGGCCTATGAAGCATCGAGATTACGTCATGCGACGATGGGAAAGAGTTGTCTGGTGAAATGAATCATGATTTCTATTGCATCACATAGTCAAAACATTCGTCTTACAGGTAAACAATGCATCGATTTGCGCCCCGCAGGCTGTAAGCAGATTACTGACAGTGGTATTGTGCTTAAGTGATGCTCATATGGGCGTTCTAAGTGATCACCGCATCCCTGAATTTTTTTCTAAATGAGTTTAAATAATTGTTAATAATTTAAGATATTAAAGCAATAATTGATAATTAAAAACTAAAATGTATTTCAGAAACGAATCTGTTTCACTAAGGCTGTAAAATATAATGGGAACAATCATTAAGAAGTCTCGAATAAATAGGGAAAATAACAAATACAGGTAATGCAAAAATTTTAAGCAATTTTTGACCTAGTTCAAGTACCGATGCAAATAAAAAGGTTTTGTTTTTAATAAGCGTTTCCAATATTTTTCGATTATTGCCGTTTTTGATCCTTTATGTAGCTGTTTTGTTTATTTATTCGGATTGTATTTAGAACTGACTTCGTTGTTCAAGCCCCTTTGCAGTAGATTTGTTTCTGGAAACGGTTTTATTTTTAAATTTTCAACTATTAGCCTCAAGTATGGTTTAAAAAGCTGTTCAAAGTTTTTTTTTTTTTAAATTCATCCAGAAAAAAATACCGGAAAATGGTTTATCATGTAGAATTGGGGGGGGGGGGGTCTGTTCCTGAACAAGAGCTGTAATCTTATTTGATGCATTCTTTCATTGCATATTCCATTACTTAATTGAATTTTGCTTTTCTTTTTTATCCTTGCATAATAATAAGCATAAAGATTATAATTTTATAAAAGTAAAGAAAACTTGAAGAAAGTTAATTTAGGTGCTTTCATTAATATGAGTATATAGATTGTCTCAATATATAATAAGATCACCAGTATGATACTAAACTCTCTGAGAAGTCTAGAATGGATCCAGAGAGTAAATAAGATTCTACAAAATCATCTAAACGTTATGTAATGACGTATAATACTTTTGTTTTCAAATTTGAGGTTTAGTTCTAGCCTGAGACAAATAAAAATAATAGCATCTAACAGTTTTTCAACTCTCTTAAAATATTTAAAAAAATTACTCTGTGGCGCATAAGTTCGCGTTTATATGAGAATAAGAAAGTAAGGAAGGAAAGTACGTAGAACTTTAATGTATGTTTCTTTCCTATTATTATATACGCTTTCCATAAATCTTAATTAACTACAATGCTCAAGTATCCTGTTACTTACATAAAAGAGTTATAATTAAATAAATTGCTAGTTAATTTCACTCATAGTTAAAAATTTTATTTATGTTAATTTGCCTGTGATACGTAATATAAAAAATTAACTACTATTGCAAAAAAGAAATAAATATTTTTGAACACATTTATTTAAACTGTATTTTTAGCCTATGTACAGAAATGCTGCAAAACTGGCACTAGGTGAAAATATAGCTGACAATGGTGGTCTGAAAGCAGCTTACTTGGTAAGAAACTCATTTGAAGCTGAAATTCTTAAGACAATAACTTTCAATTATAAAACAGATATTTCTCGCATTGTGATAAAACAACGGTACATAGAGCCATTCAGTTTTGAATGACGTAATCCTCCTATGAATATGGGAATGTGGAAGACCAAATCTGAAATTTAGAATTTGTTTTATTATCGATTTCATATTTTGTAAAATTTTAACGAATTTTTGATTCACAAACTCAAGGATTTCAAAGTGAGCAATGGCAACGTTGTCCAGAAAAAACATTTTTATCTCCAGCGAATCTCTGTATCGGAAATTCTAAAGATATGCTCATTTTAAAACTATTTTGCGCGATTTGCTGTTGAACTGAATTTTATGGTTTTGCAAGACGTGATTTTAATAAATAAATGTAACACACAAATGTTAAAAAAACGCCCCTTTGGACGTAATTTGAAATCTGAAACCTTTGAGAATTTTTATTAAATATTCTGAATTTTGTATTTTATTTATTTATTTATTTTTGTTAAAGTTTAATCGTTAAAGTGAAACCGTTTAAGAAAAAATGCCATGTATTTAAAAAGTTCAGTTCCTAGTAAACACCCGCACATCAGCTAAGGAGATATTATTCAATGTATAGCTTTTGCTTTGCAATAATGATGCGCAATTTCTACGCCGTATATACTTCGGTTTGACTACTACTAGTATCTCTTATCACTTTAACAACGCCGATGCGACCGTAACGTATTTTTCACCCTTACCGTCGTATGGTACAACTAGATAAGATGATAATTGAAATAACGCGGCGCCTATACCATTTTTAAATTCAGTGCCTAAAATGAGAATAAATTCTAATTAAATTTAATTTTCTGGGGCTATTAAAATTTTTGCTCTTTTATTTAATGGTTTTATTTGGGTAACCTTCCTCTAAATTGGAAGCATATACAATTTTTCTTTTTTTTCACAGGCCTATCAGTCATGGGCAAGAGTGAACGGTACAGAACCATTGATAGGAGGATTGAATTTTACACAAAATCAGTTGTTTTGGATTGGTGCAGCAAACGTAAGATCTTATATGCTTTGTAGAAATATCAAAAGGTTACTTAACAGCAAATGTCATTACTTAGTAGCAGATTTATATACCATTTAGGAGTTTCAGAAAAATTCGTGAATGTGTGATTATGTTCCCTAAAAGAAAACTGAATTTTTTATATCTCATTACTTTCTAACAGGAATATAGGAGGGCGTAAATTAAGGCAGTTTAGAAATAGTAGGAAATCGTTTAAAACGTATCTTGGAAAGCACTATTTCTTAACAAAATCAGTTTCTGTTAAAGATTTTTATCTACTTTTTTAAAGGTTTTAGTTGTTCCTTTGCCTTTTGCATGTGTTTTCTTACAAGCAATTCAATCTTTACCGCTGAAAATTACGGTGAAACCTTTCTTGCAGACTTTTGAAATCAAGTAATGTGTGTTTCTTAAAATATTAATAAGTACCGGGATTAATTATGACCTCGTTAAGACAAATCCTCCAAAGAAGTTTGAAATTGCCTGAAACCGGGGATTTTTGTCTTAGAGAGATTTCATTCAAAAATTCATTCAAAAAGGTGATTCAAAAATATCTTTAAAAAATTCAAAAACAGGTAGAGTGACTCAATAAAATTTTATTATTAAATGTATATGCGAAAATGGCCCGTTGAGATGGTAGCCGTGCTGTTTAGAGGTATATAAAAAGTATTCTTCTGGTGTAAAATTATCATTTCACTAGCGATTTTCGAGGAACATGACTACGCGAATGTATAGCTCATTGCTATGTATTTTATCTATGAGGCAGTTCCATTTCCATCCGGATCTGTCATATAGCGATAACATCCGAACAAGGAATGACAATTTAGGCAGCAGAGCACATTTACCTACTGCTTAGCCTCGCCCCATGCCACCTTAATACTCCATTTCCGTACATGCATTCCATTACGATAACCGCTTATTTCGGTTTCCTTTACATTTCTAAGCATTTTTATATCATCCTATATAGAACTCTTAGATAAAGCATTTAACCTCCTAAAAGGTCTTCTAACTTAACTCTATGTAACTGTTTGGTAGCATAGACCAATGCAAAAAAATTAAACCAAATCAATCTGAAACTTTGGGTATATTTGGGTAAATTTAAGAACAGGCAGCACGTCGAGACGGAGAGAAATAATTTAATTTTTTAAAACGAAATTTTTTCATTTGAACTGCAGCTCACCAGTCGCGAAGTTAAAGACGGCTGAATACCAGGTAGTTCGACCTCACTTGTGTTCAAACACAGGCTAAGGAGCTAGCTTCATATTAATCACTCTGACATAACTCAATATCATATCTAGATACAATAGCTATAGTCTCAGTATGTGCTTCATTGTTTTAAATTAAATTCTTATTATAGTGATTCTATATTTTTCCAAGAAAATGTTTTAAGAGTTCCATGTAAAGTACCACTTCCGCTTGAACACATATAGTCAGAATCTAATATACTGTTCTCATTCATGATCGCATTGTATATGCGTATGCGAGTTTTAAAAGTAAACTTGAGAAATTTCGGAATATATCCTAATATATTTTATCACAAAAATATGTTCTGAACCTCAAGTAAAGTATCACCTCTGTTTTATCGGTTTCAGCCAAAATCTGATATGTTGTTCCTCTTAGTATAAAAGTATTAAATACTAAAATTGAAAAGTTTTGCATTATATTTTAATTTGCAATCGTGTGCAAAATTAAGAAAATTTGCACATTATGGTAAATTTCTGAAGCACTAATGAACATATTTTTTAAAAATTTGATAAGAAAATACATTTTTAACAGAGATATAACATTCAAAAGTCATTTTATGTACGTATGATTATCAGTAAAGTTCATAGTGCAGAATGCCCAAAATCCACGTTGTGATACTTATCTGAAAGTTAGTCTAATATGGGGAATAAAATCGCCTCCCATAACCAGAGAGGTCTCGCAGAGTGATGGCATACTGAGCAGGAGGCAGTTGAAGAGTCCCTTGACGATCAATGCCACCCTTGCAGCAAGGCAATTTTCAACTCGGCAGGGTTCTCGAATGGAGATGGCGAGATAAAATCGCCCTCCCAAGAGCGTCCCAGACATGCTTTATTAGTTAAAGGTCAGGAGATCTGGCTTATCAGTTCACGCGGCGAATATCCTTACTTTCCAGGTAATCACGAATTTGCTGAGGCCAATGTGGACGCGCGTTGTCGTTCAATAATAGGATCATTTGCGCACCTGAAAATCGAATACAAGGCTCTAAAGTAACATCTATGTACCCTATAGCAACCACGGAGCCTTTGTTAAACACATGCAGTGGTATGCAGCCGTCCAATATAACATCTGCCGAAATCATTACACCTCCACCGCAATGAGCCGTTTTCCTGATGAGTCAGGCATGGTATCGTGTTCCACTCCATCTCCAGATATAGAATCAGTGTCCAAATTGAATTTCGACACATCTGCAAAAAGCGCGGTGCTCCACTAAAATCTGATTCAAGGCATTTCATTTGTTAATATAATTTTCGAAACATTTGGTGTTCAGCAGCATACCTTTATGGAAATTCAGGCTACGCCCCTGATTATGAATAACAATTAAAACACTATTCACTCACTAATATACATATTTCGTTCACATTGAAAAATTATACGAAAAATAGAAGATCTTACATTCTTCTACAAAAAGCTTCACATTTCTATATCACTAAAAAGGAACTTCACGAAAAACAAGAACAAACCGGCAAACACAAAGCAACATCAGTAACCTAAAAGCGTTATGCCGCCAATTTTTAATTATTATAAACATAATAATCATCGCTTACTCAGCAATGGTGCCATCGATCAACAGTTAGACAAAACAAAAACGAAAACTTCCAGTGATGCAATTATACAAGAATGTAGATGGTTCTCATAAAAATCCATCAAGTTGTCTATTGAAACCGAGAAAAACTGTGTTATTAACGATTAAAATAGCATATGTCTCTGTAATTCAAAAGGAAAGAAAACTCCATTTCGCGCTATTATTGATAACAGCAACATATCCATGGATGCCAACTCTCATTTTCAAACATCGCTAGATACACCTGAAAAAGCAGCTAAAAAGTCGCTAAATTCAGAAGGGAATTTCGCTAAAAGTAGTAACTAAAATTAAAAAATTATAATCCATATTCCACAATAGGTTTTATTATTAATCCTTTTTTAAACTGAATCTTCATAAAAATATAAATAATGTCACAATAGTTATGTCCAAAAAGTTTTCACTGGTCTACATCATGGAAAAAGTGCTTTCTTATGTATTTTTACTTTTACATTGTTAAGGAGGAGTACTGGCAAGGAACAAGCCCTTGCAGTATGTTGTCTGCCCTGCAGAAGCCATAACGACATTTATTGAGTCTAAAAAAAAGGGGGGGTTACGGAGTCTCATCTAGATAATGGATACAAAGGACTATCTTGGATACATATGGCATTCCAAGGAATACACTTAATGGAATACTGTATAATACACAAGAATGCAGATGGAATGCACAAGATTGCACTGATTTAATATAACAAAATCTAAAAATAGAACACAAAACAAACAATGTGCTTATCAGTAAATTAGATAAATCTTGTATACAATGCTGAAATGTAACATTAAATCTGATCAACAGAACACTAAACAATACATACTCTTTTTGGGAACAATCACAGTGAAAATTGTAAGATAGTAAGATAATATTTTGCAGCAAACTAGAATGCTGAGTCAAATCAAAACATAGTATCTAACAATATACTTCATTACATATTTACAGAGCTCTACAGCCAAGAACTTCTATTTTCAAGACTACTGCATTGAACGGGATGCAAAATGTCGAATCTTCTGGCATACAGACCTTATCTTATGAAGTCTTCGTGCAACTGTAGGACTGAAAACGTAGGTTTTTTTGTGGCAGCAGCTGTATCAGTCCTATATTGCCGCGCTGAAAATGCCAAATAATGATCCTCTTTCTTCGTTGTGGATGTTGGTCGATCTTGTCCATGTCTTCTCGATATGAATCCAGTGTCTTGAAACTATCCACAAACTATAAGCAATTGATTGGCGGCATAACATTGAGCTCTATAGCTACCTGCCATCATGATTGGCCTACCTCTAATCAACCGATTCTCCATCTCTCTATATTTTTCCCCTCTATCTGAATTCCGTGATTTATACGTCCGCGGCGTCTTATTATACATGATAACTTATAACATTTATTCACCTTTTTCGAAAAACACGGCGAATGTTGTGAAGAAATACTAGCATACAAACCGCTGAAAACCTCTTGTGTGTTTATATTCCCTAAACAATGACAGCTTCTCAGACACACACATGTACGCTTATGTATTCGAATTTAAATATTTGCAGAGTTCTCTGACGTCATAATTAGTATTATTGGTTCAGTAGGTTTCGTAAAAAAAAAGAAAACTTTCAAATTCTCTTAATTTTACACGCGAATTTAGTTTTTCACTAAAAACTGTTGTAGGTTTTAAGTAAAGTTTCACTTCCGGCAGTTCAGTTTTAACACAAATTTGATCAACTCGTTATATTAATTTTGAAAACTTAAATATGGGATATAGAAATCTTCAGATGTTTGATTTAAATGTTTGGACGAAATAAATCGTCACGTACACCATTGTAAAAATAGTAAAAACGTATTGTGGTGACACTAATTCGCGCTTAGAAACCCACAATCGAATTTCTTAACCAGAAACATTATCTTTCTTACTAATGCATACAGGTTGGCGAGAGGTAAAACATCTCAAATTATGCATCACTACATTTATATATCAGAACAAAACTGAAAACGTAAGTGACATTAATTTTCACAACTGTGAATATAAAGATTATACAAGAACGTTGGAAATTTTTGAAGTGATATAATTACATATTTCGGAAATAATTATGGCAAAATCAGAAATTGAAAATTTGCAGTATAACTTGCAAATAAAAGAATTTTAATACAAGTTGTTTTATCAAAAAAATCAGTATGAACATGTTAACGTTGAAAATGCTCTACCACAAATAATTTCTTCCGGATTTGGAGTGTTTTGGTACTCTGACTGCAGAAGGAAATAAGCTCTTTCCCCGAAAGTTGAAACAAGGGATTAGATGGAATCGGAATACAACTCATTAGTTGATTATATTGCCGTCCTCCTGACTGACAGGAAAATTAGGGTTAAAAAGAGTTATAGTAGGATTTGGGAGCTTTGAGCCTAGGCAGTAATTCGAAGTTGTGAGTTTAAAAGTAAACGCAAAGAATTATTTTCTTTCAAAGCTCAGCGTAGCAAAAATGAGGGGTTGACTTTGATAGGGACTTTGTAAGGGAATTTTTTGCTTCTTTACCGCGAGCTTTAGTGGTGTAATTTGAAGCACGTGCAGCAAACTATTGGGAGATACGGAGTTCAAATTCCAACGAGAGTATTGCTGAGATTTTCTGTTTCTTGCATCGATAACTATCTAATCGTTTTTTAAGTAGCGCCTGAATTAAAATGGGGTATACGACAATTCGCCATCATCTGAATTTAGCGACTGGAGTTCCCAGTCACCTTTTAAATGGAGGAGAATGTAACAGAGTTTTCTCCTTTCATACATTCTGCCTTCCTGGTGTAACTGAATGTCCACCCAAGTATCAATTGCGAAGTCCGGAGTTTGAATCTCGGCAAGAGTTTGCTGATTTTCATGTCTTGTGCACCGATACATATCTAATATCTCAGCAACTTTAACTGCGATTTTCTGCTAACTAACTACACAATACCGAAATTAAAAATATTAGGAGTATGTAAACTGTGACATTTCCTTGAATAAGAATGCTTGCACAAAATTTTCTGGGAAACAAAGATAATGTTCTATCAAAGGCAGTAATAAACAAAATATTTCCTTTTTTTTCTGTAAAACAGATAGATAACATATAAAGTAATAGTCCTGAACACAATTTTTTCATCATAAAACAAACAGATTTTATAGAAATTACAGAAAACTAGTGAAAATGATTCAAGCGATCGGAAAAGCACTTTTTCCCTGCATAAGATAGAAAATACTACGTTAATTTAATGTAAACATAGCCAAGAACATAGGCATCTACAAGTAGATGATAAAAACAAACAATGCTCGCTCACTTCATTTAAGACATTTTACTCATAGAATACTACAGCTATCTCTGTTTTGAGGCATTTGTCTACATCAAAAGGTAAAAAATTCATTTTAGGGGCTAGTATATATAAAAACTATACTTGAAACAATTCGAAATTTACTCCGGTTTATAATATTAAAATATTATTAAAACGTATAGTTTATTTAAGATTTTACGATGAAATATATCCAAACTAAATTTATAAGGTATTTACTCCCTGCTTTAAGTATGTCTCAGTGGTGTAATTATAAGCATGTTCAATGCGTATTCGAGAGGTCAAGGATTCGAATCCCAGAGAGGGAACTAATGACTCAATAGTGGCACCCGAACTGAAAGGTGGTAGATGTAATTCCTTACCACCAGAATTTGGCGATTGGGTCCCATAATTCTCAGTCGTTCTTTAAAAGGGGAAGTTCATAAGGCATTTTCTTTTTCCTTTTCGCATGCCTCCATGGTGTAGTTGAAAGCGTACTCGACAGGTATTCAAGAATTCCAGGGCCGCTGCGCATTTTCCGGTCTCCTGCTTAAATCCTAATGACTTTATACACCGAAGTAGAATATTCATGTCAAATTTCGGAAATAAATTGATATAATATTATGTATTTATTTAAGCAATCAAATATTCTGAGTGATGAATTCAAATAATGCTTAAAAGTTTTCAGTGTTTAATTTTTGATGATGAAAATATAATAAAGCAATCTAAAAATATATTAGTACATTGTCATCATTTATATTAATACGGACGTGCACATTGCTAGAAATATATTAATGTATATAAATATAGTATTTATATTAAATTGTTCCAGACATTGTGCGAGAAATCCAGACAGGAAGCTTTAGCTACTTACAGATTGACTTTTCCACGCGTTCCAGGGCAGTTTAGGTAAGTGTGAAAAGCATTTACAAAACAGGATGTTTTTCTAATAATGTTATGTATATCTAAAAGCATAATACATTTTGATTATTTTTGTCAGAAAATATTACATTTTTAAATTTGCAGATATTTAAAATTGGAGACATCATTTGGAATATTTAATACTTGGTCTCAAATATGAGTAGATGTTTTAAAAAACTGTGTTAAAGATTTGAAACTGTATGCATTCACGCAAATTACATATCTTGTTTCAGAGTGATGGGATCCATGTCTAATCTACCGCAGTTTGCCCGAGACTTTCAATGCTCAGAAGGTACAAGAATGAATCCAGCAAACAAGTGCGAAGTTTGGTAAAAACGTCGCCTGAACTGGATCAAGGTTTAGAAAGGCTTTTATTGGTACAACTTACTCTTACTGCAAGTACGAAAACATAGTGCATTTGTGCTTGTAGTACCAGTATCAGTAGAATCTGAAACATATCAAATAAAATGTTTTAAGCTGTTTTCGTGCATTATGTTTTTCAAAGACGATTTAAACATGAGAAGAGTCATTTTTCTCAACCAACACAAAATATCTTTGAAACAGATTTGTATGAGGAAAAAGGCTACATATTTATACAACTGGTATAACAAAAGTACTATCAGATTAGATGGATGGTTTCACAATTTTCAAACAAAACTCCTTTAATCAAACAGGTGCTTTTCAAAGTTAAAAATACCAATGCAAATCTTGTAGATTCACATTTATAATATATTTCTTACACTAATGAATTTTTTATAGCACTACTAATTTTATAGCACTAACACTTTTATAGCACATTAATTTTATGGCACTAATAACGGTAGCACCTCTTATTTACAGCATAGGAAATTTTTATAAAAACTAACTTTCTTTGCCATGCTATGGGAAAGATAATTAACTAAGTCATTAATCATGATTAAAATATGAAACAGTCGTCAAGTAGCTGTCAAGTTTTATAACACCCCCAAAGGACTTCATTAGTCTGTGCCATGTTGAAAGTGCAACAGACACTAATGAAGATTTCCGAACATTTTGCTACTCCCAAGGCTTAAAGCGTATACCACATGCCCCAGCAGAAAGTTATATATTTATACTACTAATATATTCGTCACTTTTTTTAAACTAAGCAGCAATTATGTTACAGATAAGAAAATACATAATATATAAAAAATATTAACGTGAAGCTTGAAACAGCACAGAACTACTTGTGACAGATTATTACATTATACATTATACATGTAAAATACATGACTGTGCGTTTATCGTAATAAATATGTTTTGAAGTGTAATTTGTCACAGAAATTGTAACACTACTGCAGCAGAAATTTTTATAAGAACACTTTGGAAGGCAGAATTTATAAAGACTGAACGCTTAAATTGAAATACCGATATGTGAAATGAAATGCATTATGATTATGATGTGCTTTCTATTTTGAAAGCCAATGTTGTGAAGCTACTTCTTGGAAATTACTGATACAAATCTTGTACTACATTCATTAAATGTATATTTTAGGCATTCTTCCTGCAAAACAGCTTCCAAGTGAACTTCATGAAGAGAAAAATATTTATTATCTCTCTTCACTAGCTTATTTCAGACAGGTTGATGATGCTGAGACTGAGGATACATGAAAGCAATAGAAGATAAATTATTCGTTGTTCAAAATTCCTGTCAGAAGTTTTGTGCTTGTTGAAACCACTCTGTCACCAGTTTTTCGGTTTGAGGTAATGAATTTTTTTTTTTTTTTTTTTTTTTTTTTTTTTTTTTTATAGACGGCATCTCGTTTCGAATTCAGAACGAATTATTACCGGTTTGCCCCAGAGCTTTCTCGAAGGCAGGTCAAAAGCTATATAAACCCTGCCTGTACGCGGAGTAACAGTGCATCGTGGAGTTTATTGCGAAGAGTATCTTGAGTGCTTTGAGTTCAGAGATTAGCCAGACCGTTCGACCAAGTCGGAAGCTGTACTTTAGTGATTTGCCGTGAAGCTGTCTTCACCTTTATATCCTGATAGCCTGAAAAGGCTGTGTTGCTGATTGTTTCAGCGTGTTTCAGCGTGTCGTAGTTTTTTTTTTTTTTTTTTTTTTTTTTTTTTTTTTTTTTTTTTTTTTTTTGTAATACTGACGAATAAATTGTGTTTTGATTCTTCATCAAGTGTTGTCATCAATCACTCCAAATCCACGAACTCGTAGAAAGCAACATTATTTATTGCAAAATGCTGAAAACATAAAATAGTTCGATATTGTGTAAAAAACAGGAAACAGCTTGCTACAAAAAGAAATACTGTGAGATGTACTCCTTTCAGATAATCTTTTTTTTTTATTCAATTCAATAAACATTCACGAAAATAGCATGCTTCGACAATACTCATTTGTATTAATATTTCACAGAATGCATTTTAAGATAAGAAATAGCAAAATCCTTTTTCGTAACTTACAGAAAATGTTTATTGTTATGTGTGAGCTTTAAGAAAAACGAGAATGGACCAAAAAATTATGTAAAATTTTAATACTTGGATAAAAATTGGATAGAACGAATAACAGCGCTACTTCTGGTTTAAACAGATTTTATCATTTTTTGGTACGATATCGTATTTCAGCTCTTTTAAGCAGAATGGATTGGATTATTCAATTATGGCAAAGCACACAAGGGCTATCTGCCTAAAAGGAGGGATGCCTTCGTGGACGATTTTCTAAAGGTAACTTATACATGGGATAAACCACGAAAACTCCCATGCAGCCAGCCCGTTTCTAGCCTCGGGCCGAACTACCAGTGTTCATCGTCTTTACCGCTCGGCCGCTGGTGGGCTTTAAGCTGAATGAATTAAGTGTTTAGAAAACAAATATCATTCACTTTTATTATACATACTATATGCATTTAAAACATCATTCATTACAATTCCTATATGTACTCTATATGTTTCGAAATAAAAATACTCTTACTGTAGCCATGTTATTATTCCAAAGGGGCTTTGACCCTGAAGAGCTATTGTTTTCGTAGTCCTGCATTATATTTGAAGAAATTAAATAATGAAAAATCTGAATTAAATGTATATATATTTCTCGCATTGTGATAAAACAACGGTATCTAGAGCCATATAATTTTGAATGACGTAATCCTACTGCGAATATGGGCATGTGGAAGCCCAAATTTGAAATTTGGAATGTGTTTTATTATCGGTTTCATATTTTGTAAATCTTTAACGAATTTTTGAATCACAAACTCAAAGATTTCAAAGCGAGCAATGGCAACGTTGTACAGAAAAAACATTTTGATCTCCGGCACTCGAGACTGTGCATCGGAAATTCTAAAGATATGCTCAATTTAAAACTAGTTTGCGATATTGCTCTTGAAATGAATTTTATGATTTAAGCGCGAAGAACGTCATATTTAATAAATAAATCTAATAGACAAAATGTTAAAAAATGCCCCTTTGGACGTAATTTAAAATCTGAAACATTTCAAACTAAATTTAAATTAAAACAGGTTTTCTTTTTTTTATTAGCTTTTCTTAAAATTAAAAAAAAAATAACAATTATTCTGCATTACGTGTTCTTGTTTTGAACTTTCAACAAAAATTTACTTCTTCATTTCCCGACAAAAAGAGTTTCTTGCCATGAAGTGCTTCTTTGCTTTTTTTACCCCTATAATACTCAGAAGCCTTAGTATTACTCAGAATTAAATACTATATACTCTATACGATTACCTTGTAAAATAAGGTAATCGTGTGGATCTGAGTATCCCCTATAATACTCAGAAACCTTAGTATTACTTAGAATTAAATGGCTTGTACTCAATACGATTACCTTGTAAAATAATGTAATGGTATGAAGAACTCCAACAAATTAGTGACACTCTTTTAATATCTGAAAGAAACATTTTTGTTCAGAAAATTATATCTTGTAAACTAAGTTAATAACTGATTCGAAATAAAATATTCCATTATTTTTCTAAATAACAGAAGTATTTAGTTTTCTTATCAGTACAACAAAACATGAAATTTAAAAGAGTATGTACCTCTTAGTGATTACCTTGAAGATTAGCCAAACTGTTAACATTTGTGTAATAGTCGCTGTAATCAATAAAAGTGTTTCCAGTGATTTATATTACTATTTAAAAAAACGCCACTAAAATAATCTTCTACTAATGTCCAAATTTAAAACAAGGAAAAGCCTCTCATCCGGAACTGATAATTATAAAAGAAGTACAAATAAAATGAGTCCAGAAATAGAAACTAAAACACCATTTCTCCTTTGTGATTTGTGTGTCCAACGCAACATATTTCCCACGAGTATTTACTGTTTAATAACCATCTGGTCTACACGATGAAAAGTTGTCTTGATGTTGCTCAGAGTTACAAACCCCAATGTAACAATGAAACGAAGTCAATCAATGCAACAATATTACAAAGGCAATAAAAAACAAGTAATATCATTTCCGTCCAATGCTAAATCTCTCTCATAATAAACATAGTTCTTGTTACATTTACCGTTCCAGGGTTGAATTCCTAAAATACGTAATAATAATAAACATAAGAATAGAAGAAATATGTGTTAAAAACATCATTTTATTTTTATTAGACTTTTAAGGTAAAATTTTATTAGAATGCATTTCCACGTTTGTCTTCCATTTAAAGATTTATTTCCTTTTGCATCTTTAAATTTTGGTTTTCTATAACCAAAGTGAATGTATAATACAAAAGAAAATTTATATCTACATTTGATACGTATGCGGGTTGAGACAAGAAACTTGTGTTGAGTAAGCTGAATGCTCAGGACAGCAGGTTTAATTACTTCTTATACTGATTGTAACTTTGATGAATATCCATCAGTTCGCTTTACGTAGTTTTGCAGTTAAAGTAAATATGGCAGACTTTGGTATGTTCTTCTCTAAATAAAATTCAGCAGTTCTTCTTCAAAATGCATCAAGAGACATAAAACGGACAAAATATTTCTCTTCCGAGGCGCTATCCTCTGTTTCATTATCAGGTTCTTACTCCCAATTTGTGCTTCATTTATTTTCCATCTAGGGAAGTATGTAGGGAAGTATGTAGGCGCATATATGAGAAATAAACATGATAAATAAAATGGTCTCGATTACAATAGTGTTTTATGTTTCACAAAACTGCAAAAATGGAATCCTTATGCTGCTGAATGCAAATTTGATTAAACTTTAAAAATACTTCGAAGCACGATACAGAGAATGTTTTTAAATTTTTAGAAAGATTTCATTAAAGAAATATAAAAAGCAAATGCTTAAGAATAAACCTTCCGGCAACAGATTATTACTTGAAATATTGTGATGTATTTTACTCTTCTTTCAAAATATCTGTTATTTCTATAATCCATAGTTCTATTTGGGAGAGCTTTCGATTTCTATAATGGATTCAAATCACAATTTCCATTAAGTCTTAACGGCCTTTTATTTTCACACATCTTTTATATTACAACATATTTTATATTACATCATATTGTTATATATCTTTTATATTACAACATATTTCACACATCTTTTATATTACACCTATTTAGGGAGGGAAAAGATAAATGGAAATACTTTGTGACCCTTGTCGAAGTATGGGTTTATATAAATGACTGTAAAAAATGTATTTGTTTTAGAAATCGAAGAGGAAATATTATATTTTAACTTGAGCTGGAACTGAAAGAATCAATTTCCTGGTTTCAGAGATAGTAATTTTCTTTTTTTATTGTTTACCGCATTTGGAAATTAAAATGTACAAAACAAAACACGAAAAAATTCTTTTAAACCACTCTGTTTTACCGAAATGCCCTAGGAAGTAAAAAATATTTTTTTAGCTGTAATATGATGCTTATCTTGATGCTTACATATATCCTTTTTAGAATATTACCTCCCTTGTTCTTTGAAATTCTGTTAACAATATCTTTCTAGAGTTTCTATACAGCAATTCTACGATTTTAGTTTGTTACATATGTTAAAAAATATTATGATAGCAAAAAAGCATTCCTCGCACTTCATGCATTCGATTAAAATTATCCAGTTTATAAAGATTTCCTATATTTGTTTCACAAAGTTCTCAAATAGAATAAATCGTATTGAACAAGGAACAACTAGAAACGAACAAGTCATATTTGCCAAATGCCCAACTATTTTGCTTCGTTAACAGTAGGTATTTTAATAGCTGCAGCTCTATTCAAATATTCAGGACCACATTCATACTCATTTTTATTTATAACACATTTTCCTTTATGTTCTGACGGCAATAGTTAAATGCAGTGCATTCAGCTAACTAGTAGCTATCTCTGGTCATTCTGTCATCGTTGTAGCTAGTGTTATAGTAAACTAACAGTACCTTAGAATTGTAGCTGCGTTAAATTAATTTTTTCCCACGTGTATTATGGAACGAAGCATAAATAAAAGGTCTGTTTTTCATATTTCTTCAAGGGTACAATTATCAGCCATTGAGGATATCCGGTTGATAGCGAAACAAGAAAGGAAATAATAAGTATAATAATGTTAATTACATAATGTGACGGAGGTAACTTCTTTTTAATCTCACACTTTACAAATATCACGTTACACACTGCAAGAACTAAACCAAGAGAACTTACACTTTAAAGAAATCAAGAAAAAATGTGGGTCCTCCTTTTAACATCGTTGTTGATCTCATTTTCAGGTAACAAATTCTCTTTCTATTAAAATAAATAAGTATACATAATCAATAACACTAAAATCTCCTATTTTAAATCTGAACAGTAATAATTTTATAGCTAAATTAAATTCAGACATAATATTGTAAACTAACATACGATTGATGTGTCAGTGTGGAAGGAGACGGATATTAATCCTTATATAATATGGCCGTCTCCTTCCACACTGAAGCAGCTTTTGATTCTGAACTGATTTTCCTTCGAAAGTGCATTTTGTGAACTTTTCTCAATATTATTTGCAAAAGTAGCAATAATATATATATAAATAAAAATATGTTTTTACGTAATTTATTACATAGTCCTTAAATTTTGCGTTAAACAAGACTTACTTATTGAAAAATAGGGTACAAAAAATACAGAATTGCTTTCTTTGTAGAATATCGTTTGCATATCAAGCTCGGAAATGTCAAATCATTTTCTTTTGAAGTCTTTTATAGCCTAAACGGGCTATTAGGCTCGAAGTGGCATTTTACATCGAATCACTATAAACGGCTGTATCACATTTCAAATTGTTGCCACCAAATATTATCGCTCTGTATTATATATAAAGAAATTAAATAATGAAGAATCTACATTGAAGTACGCATGTTTCTCGCATTGTTAAAAAACAATGATATCTAGAGTTATCAAATTTTGAATAGCATAGGCCTCCATCCGAATATGGGCGCCTGGAAGGTCGAATCTTGAATTTCGAATTTGTTTTATTATTTATTTAATATTCTTTAAACGTTAAGGAATTTGGATTAAGAAACTCAACGATTTCAAAACGAGCAGTGTCAATACGCTGTACGAAATAAAGTATTTTTATCTCCAGCGCGCGAGACTATCTATCGGAAATTCTGAAGATATGCTGTTTTTAAATGTTATAGCCCAAACTAGCGTGAATCTAAATGCTCTCGAAAGGTATATATATATATATATGTAAAGGGGGAAAAACAACGCCACTTTGGACAGAATATAAAATCTGAAATTCTGATTTTATTTAGTTTTTAAAAATTTGTTTTTATTTATTTTAGTTATTATTTTTGGTTGAAGCATTTTTAAAAATTAAGAGTAACCTCTTTTTTTCTGTAAATATGATAAGCACATTGTAACCAAACAACAGCAAACAATATTAAACAAACGGAAGAAACGTGTAAATTAAAAAAAAAAAAAAAAAAAAAAATTGCAAATTAATATTTTGAGAACTGCTTTCGATACTGTACAAATAATATTGCTATTTGAAAGGAATGCAGTGTAAAAAGAATTTATATTTCGTGTTACTACTGTTTAGGCGTCATTTGTATTGCTAAATGCACGGTTAATTAAACAACAAACTTCAGACACTTGTGTCCGTAATAAACACCGTGTTTAAAAAATTCCCTTCCTGGCCTTTAGTTTAGCAACGTTTTCCAGTCACAAAAGGGTTTTGAATGAAACAGATATTCATGTTTTGTCACTTGCATTAACAATGAAATTTAGGTGTAAGAAGGTTTTGCACTGAAATTTAAAGAAATCAGTTTTGCAAAAATTACTAAGGTCTAACTTTTTTATATGTTCCTCCAGTCTCTATACATAAATTTAGGAAAATTTTGAACTCATCATAGAAGGTAAACAAAAAAAGTGTGACTTCCGTACGAAAAACATTGATCAAGATATTTGATATTTAAAACAAATATTATATTCAGGGATCTTACACATATTAAAGAACGAAAATTTTGCATTTGTACATGATTAAAAATAATTTATCGGATTATACAAGACTTCTCATGCTAAAAGGATATTCTGAAGACCATTTCTGTGCAGATAATTGTGAATTACATTGATCAATACAGTAATTTTGGGCAAATTGGAAATTTTATAAACAAAATCTTAGAGAATTAGTGGTCTAGGAAGTGTTGGAAGACATCCGTATTGGCACGTAGCCCGTGCGTAATATTATTTGCCATAACTGAAAATGAAAAATATTTATGACTTAAGAAATTTTTGTATGATTACTAGATTATTATTCTAAAGTAATAAAACTTCGTAAGAATATCAATAACATAATTTGAGAATATGAAAAGTTATAAATTACTTATGTGGAAATTTTTGCGGCATACCAAATATAAAAATTATAAATTAAAGATTTATAAATTGCAAAATAATATCATTGAATTTCAACGGAGCTTTCAATGCAAAAGGAAAATTACACTGCAAATTTTAAAATTAAATTTCTCTGTCAATTTGTATCGTAGTGAGGTCAAAATGTTTATTTTTAAGGAAGTATTATAATCACAAAAAAATTTTCGGTATCATATTTTAGCGAAACAGATATTATATAAATATATATATATATATTATACATACATAAATAAATATATATATATATTAATATATATATATATACATATAATAAATAATATATATATATATATATATATATATATATACATCACCACTACCTTTACAGTTTATATGTGAGAGTGTTATTAATCGGAAAAGAAATTCCATTTCCTTGTAAAGCTTATCAATGTTTCTGGATGTTTCCGGCATATTGTAATTCTTAAACCAAAATGTATTCAAACCGAAAGTTCAACAGTACAGTTTAGACTTTCATATTCAATTCAAGTGTATCATAAGATATATAATAAAGTAATTAGTATATATTTGTGAAATAATTTGAAATTTTACAACACATAACTGCACTGAAGTGCCACTGGATTAGGGATAGCTAGTCAATAACGAGTTGGGCCTCCTCTGGCCCTTATAATGGCTACCAAACGACGAAGCATAGATTCAATAAGTTTCTGGACCAACATCGGATAGAGCTTTCTATAATTTAGGAAAAGTCGTTAATGTTGCGTGATGAGGTTTTCAAATCTTTCTCCAAAACGTTCGAAAGATGTTCAGTAGAATTGAAGTCGGGGTTTTAGGTAGCCAATGAGAGAGAAGTTAGAAGAACGTTCATCCAACCAGGCAGTATCCAACCGGGATCTGTGAGAGGTGCAGTTATCTTGCTGGGATACTCCATTTCCGTGTGAATGAACTTCTTCGCATGCGGCCAAATATAATCATGCAACCAACTTTGCAACTAAAGCGCTCTCTTATATACGTCACTTGAAAGTAAACTAAAGAATACATGCATTCATTTAAAAGCAAGCTTTGAAAAAATACCATGGTTTCTTCATTCTTCCACTGGTAAGTTTGAAAATGAGCCATTAGTAACCCTAATAAATCTTGTATGAATAAGTAAAGGTCCCCGTGATAATCTCGTATATAACGAATTATATTTGCATCAATATTCGAGAGTTTATTTAATTTTATAACATAGAATTGGCAGCATATTAAATAACGCAGTCAGAAACTGTCCCTAATCTTCAGAGATTGTAATATCTATCAGATAGATGCACCTCAGCTTGAGAACTTAAGCCTAAGAACAAAAGGAAGTTACAACCTCATTCACTCCTTAACACAGAGAAATTCAAACAAAAATTTTGGTTATTTATATATTTTCTTATTAAAACTTAGAAAATGAGTAAAATATTCTTTTCTAGGTTCAGTGAAATCTTTTCATCTGCCATCCGGCATAGATCAGCAGAATGTTCTTTATGACTACCACTCAGATTTCCATATCTGCCAGACACCTGGATGCGTCAAAGCAGGTGACATTATTTTCTTAAATCGTTTCTTCCTTAAATAGTATCATAATGTTTTCTTTTATTCCAACAGAAAATACTTACGTATTACGTATTACGTATATCTGGGGTGAAATTATTCATATAATGCATGGGCCGAGAGTAAGCGGGGAACCACTAGACGGCGCTGTTATGGAAAGCATAAAGCGCGAGACTCATCGTCATTTCTAGCATGGATTTCAGAAGGCATGTCGACGCACTGTAATCAGGAAAAGGCGAACATGTATTTTATATGTGGTCCTGTGAATGGGAATGTTTTGGAAGCCGAAAGACTGTACAGGCAGCGTTTTCTCGAGAAGACACGTGCCAGACCATAAAATGTTAGAGAAATTGCATTCATCGGTGTCTATATGAAAGGGGATTCTTTGTCACTGGCGTACATGATATAGGGGGTGGCAGGAGTGTGCGGAAGCCACAAGTTGTAGAGGACATTCTGCAAAGAGTGGAAGATCGTCCGAATATTAGCACGCGAGAGGTTTCCCGAGCCGCAAACGTGCCCCACTCAATTGTTTTTTAATTATTACGTGACGAAGGATTACACACTACCATATACAGAACGTGAAAGCCTTGATGTAGCCTAGGCATCACACCTAGAACATAGTGTGATACCTACACACTGTTCGCCACATGGCGAACAGTTTCTATGTTTAGATGTTCTCCACGTGATTTTTGCAACAAGTAGCAGCGCAGCCTGATTTCAGTGCACATGTGTTAGTCATGGATTAATGCACCTTTACTCGTGAAAGCATTTCTTTTTCTATTGGCAGACACCACGCAAAATGAGATATTTCACCATGCAGAGTGTTCAGCAATTGAACGTAATCTAAAGGCATCTGTCCGTTGTTTTCTTAGGCATCTAAATTTAATATATAGTCTCACAGAAAAAGTATTTCGTTTTACCTCAAATAAAATAAGATCAGAACAAAATGCTTTAATTTACATCGTAAATTTCTTATTCTTTCCTAATAGGTAAAAATGTTATCCATTGGATTAAAATGGATTGAGACTTAATATGATACCTTGTATATAAACAATCTAGCTGTAACTCAGAACTTATAAATTTGCAATAGTCTCTGCAAAATTCTGCGTAGTTGAAACTATAAAGATTTAAATGGATCATTCTCTTGGGTTCTTATTGTACAGCAGATTAACGCATCGGTTCAGTTATTTGGAGATGTAGCATAGGAATCATTTAGAATATGGTTGATTTTTAAAACTTGTTTGTTCTTCAATTCTTCCTTTTTCCTATTTTTAAAAATTAAACTAATTTCTTTTCATTTCTGTTTAATTTCTAAATAGCAAAGAATACGATGGCTATTCCTAAGCAATGGATGTCTTTATGATGACATTTTAAAAGAAATTCTATTAAACGAACGCGTTTCCCGGGAATAAACTTTTAAGAATTAATGAAAATTTATCAGCTTCGCAAAGCAAATAAAATATTAACCTTTTGGTTCTGATGCGAATTGTTCTCAAAAACATGACTATGTATTTATTCTTGTTTCGATTGATATTTTCCAGGATTAAGACTTAAATTTACTTAATACACGCTTTAATTCTGCAAATGTGTAAAATAAATGTGTTAATTTGAAATAGGCTACCAATCATATCTAAAGTTTTTCTAATTTTTCACTATTATATCAATGTAATTCTTATTTAAATGATTAAAAGCATCGAGTTTTATTTAAAATTAAGAAATCATTCCTGATTTATGTTGGGATTCAAATTTTCTCAAGTGTACCTTGTATTTATTCAATGTAACAGAAATAACATTTTTGAAACAAATAATTGCATATATTTAATATACAAAATGTAACAGATATTATAGATTTTACCCGAATGCCTAAAAGCAACTTTCTCGAAACTTTCTTTTTTTTTTTCTCGAAAGTTTTTCAAGTGGGGACCATTTTTAAAGATTGGAATATTCTATGGACCACCTTATTCATGTTCTCATTGAAAGCAGTGTTTTAGCATATAATGCTACCAACATACTTATATTTTTTCTACAAAATTTAAAAAAACTCGTTTAATTCTATATTGACATCTAGTAATGAAGCTAACAGAATAAAATTTATATTCATGGTCTGTAATCCCAAGCCATTAGATTATGAATAGTCTTACTAACTGAAATTAAATAAAGGCTGGCATTCACATTAACGAAACGGATGAGCCTGCCTATTTTTGCACGCGTCCTCTATATTTGGATGTAAGCTAGTCAACTTTGAGATCGGCAAATACATCGAGTTGATTGAAGCACTTTGTTTGTATTTGAATTAGCTGTCAAAACCCTTGCTCACACCGATACACAGAAGAAAACAAAATTTAAATTTTATTGCACTATTGTACAGTTTTCCATACTCGTTTTCATTGGTAATGAGGTCTAGAAATTAACCATACATTCTGCTTGTAATTTCATTTGAAATCCGGTATCATGCGAGGATTCAATGAGCTGTTCACTTTCTTTCAAGGACAGTTTGTTATTTTGAATACAGCAAAGGAAAAAATCATGATCCCATGAAATATCGTTATACTATTTACTACTTGGAAAATAAGTTTCAGACCGTGATCTCAGAGTTCCAAGATATAAATATTGTTGCGTTTTTCTTTTCTGACACCAGTTGTTACGTTATTTTCTTCCTTGACGTTCGTATGGGGTTCGTGTGAATTTGGAGTGAATAACGACGACACTTATATAAAATATTTTTATTAAGACGACTTGATGAAGTAGCGAAACACACTTTATTTAGCCAATATTAATCAGGACAACTCCAAAGTCACTTTTTACAGTTCTCGAAGATCTGCTATAAATACGCTGAAACTCAGTGACACAGCCTTCACACTATCAGGCAATAACGGTGAAGACAGCTTCACTGCAAAGCATCAGAGTACAGCTCCCGACTCTGCTCGGTTGTTCTTGGAACTCCACGTACTCTCGAGACTCTCCACGCTACAACTCGCGATGCACTCGACGACACACAGAGCACAGGCTCCCAACTCAGCACAGTCTAAGACAAAACTCGACGATGCACTAACTCGCGATACACTAAAAGACTCTCTCGATGCACTCGACGACTAACTCGGTGCTAGACTTCGAGACACTCGCTCAATGACTGTCTAGACGAGGCACACACTAACTGACTGTGGACCAGCAGGGTTTATATGGCTTCGAGAACATTCTGGGCTGGTGTTCGAGAACATTCTGGGCTAAACCGGTAAGAATTCGTTCCAAAAGATTCTCCATCCATCCATGGCATATCGCAAATTTTGTCTCCAAATAGGCGATTTCTCGCCAAATATGGCAACCTTGGCTTAATCTTGCCATTTTATGGCAACCCTATAACTGCTTTGCGGGGAAGCTATTTTACCGTGCCTAGACATTTCGTAACAATATATATAACTGAGTAATTCATTTTGAATTAATGATTTTCTATTTAAATAGATTCTAAGGTTGGAAAGTGCGAAAAATTTCTCTGTTTTACACAACTAACCCACAGACCAAGTTTCCTCTCCCACCCCTCTTAATTTCCCTTTACCCACCGATAACAACTAAAGGGTTACCTTGGAGACAGAGATTTAGCTCATTTAATTTTGAGAATGCATCTTAGAAATATACCAGTATGCTTAACCACGTGTTATAAAAAAGAAATGATGCAAATCTATGTTAATTTCCTTCACAAATTATCAGACTTCCTTTCTTATTCTAAGAACTTTGTTAATACCTCATTCCGCAAAAGCCAGAGACCTTCAGAATGACGAAGAAGCTGTTTGTGTTCGATACCGATGTTATGACAAATTACTGAAACTATTTCGCTGTTCATAATCTTTGCCTTAACAAAGTTCATTAACTTCATGCTGTCTTCGGACGCAGAGTTTTGAATTTAGATAGACATGTCTTTGTCCACTGAGTCTTCTTGTAAATGAAGCAATGGATCCATATAACATCAGGGGCCAAATCTATCACTTTAGCTACAACGCCAAATTGCCTACGACCACTGCCACTATGCCTACATATTTTTTCAGTCAATATCATGCTCTTGCAAGTACTCAGTTAGGAATTCTAAATATTTATTTTTCAAGTCATACAAATTGGCAGAATCTTCTAAAATACCATATCTTCACGAATGCCATTATTAAACTCGTCTGATTCATCACATCAATTGGGCATCATTAGAAACATCTTCCATGCCTTCCATCTGAAATGCGCAGAAAGATTTTTTCCTACTCGTAAGTTCAGATTCTACGTTATTAGCCAAGTCATCGATTCAATGCGTAACTGTAACATTTGAGAGTGATATTATTCCAGTGACCTTATATAATTTTTTGATAAACATAGGTTTAACTATGTCTTTTGCAACTTCAGGGAGTAGTGTCGTACTTACAGAGTTGGATCCCTCACTCTTCGTGATGTAAATAGTAGTGATATAAGGAAGTTTTGGAATCCTTTTTAGCTTCGAAACCTATTTCGGAAACAACTCTGGTTTATTTATTTATTTCTTCAACACATCGTTTGAAATATTCGATAGTTTTCGTTTTTGCACTTACGAATTCCATCTGTAAATGTCGTTTCAGTTTCACAGATTTCATACACTCGTTTGACAGAAAATTGTAACATACAATGTTTCGGTTCACTCTCGCTGCTAACGAAGTAACTCTTGTCTACAAATGTATTGTAGCACAAATATCAGGACAAATATCACTAATACTAATTTCATAATCACACATAGATTCAGCACCATTAGCACTGCCTAAATGAAGGGTTCACCACAGTCCCTTCTTTCCAAAGATCCATTTCTAAGCCGGTTTCCCATTATGTACAATGGGCACTATGTAACAGAGACAACTACTACTGTCAACCACACAAGAAAAGGATTTCAAACAATTATGTAAGTACTTTGCTAACTGATAAACAGCGAATCAACAATCCATATACTTTCTTATAAGTTACTCGTGATAATCTACAAAATATAGAAATAAGGCATTATTCCAATTTGAATTTATTTAAAGTTAACTGGTGGTATATTTTATAAAATAGCTGTCTTAGGAGAAAAAGGGATAAACGATTAGATGTGTGATTTCCAAAGCCTGAGATCATCAACTATAGTATAGCACAGTTAATTTGAATTTTATGTTTTGTGTTTTTTTGGAAATCTAGCAGGACTATAAGGACAAATTTCGAAAACCGCCTGTAGTTTGAGGACCACAGATTGAGAAACGTTCCTTTAAAGTTATCCAATATCGTAAGATTCTGTGCTGTGTGCTTCTCAGTTGAAGTTGAAGAATCTTAAGAACTAATCAGTCAAAAATCGCTTTAGTTCCTGAGATCGAGACAATGAGTAAGAGGGGTGAAATTACCCTTTATTATTCCAATAAGGTTTAACAGAACTCCGTCTTGGAGTTTTACAATAAAGCCGCCACTCGAGCTTGAACTTATGAAACTAAGAACTAAAACCTTGATTTTATTAATAGTTTCATCTTAACTAAAAAAGATGTATAGCAGAAACTATCAGAATTCTAAAGATATAGCCCCTTAGCTCTAAATAACGGCGAAGCTATCAAGGGCCTAAGTATGGCCGAGCGTAATAATAGCTTAAGGGAGAGTAGCCTAAAAAGCCTAGTTATCCAGAATCTCTCACGAAGGTTCTCTCTCACGAAGTCAGTAGAACTTCACGTTAAATACTTTTTGTCATTTGTATTCAAACGCGATTTTAAAATTAAGTTCTGGCCTTAAGTTGTAAATTGAAATTCTGAAAGACAGAAAAGGAACTTTAACTCAAAATTTAACTATTAGGTAAATTAACATAATCCTTACAACATACTGGCAAAGAAAACTTTCGGATATTTCTTGAAACAAGATATTTATTTATAACATAAAATGCATTAATTTAGAAACTAAATAACAAAAATCAGCGTTATATTTGCAAATTTCCACAGGACTAGTTTCAATGGTTCGGTAAAGCCATTTGTCGTTTAACTTCTAAATTAATATTTGTTCGGCATGTTATTTTATCTTAATTATAAAATTCATTGTTAATTTATTTAGATTGAAAATTAAGGGTGGATAATTGCATTTGTATCACGACTGACATATGTCTCTTTCTTCTATTTGCCCCATGTGAATGATTTGCTGTTTACTTCTGAAGTCGTTACTTTATTTTCACCATTTAAATTATTCTAAATTTTAAGGGTAAGACTATGCAGAACTCTTACCCTTAAAAAATATCATTTCTTTAAATTGAATGTTTTTCGCTTCGTTTCAGTTTAAAATGCCTCCTTGAATAATTTCAAGTCGTATGGAAACATAAAGTTTAAAACTTAAGAGGAAAATTAGCTGGTAAAATTTTAGAAAATAAAATTAAACTTAAAAAGTTACATATCATGACTATCTCAATAAGATTAGAAACTACAGTCAAACCTATACCTAAAGTCGCAAAATCCCGCGAAAATCTTCCTTAAATGAAGGAATTCGCAAAACGGAGGTTAAAAAAAAGCACGATTTAAGAGGAACAATTCTTTTAATTTTAAATATAAATAAGTAATTAAATAAAATATTAAAGCAAAATTACAGAAATTAATGTATCTATTCCATCAAAGTTGTGTATCGAAATTGCACAAAAGTTTTCGAAAAATCATGTTACTTTAGTTGGTTTTGATAGTCTTACATTATTGTAAAGCACGGAAACGTCTTCTGGTACACTTCTTCAAACTAAAACTATTTCAGGAAGTATCAAACGCATTTAACATACCTTTTCGCTAAGATTTTATACATTGATTTTATTAATAGTTTCATCTTCTTCCTCATCATGAATCGTTTTCTGGCTGCTATGTTTTACGCTCTCCAATTTGTTCTTTTCTGTAGGAATTCCTGGGGTTTCAACTTCGTTATCTATAAGTAAATGATCTCTCAATTCTTCATTACTCCTTAAATGTCTAATAATTATTATTAAACTATTTCGAAATACCGAATTTTATGGAAATGTCTTTCTGATTTACAGCTTTGTCTACTTCGTTGAGAATGTGCATTTTTTCTTTAAGTGCTAGATTCTTTCGTTTCAACAATTTTATCATTCATTATATAACTAACTTTAAAAAGTATTTGCAATATAAAACGAGAAAAAGCAGAAATAAAAATAACTTGTAGCTCTTGCTTAAGGTTAAAGGATTTGCGAAACAGAGTTGGTTGAGGAATGGTTAACAGCAGAATGGGTATATTCTTTCTCAACGGATTTATGTAAGGAAATTCCCACCTCTAGTAGAATTACACGAAACACTATGCTGAAAAGAAGAATGAAACTGAGTGTTCTTTAAATAGAATTTGGGCTGTAATGCGAAATCTTTCGATATATCCATTCTAATTTTCTTCGAAATGTAAAGGCTTCCATGAAGTGAACTTCAGTCTAAGGCTAAACTGTGCCTAATTTTATGTCACTTCTTCATCAGCCGTATTACAGGAAACTTAATCTAAATGCTTGAGATTTGTCTTAATAAGATTTCAAAAAACATTTTGACTCCTAATATGACTACCCTGGGCTGGAGGTGGAAGCTATTAGTTTTCCTAATTCTCACAGATATAGTGTTTCTTCACTACTAAAGAAATAAAAGAATGATGAAGAGAATAAACTTCAAAATATTTGCTTTTATATTTTTAAAAACTTAAACGGTAATTAACATTAAGGAGACAAAACATCGTTTGCTAACTGAAACATTTTCGCTCACCTTTCAGCTGCTGACATCTTGACCAATTTGGACGAAACCGTGGAACCTTGTAACGATTTTTATCAGTTTGCGTGCGGTGGCTGGCTGAAGAATCATGACATTCCTGAGGACCAAGTTTCGGTTTCTACTTTCTCAGGAGTTCAAGATGATCTTGACCTGAAACTCAAAGGTTAGTAAATATGCTCAAGCTTTTGCCAAATCTTTTGTTAACAAGTATAATAAATGTCCATCGTAAAAAATCTGAACTGCATAAAAGTTGAGACTTCGCATAGCTTCCAAATTAGGTAAATATATCAATTCCTTCGCTAAAATGTAAAGTTCCTATCTTACGGAAAATTTTGCGTGGGGTAGTTGAGAAAAGAGATACGCACGCATACGGATGTTCAAAAGGGAGATGTTCTTCCTTAGCCAGCAAAATGTATATTAACATATTCTCACACCCAGTTTCTTTATATAATCTAACTTATATACATTTAATAAAATAATCAGAAAACGCCGGCATGGACAACTATCTTAAGAATCTTAGAAAGCTTCAAGTGGTGTAAAGCAGATACCTTCGCATCATTACAAACGCCCATTTTCTATGTACGTAACAAATGTTTTTACACGATCTTAAGATCGAACCGTTGGCGAAGTTTCTCAGAAAACTCAATGAACGCTTCTATTAGGAAGTACAAGAATGTAATACAATAAATCACTTTGAACTTTTCAGCTACGAGATTCTTTCAAGCGGACCGCCATTTGCGTCCATTTACGGCTTTCATGCTCAACGATAACCAACATTTTTCCTACATAAAGTTTAAATGTGCTTTCACATCTGCTCCATCGAAGATCTCAGCTGAATATGTGTATATAGCATGATTTTGACTTCATCCTCATCACTCATTTTATGCAAATAAAATGGACTTTGTTTCACATTCTACACGCCTTTCCATCTCATATCTCTTCCCCAGGACTCATTTAGGCATTTCTGTACCTGCATCGCTACTTGAAGCAACCAACTGAATATAGGCGGTATACAAAGCCGGTACTTGCACTTTTAAAAACTAAATGCGGTGACAACGGCAAACAGAACGGAGCGGAGCAGAAAAAGTTTCTGTTACTTTTATTTGAAACAAAATTGCTTCATCTGCTTTAAAGCAGTATTAGAACCGTATGTTGAATTCTGAATGATTTTCGTAAAGCATGAATTAGCTAACTAAAGTATGATTGTTCACTGTTCATTCAAACTTTACTTTGACGATGACTTTGTAATAACACACTTCTAGATGACCGATTACTGTTAACTGCAAAAAATGAACAGCTTTAACTTTCTTAGTATTGTAATTTAATTTTCTTAATTCCTGACTAATATAAGCCAGTGCAGAATTATATGCAGTAACGATTCTATACATGTGTCGCTTCTACGCCGTCCTGTAGGCATGCCGGTGTTCATTCCGTCAGTGTCGGGACTGTAATTACGATGGCTCTGCGCAGGTGACAAACATATATTAATCCAATGTTAAAATTGAAAAATGTTTATTATCAAAATTCTTTTTACAGTGTCGATAGCACGTGGTAACTAGTGTCAGTCATATGCTGATATCGATCTGCTGCTATGAGGGCTAATCTGCGCCATGTCAATGACCATCGAAATTTTCTCGATCAAACGCAGTGTCCATCCTGTCAGAGGAAACCGTAATATAAGCATTCATACAGCACGTAAATGAAACACCATTACTTTAACCAACCGAAACCATTACCAAAACTTTGGCATTTTAACTGCTAATTTTTCACGATGTTTGTAAGAGGGCACATCATTACAAACGCGAATAGACTTGCGGACACATGTATTGATTTGTAACCCTAATGTAAACTTAAGCGTTAATTCGAAAAATTTACCCTCAGCGTACCTAATTTACCTTCAGACATTTAAATAATTAATTTAATAAATAAATTATTTCTTTCAAACTAACTTAACATAATTACTCAAGTGATTTATTTAATGGAAATGTTCTTCAGTGCTTACAAAGAAAATAAATTTTCTAAAGTTAAAATGCGTAAAATAATCTCCTTGTTTTTGACGAATACTAAACAGATAGATTTATAAGCAAAATTTCAAATTTTTACACAATTTTCACAATTTGTGTAAGCTGTAGAGTCACTAGGTTTATCAAAACAGAAAACGTGAAATATTAGCAGGATTCGAAATCCGAACCTTCCGATTGCTTCCAATTACACCACGAAAGCAGGCCGTAAAGAGGAAGAAAATACCTTACACTCTCCCTCTTTTCGTTCATCACATTTTACCTCAGGCTCCACACGCAGAGTCATTAGGACTTTTATTGGAGAAGGAAATGTGAAAAACGCACAATGCCGTTGCCGGGATTTTAACACTGGATCCCCAATTACTAGCCAGACGAGCTTCAGGTACACCAAAAGGAACATGGTAAGCAAAAATAACTTTGTAGGGACATTAGGTTAATTGGAAAAATTAAGGAGATGAAAAATGAGGAACCGCTTTCGTCGAGAATCGAACCACGGACCTGCGGAATACCGGCCCAGCGTGCAGAACCACGAAGGTACGCTAGGAAGGCGGGAGAAATACCTTAGATACTCCCCCCTTTTAAAGGGCGACTGGAGTTTTTAGGGGACCCAATCGCCAAATTCTGGTGAGGAGTATCATCATCCAACATCCTTTCAGTTCGGGCGCCACTGTAGAGAGAGGTATTTTGAAAGCAGGTGAGATGAAAAATTAACAAATGACTTCGCCAGGAATAGAACCACGGACATCTGCAGCGTGCAGAACCACTACAACACGAAGGTACACTAGGTAGGCGGGAGAACTACCTTAAAATCTTTCGAAGTTAGATGCAAATTTGACGATTATCCTCATTGATAAATTGACAGTGAAAAATGGCGTTAATTGTTTAGATATTTCTTTAAAAATTTCAGGAAAAATATTTATATTTAATTGTGTGAAATAATCATTACTTGATTTTGCTTCCAGCTCTGTTAGAAAAAGAGTTGACAGGAAAGGAGCCTGATTTCATCCAGATGATAAAATCAATGTATGACAGCTGCATGGATTTAAGTAAGTTTGACTTAGATTTTTATCGTCATATCATTTATGAACTTTCATAAATAATATAAAGAACTTTTCGTTGTTTTTTGCCTTTTATACTTGTGATCTACATCTAATGGAAATTTAGGTGAACACTCGCAAAGATGTAAATTTTATTCAAGCACCATACTTTCTTTCCTGTTTACCCATCTATCTATGGATCTAGAGAGAAGTTTTAAAATAATTTTACCGACTTACAGCGACTTCGGGAGCTTAAGAATTGAGGGATTTAATTGTAACGTTTCCATATCAAACCTTGGCATAACACTTTAACAACACGTTTTCTGTCATAACCGAGAGATTTGTCTCTGCTTATCTGTACGGCGAGGGCATGTTAGCCTGAGTTATGTTGCTTGGATTTCTTCCTTCCGCGCTCCCGAGCTCTCAACCAAAACTATTCATTGTCAGATGAAATTTTTCCTGCTTCACGCAAAAGTCATCTTGGGAGACCTTAATGTGCTATTAACACCAGGAATAAGTTACGTAGTTAAATTTACTGACTTCACCTTTCATTATTAATTACAGCCGAGGTAAAATTTCTTCCTTGATCTAAATGTAACTGAAAAGGCGTTCCGATCCTGGAAACGTAATGCTATATTATTACCTCTGCTACCGTTACAGCTTCTTCATCACGAACACGCTGCGCTTCAGGCCACTTGGTGAAGTTATCAATGAGCACGAAGATCCGATCTACGCCTGCCCCGAACTGTTTCTTTAACAGTTCGAGGCAGATGCCCCAGTATGTCAAAGGACATTGAAAAGCGCTTCAACATTGTAACGTCGCATCTTCCCTCGGCTGCGTTTCTTCGCTCCTTGCTGACCCACATAGGCATCGAAAGATTGGCACCAATTTGCACTCCAGCATTTGCAATTCTCCAGTAAAGCGCTTTGGAACTCTATGCAACACCTTCATTATTCCGTAGTGGCCTCCTGTTGGACCTGGACTGCTATGTATTTTTTGAAGGACATACAGGATATCGAAAGTATCAGCTGCCAGCGGATTACCTTTATATCATAAAACTCGAGCTTCCGGTACCAGAAGCCGTTTCGAATAAGGAATGAGTCTCAGAGATCCCAATACTGTTTTGTCTTAGGATTAAAGATCGAAATGATCGGCCAGATAGGTTTCCTATTTGAAGATTTCATTAGAATTAATGTAGTTTTAATGTCGCCATCTTCTAACTATTCTTTCCTGACTTCTTCGTCGATCCATGGGTGTGGGTCAGACGATGTTGAAGTTGTAACGTTTCGTGTGATCGGATAAGCAGCAGTTTCGACCCATGAACATATCATCAGCTGTCTGGGCAGGATCTTCTACACCATGTGATGATCACATGTTTTCCATGTGATGATCCCTTCTAATGACGGAGAGCTATGTCATATTCCTGGAGTTTATGTATCCACCTCGCTATTTGACATTCGGCAGTTTTGAAATTTAAGAGCCAGTTCAACGATGCATGATCTGCGGTAAGGAGGATCTGCCGTAAGTTTGGAGCAGGAATTTCCTGCTGTAAAGCTAATGATGGGAATGTTCTACGCCTTTAACTATGGCGAGCAAGTCTTCTCTGGAGGTATAGTAATTACTCTCCAGTCTCCGGTTTAGATAGAGAATTGCTTCTGTATGCTACGACACGTTTTCATTTGTTTATTTCTTGGGGCAAAACAGCACTGACACTCTCATTGCTCGCATCCATATCTAGAATAAATGGTTTGTCGAGCTGAGGATACGTCAGGATTGGAGCAGATATTAAAGCTTCCTTCAGTTTGTTAAATACATCCTCATATTCTTTTCTCCACAAGTACTTTTGCTTGCTCTCTGTCAGCTAATGAAGAGATCTTGCTTTGGCGCAAATGTCTTTCACAAATCTTCTATTGTAAGTGCAAAGTCCCAAGAAACTTCTCAGCTGATGGACATTTTCGAGGCCTCTCCAATTTTTATATGCTGGCACTTTTTCTGTATCCGTACACGCACCTTCGGTAGATATAAGTCTACGGTAAGTCACTTCCTATCTGAACAATTTACATTTGGTTGGACTTAATTTTATATTGGTTTCCTTCAATTTCTGAAGCACTTTTCTGCGATTTCCTAAATTCTCTTCAAAACTCTTACCGTTGATGATGATGTCATCGAGTTATATCAGAAAGGCTTCTCAGGAGAAACCTCTCAACAAGGTCTCCATGAAGCGTTCGAATGTTGGCGGTGCATTACGTGACTCCAAATGCATTACTTTGAACTGCCAAAATCCTTGTCCGGTAGTAGATGCCGTCGTTTCGCAGTCATACGTGGGGGGGGGGTAACTCTGCCTGCCAATACTCACTCTTTAAATTAAGCGTTCTAGGAAGTTCTAGGACTAGTTCTAGGAAGAACAATTTTTCTTCGTAACCGTTCAACGGGCGGAGGTCAACCCAAAATCTAGTTGAGCCGTCTTTCTTTATGAATAAGAGAATGGGATAGGGCCAAAGACTTTCTGAAGGCTCGATGAAGTCACTTTTTTGCATGTCGTTAAGAAGTTTCCTTCCTTTTCCGGTTTAGCAATCGGTAGACATCTTGTATGTTGCTTTATTGGTGAAGTATTCTCGGTATCAGTTCTATGCTGTGTAAAACTAGTTCGACCTAGGTCAGAAGATATGCTTTGAGATAACCCCTTAAAATTCTGTAATGGCAAGTTCGGCAGCACTCCTTCTTCATTGCTTAGTTATGCATTCTACGATAACTCCGATGTTAGAGTGTCCAAAGGGACAGATTCTGGAGGGTTCCTGTTTCGTTTAACATAGGTTACCGAAGTACATAATTGCAGTGCACATAATTGTTTGAGAAAAATTCGTAAGATATTCGAGTATTTAATTCAGTGTGGTTGAAATGTTTCTGACATATCAATGAAATTTAAATCTCTTTAAATTTCAGAACATATTTAAAAATTTTAATCTTCCTAACATTAGCAATAATAATTGTTGAATTCTCATTTAATTCGGCTTTCAGTCACTAAGACAATTAGCAAAACTCAGTATTTTTTTGCTGTTATATTCTCTATTCTGTGCATGTATGAAATAGTGAATGAAGAAGGGCAACATTTTTCACCAGATGCTAACAGATGAATTTTATGAAATGTAACTTTGTTTAAATTATTGCACGCCCAATTGGTAAGATTTAAAAACTGACTTCTTCGTTTTTTTACCCATTTCTAGTAGCTTCGAGTACGACTTTAAGCATATTGAAAAGAGTAATTTCTTCAATTAGCTACTTAAACGCTTTGCCATTATCTCTCAAATAATTATTGCTTTTTTAAACCAACAATGAAATAGAAGGAAATAAGTAGTCTTAAATTTTATAAACCTAACTATAGTTTATAAAAAAGGCATTTATTACACTACATTACATTAAAGCTTTAGTGCAGTTCTTTTTCGAATTTTGTCAAATCTCTCAATTGTGATTTCACTTGACATTTTCCGATATAAAATTTAAAGAAAAAGGTATAGTTATCTCATTGAAAATTTTACATTTTACTGTTGGAAAAATATATGCGAATAATTTTGGGGTAAATTTGCAGAGAGGGCATTTAAGATCTAAGGACCGATAGAAAAGAAAAACGAAATTAAGCGTCAGTCAGGCCTGTATGAAAGCAAAATTAGTGATGATTATAGGTAGAATATTCAAATTTCAAGAATCGTTAAAAAAGATTCGAAATTCGAAAATCCGAGTCTTAGCACATCTTTTGTCATTCAAAACCTCATCCAAAAAACCTCATCCAAAAAACTTTTAAATAATTTAACTTCAAACTGCAGAAAAGTGAGTTTCAATAAATTCTTAATCAGACAAATATTTGACTGTTAAAATTTCTTAAGAAAGTACTCCATACTTAGAATTTATATACTCCAAATAATCCGCCCCTTTGTTACTGCTTTCAAGTAAAAAAATTTCGGAAAATATAAGAATTTTGAACTGTTATTGGATATTTTAAAACAATTCTGGCGTTCAAGAGTTTTAATTACGTGTTTCTTTCACTAAATTTCATTTGCGTCTTAAACAGTATTGTTAAACTTATTTTTCATTAAACGCAGATCTGTAACTTTGCTTTAAGTAAAATCTAAAATAAAGGGTTTTTTTTTTCTTTTTCCTTTCTTTTTCTCTTCCTCTCTTTTTTCCTATTTTCTTTTTCACATTAAAATTTTTTTCTGATTGTTTTAGCTGCATGATTCGACAGTTTCGAGAATTTTCTGATTGTTTTAACTGAATTATTCGACAGTTTCGAGAAGATTAAGGATTTGTATTTTAATAGCAAAAATTTTATTCTATCTTTACTCACCTACTATATTCTGCATACAGACAGCATTGAGAAAGTAGGCAGCAAACCTTTGAAGAACGCCCTGAGCAGCCTTGGTGGTTGGCCAGTGGTAGAAGGTGAAGGTTGGGATGAAGCCTCCTTCGACTGGATTGACACTTTGATTCGGTTCCGTAGGATGGGCTATAGTTTTAACTCCTTGATGGTTTTGTCTGTCTCTGTGGACATAAGGAACAACACGGCTCATAATATAGCGGTGAGTTCACGAATTTTTGATATTGTATTTATGAAATGATTTACTGCCGCTCTAACTACATTATACTATTATAAAAGTGTGAATGAAGGCAATTATTTTAAATGATTCATAAAATTTCATCTTAATAAAGCTAAAAGTAAATTATTTACCAGATTAAGGATGTTAATAAATGCAAATTTACTGCATACTTGAATGTAGTTAACTTTTGAAAGTAGTTTTTAGAGTATGAAACAGCTCCTAATGTACATAACATAATATTTTGGTTTTTAATGTGGACCAAGAAGTCTGTCTGAACTCTTGAAGAGTGCTTGGAAAACAATGTTTTATTTTTATTAATAATTAATGTACATATATGTAAGATAAAAATATATGAATCAAAATTATAGATAAAACTATAAACATTAATTCTTCCTCTCTATTCTAAAATCGTAATAACTTCTTTGCATTGCGTCATTTCTAGATCACTCTATGATCGGCTCAGCTCTGATGACGTAATCATTGGGAACTGAAACTGTCCTTGAAAACCAAAACTTTTCTCTTCGCGTGCCTCCAACTTGCATAACTATGCACTTCAGCTTTTGCTCTCTACTGTGCTAAGATGTAATTTCGCTGGCTTGCTTTCTATCTCAACAATATCAAAAATGTAAATCTTCTGTGGAAAGGCACGACTAGAGTGCCAAGTGATTGTGGCCACAAATACCAATTGGAAATAAAAATGGAATTAAAACTGCCTCGACTGCCAAGTTCTTTAAATACTACACAATCAAATTCTTCTTCAGTATGGGTCTAATCACGCATCTACAGTGTTCCGTCATTTCCTTTGCTTTTATTATGACATATATATATTTCATCTATGACCTTAATGAGAGAAGATATTTCTGTATAAACTATTTCAATTATAAAAAGTGCTTCAAAGTTTTTAAAATATTAAATGCTAGCTGGATTTTTATAATTTGAATACAACCGTAATCAAATAAAATTAACAACGAACTGTCATATTTTTACCTTGTAGAGACATTAGGTTAATTGGGAAAATCAGAGAGATGAAAAATTAGCAATGCCTTCGCCGGAAATTGCGCCGCGGACCTCTCAATTACGCGCTGACCACTGCATCACGAAGGCTCGCTAAGAAGGTGTAAAAAATACCTTATAACCTCATCAACTTTATGAAGTCTGTCCGTCTTCAAACGTTAAATTTGAAATTAACAAAAGTGAAACTTTCAGCTTTGTGACGGAAATTTTTGTAAAATTTTAAACGCTCGACTTGTCTTGATTCCGTCAAATGAGAAATTTTAATTGGCTAAATTACCTACTAAATGGATTTAGAGTTCTTTATATATTATAGTTTTACCTAATGAGCTTCTCAGAATTAAAGTGAAGCTGGGTGGTCATACTGAGCAATAGGCTGCCACCTGCAGCGTACAGTCACTGCTGTGCAAACATGTTGGCAGCAGTGGTTGCTACAAAGAAACTGCCGACGAAATGTAGGCTCTGGAAGGCCAAGGAGCACAAATGCGAGGCAAGATAGGATGATTGTTCGCCAGGCCCGAACTGCCCCAACGGTATCATTGTCGACTATTCAACGCACTACAGCCACGTCTGTACCTCCCGTGGTACCGTCCACCATCTCACGGCGCTTGTCTGAGGCAGGGTTACGCTCACAGAGCCCTTTAACCTCTTCGTCGTCCGTAACACGTCTAGCGCGTTCAAATGAAACTTCCGCAGGGCGGCCGTAACGCGCCTCAAGCGTTCTTCTACATTTTAAAACTTATAAACGTTTAAAACGCTTTCTAAATGTTTACTTGTTTGAGTTTTTATTTTTGTTTGTTCTAATACCTCCTAGAGGGCAGGACTAATCAGACATTCTATTTCTAATTGAATTTGCTCAGGGTTTTATGAATATTCGCGCCATTTTACGTAAGACAGTGAGAGATGGCCTTCAACGGCTACTCAGCAGAAAAAGAGAAAAAATGAGGTTGTGAATTGGAAAGACAAGAAGGATATACGTTTGATGAGTACAGTCCATAATAATACGATGATTAATGTTGGAACACGGAAAAGAGCTGTAAAAAAAACAATAATTGTAAAAGATTACAAAAACAAAATGGGAAGAGTGGATCGTCTGGATCAGATGTTATCAAATTATCCTGCTGTTAGAAATAAGCAGAGATATATTATTTTCCATCATGCTTTATTTCCTTATAATTTTACTTAATATTCATTGACATTCATCCGCTACGAAAGTCATGTATGGAAAGTTATGATGTACAGAGGAAACAACATTACACGCTACTAAAAACAGACGGCCGCTGAGAGGAAATTTTCGCGGACAGGAGAGGACGGTGAAAGGGTTAAGACGTTTGTCTGACCCCACAACATCGGCGGAGTCGTCTGGAGTGGTGTCGCAGCCGATCATCGTGGCTGGCATCAAACTGGCATCGTATAGTGTTCGGCGATGAATCCCGCTTCACTCTTCAAGAGATGACCACCGTGTCTGGAGAGGACAGGACCAGCGGTCCCAATCAACCTTTGTTTTACAAAGGCATACAGCTACAACCCCTGTTTTGATGGTGTGGGGCGCGATTTCTTATGACTGCAAGTCATCTTTAGTCATCCTTTAACAGCTCAACGATATGTTGATACCATCTGGCGGCCGGTTGCACTACTCTTCATGGCACATCATCCAGGAGCCATTTTCCAGGCCACATACCGCTCGCATATCTCTGGACTGTCTCCGTGCGGTTGCTACTCTTCCTTGGCCAGCAAGGTCACCAGACCTTTCACCTATCGAGTATGTCTGGGGCATGGTAGGCCGCCAGATTCGGGCACCCCAAAATATCACAGATCCGGAGCGACAACTGATGAATGCCTGGCAGAATGTGTCGCAGGATGACATTAGGAACCTCTACCACTCCTTGCCTCGACGAATTCAAGCATGTATTGCCTCCAGGGACGGTTCGACCAACTACTAATGTGAACACTTAATGGGTGATTGAGCCGTGAACAGGTACTATGACCTTGATTTTTTAATCATTTTATTATCTGTGTATGAGCTATACACATATTCAATTTCATCAAAAACGACCAATACCTTCATGGTGCTTCAATTTGTTTGCAAAAGAGTGTACTATAAAAAGAATGCGTCGAACCTTTTCGTTTTTATTCTTTGTATGTATTGTCTTTATCTATTTTCAGATACACTGTGTAAAAATATTTGGTAATTGTAAAATTATTGTAATAATTTAAAGAGTTATCAAAACTGCTAAAATTTTTGGCGACTCCCTGCTGCAAATCTCGCACCTCTTGGGGGTCGCGACCCACAGTTTTAGAAACCCTGCTTTAAACCATGTTGCAGCTACAACATGAATCATTCCAGTGTTACTTGAAGCTTTGAAAGCTTGGGATAAGTGCGATGCCCTGGGGTAAAGACTGAAATTCACATTGCCAAATAGCACTCTGGGGAAATCTGAGTCTTATTAACATTTTCGTACATATTTAGCATTTTTCCGATGAGTGTGGTATGGCGTATTATATCTAGAGCTTGTTCGAGTTGCATGAACAGGTTAGAGTAATAAACAGCTGTTGCCATACCTAAACTTAAACTTTTCGTCACTTTACTTTGATTCACCTAGTTTTTCAGCCTTTTGCGTCATTGGCCGAGTCATTTTAGAGCTAAAATGAAAATCTTAGTTACAAACCTAATGGCACATATATGTACCGGTAATAATACGGTTGGTACACTGCGCAAAAAAAAAGGGACAGTTCCATATCTCCCGTTCAACTGGGCTGATTGACGAAATTCAACTTGCGTTTTTTATATCTCGAAAGCGTGACTTAGGCTATTCGTTAGCGTTATATATAGCATTGTTCTAATATAGGTATTTTGACACAAAATCGGACTTTTTCTAAAACGGCATGCCACTTTTTTTTTCCATATTTCAATCCTACGACTCAAATTACGCCAAACTACGAAGTATTGTAAAAATCGCAAGCGTAGTTTTTAATAAATTAGCTCTCAAAATTTTAGCTCATCAATGTTAATTGAGTTCGGTTATTGTTAATTTATTAATATCTCTTTTTTATTAAATTTATTTGATTCTACCTTTCAGGTTTCGAAATTCAGGTTAATTTCAAATAAAATTCTTCCATTTTTTATGATTTATTTTTAAAATTTGTATTTTTAAATAATTCTTATAAATTTTTCAAAAAAAAGTTTTTGAATTATGATTTAAAATTTTTACCATCATCTTAAAGTAAACGTATTTCTAATAATACCTGCAAAAAATTACAGTTTTTATTCAAAATTTCCAAAGATATACGTGCATTTATATACTGGCACGTTTTGAAATTTGGCATATTTGTTGAAAGCTATAAAACATCAAATGTGTTTAGACACTTTCCTAAAATTATGTGGAACTAGAAACGATGTGTCTTTTTTCCCGCTCATGCACAATGTAAAAAGGTAGGAACGAGGTGCCTTTTTTCCCGCTTCGGCATGGAAGGGAAAGGAAAATTGGTTGCCAGATATTAAGAAGTTCGCCAAGTGAAATATTCTTGAGGCAAACTGAAACAAAAATGCGCCAAGATAAATTTTTAATTTCTCGCTGAATGTCACACAAAATTTTACAGAATTTAATATCTAGGCATAATTTGAGTCGTAGAATCAAAATATAGAAAACGATCGGTGTTACTTCAGAAAAAGTCCTATTTTGTGTCAAAATACCTATGTTAGAGCAATGCTATATATAAATCTAATATATATCCTAAGTCGCGGTTTCGAGACATGAAAAACGCAATTTGAATTTCGTCAATCGGTTCAGTAGAACGGATAACTGTGGTCACCCCCTTTTCTTTTTTTGCGCAGTGTGCATATATATACCAGATAAACCAAAAGACAAATAATTTCTAAAAGCTAAGTAATTCATACATACCTGATATTCTATAAAATAAAGTTTATTTCTTGCACACATTTACTGTAAAAAGTATAATACAGGCGCTTACAGGTACTGAGAAACATAACCTTACATTTAGTGAAATCGGCATGATGTTTTTATACACTGGAGTGATGTCGTGGTACTTAAACTACCGTAGTGGTACACTTTTCGTCTATTTATAATGTTAAATATGTCCTGCAGGTATTTTTAAATATCAGTGGTACACACATGTACCCTTCGGTACGAAAAGTTTAATATTCGAATACTGATAAATGGTTCTTTTAAATATGATCATTAAGGTTATTTTTTCAAAAAAAAAAAATATGGTTTGCAGTTTGCTTCTTAATTAACCAGGAAAACATGCGTATAAAATAGCGCATTTATTCTTTGTAAAATGTTCATCAGAGTATCTTCCCACAAAGAAGAACTTTTAAAGTTTCGTCTCATATCTAATTCTTTTCAAATTGAAAATTTCATGCAAATTCATTCTTCCTTTTTCAAGTTGGATCAAGCATCATTAGGATTGCCAGATCGCACATATTTGATGCGAGGATTAGATGATCCTGTCACGGCTGCTTATTTCAGATTTATGGTAAAAGCAGCTAATAAACTGGGTGCAGATGAGCTTACATCAGAAGCAGAGCTTCTGGAAGCCTTCAAATTCGAAACTATGCTCGCCAATGTAAGTAGAGATTCTTTTACTGCTTCATTCAATTTTATAGGAAATATTTTTTGTTATGTTACTGATTTTACATTACCATTTATTTACCATTTTATTTCACTCATGTTGTTCCGCGTTAGGGTGAAAAATTTCTTATTATTATTTTAAGTCTTGTGTATTTTGAGTTACTGTAATTCAAATTAGATTTTTTATTGAATTATAGTGAAAAAAGGATTCTTCGTTAGGTTTCCTCTATTGCTCCTTCCTAAAAACGGGTTATTTCCAGAATGAAGAATTCCATTTTGACAAATTTCAAAATGGCGGCTTGCTGGTAATGTTGTGAAGGAGGAAGAGATCAATAAATTTCAAATAATAATAATTTTTTAGTCCAAAGGGACTTGAGTCCCGAAGGACTATTACTTTCGTTTTGGCATTTTGCGTCGGACGGATAAATGTTGGTTCACTTTTCAAACTGTTGCCATAAAATGTTAGAGTCCTGCATTATATTTGAAGAAATTAAATAATGAAAATCTGCGTAAATGTATGTATATTTCTCACATTGTCATAAAATAACGATACATAGAGTCATCGAATTTTGAATAACGTAATCCTCCAACGAATATGAGCATGTGGAAGACCAAATTTGAAATTTGAAATTTGTTTTATGATCGATTTCCTATTTTTTAAAACTTTGACGAATTTTTGATTAACAAACTCAAGGATTTCAAAGCGAGCAATGGCAACGTTGTGCAGAAAAAAACATTTTTATCTCCAGCGCGTGAGTCTCTCTGTATCGGAAATTCTAAAGATATGCTCGTTTTAAAACTATTTTGCGATATTGCTGTTGCACTGGATCTTATGTTTTAAGTGCGAGGAACATGATATTTAATAAAGAAAGGTAACACACAAAATGTTAAAAAACGCCCCTTTGGACGTAATTTAAAATCTGAAACATTTCAGATTTTTTTTTTAAATTTATACAAATAAATATAAATTAAAAATTACATTTATTTTTTTTCCTAATTGGCGTTTAGGTTTTGTAAAAAAGTTATGTGTACTTCGAAAAAGAAACATTTATACACTCAATATCATTTTTATACTTTCCGTGTCACGTAAGCTCAATGAAATTTGAAACCTGCCATTATTAATGGTTTATGCTTCAAAAATTTCATCTTATTACCGTAAACTAAATAGTCGTTCTTTGTTGAAAGTAAAATTTCGGATATCATATTTCAACGAAAATATCCATTTAAACGTCTCGAAATCATTTGAACGATTTCTTTCCGTGACATCTGTAGGTACCTCCGGATTGAGTAAAGTACTTTTTTTTTTTTTCCAAAAAGGATTGCAAAATGGGTTCGAAAGGGTTCTTTTTATTAAATTTTTATTGATGCGTACGTGCAAATTATCACCCTCTTACTGGGCTCGATGAGCGTTTTGATTTTATTTAGTCTTATATGCTAAATTGAGCATTTTTTGCTTTAAAAGTAATTGAATTATATTGTTCTTATGTTTCTGTTAAGGTTTATATGTCTTTAGTTAATATCCATTCAATAACAGTAGAATTATTAATAATTTAAAACTGCCAGTATGCCGCAATTTGTTTATATTTGAAGCTCTTAGTAAAGCAGTAAATTACGTCAGTTGGTGCTACAACTTCAGTGTCTTTTTGTGCAATGAAGCAGAATTAAATTTTCAATTTTGTGCACTAAACCTTTTGTCTTCCTGCTCGTTAGTTGAACTGCTTGTTTTTGCGTACAAACTCTAAATTTAGTTGTAGAAAGTATTCTTTTAACTAGTTTTAGCTGTATTTAGTGATTTAGGTTTTTTTCTAAATTTTACAATTTTTGATGAAGATCTTTTGAGATTTTATGTAGTCTTGTTTTGCCGCAAAATGAGAATTCAATTAATTAAATGAGAAATTTATCTCTAATGAAAGTCGAGGAAATAGGTTTAAATAAAATACAGCACAATATATGCCTAATTTAATGGGTTGTACAAGGAATTCATGTGGTATCCACATCGAATTTCTTTCGTTAAGAGTAAAGTTTCAAGGAATATTCATTTTTATACGCTAATTCATCAAATGGTTGCAGATCCGAGATTTTTCAAGTATTTTTCCAAAAATTGTTCTGCATTTGGTTCACCCAATGGGAGATGGAATAACAGATTTTTAACAAACTAGAATGACCGCTTGCTTTACATTCTGTAGGTGCCTGAATTGAAGAAATATCTCAAATTTAACTTGGCTCATGCTTAATTTTTAAATATTAGTGCAAATTAGTAACATGAGAACGTAGAGCGTGAAACAAATTTGAATCCAGTGGTTGATAAAAATCCGACTAATGTGTTGCCATGATGACGAAACAGCAGAAATAAAGTTACTCACATTCGTTATTTTATTGCCTTTTTGGGGTTTTAACTCAAGGGGTACCATATTCTGTAATGGTGTTCTAAAATCAATATAAATATTTTTGAAACTCTAAGTATGGAATAGGTTTCGAAATGGGAATTCAGTGAATTACATAATCTTTTTCAGCTTTTAAATCTTTGCCTGTTTCAAATTCTTTTCGCTTTGAACAATTTCATATATTTAGCATAAAAGAACTTCAAAGTTTTACTCTGATTTCTATAGAGGGAGACAATATAATACTGTAAACATTCAGGACAATTTTTATATTAATATTGGGTAACATTTTAATAAATGTGCTTATAAAGGAAAAGATTAACTTAGAGTTTGTTGTCTTCATGTTGAAAATCTATTCTTATTTCATACTTTCACATCGTAGACGAAAACATATTCTGTAAGAGCTAATACATAAGACAGAAATTAATTAATAACATCGCATTTTTGAGTAAATGGTTTACTAACAATAATAACTAAATTGTTAGTAAACCATTTACTCAAAAATGCGATGCTTAACTTCAACATACATTTAAGAAAACATTCATTCCGAAAACACGATGATATCCAGAGTAAAAGAGTTTGAAATTTAATGAGAAAATATCAGTGAATGTAATGTCGTCTCTGTAGAAACACATATTAGTTGTGTTCAAGTGTCAGAGTTCCATTACCAAGTATACAGGTGACAGGTGACGGAGGGCGGGGACGCCTGAAGCTTAACAGAGGTTAACAGGCATATGTCCCGCGTCCTCCCCTGGAGTTTATTTAATAGTTATAAGTGTGGATACATGGCCATACAGGGGCAACTGTTTAACATCTGGCATTTGAAGTACATTTGAATTAACATACAGGCACGATTTAAAAAAAAAAAAAAAAAAAAAAAAAAAAAAAAAAACATTTAATAGGTTATAACAATGGTGTTCAATTTTCTTCTGCTCCCTATGCAGTCAGAGATTAGATGGTAGAGCATTAGAGTGCATATGTCAGTGCAAGTAATGCATGTAAGCCCTATTACTCTGGTTGACAGAGGTCCTGGCCATATGCTGCAATGGTGGTTATTATTTTGCAGATTTTATTTATGGCCGCTCTGTTTTTGGCTAGGAACTTGTGAAATGCTGAGATATTGGCTGGTATCGGGAAGTGGAACTGTTCCGTGAGTGGGCACTGAAAGATATAATGGTCCGGTGACCCCTCAGCCCCGCAAACACAGCGATCAGTGGTTGAGATGGGGCGGCGGTAGTAGTAATCCGGGAAGGGACCATGACCAGTAATGAAGTTTACCAAGTATACAAGAATCCCGCTCAAAATGTATTGCCAATAGAGGTTAAAGAAACAGACTGTTCCGTTTGCACACATTCCGTCCAGAGGAATGTCCCGCCCTTGAATGATAAGAGTGAATAAATCAGAATTCGATTACTTTATCTCTCCTGCAGATAAAAATTATTTAACAAAATATGAAAATGTTATTTAGTAACAATCCTGGTCTTCTAATAACCTTGCGCATACAATGCCTAATAAAATACTATGAAATTTTGTTCACGAATATAATACGTTCTCGAAGGGCATTCATCACTGGAAATGTTCCAAGATTTAAACTATTTTCACCATAGGATATAATGTAAAATGTATTAACTAGTTTCTGGACACAGATGATTGCTAATTTAAACAGCATTGTGTATATAAGTTCATAGCGCAAATCAAAAGGAAAATAATTAAATATGAGGCAAACGCACGAAGATAAGGACTAATCATCAGATAATTAAAAAGAAATCTAAAACAAATTTCATAGAGAAGGTAGCCAGCATGAGTGGAAGATAGTGAGAAAGGCAAAAGGAAGAAATGGTACTCTTTAGATGAAGAATCGTCTTCGGCGGGCACTTGCCTATAACCGGCATTGCCCACACCTAAGGCCAGGAGTGGTGGTCATTTTATTGTGGAAATACCTAATAGGCGGTCACCGTTACCTCCTATGAAGGGACAGACTCTCATCCATGCCTTCTCCGGGATTCGAATCCGGGCTCTTCAGTATCGTAGTCAGGCTCCCCTAACCACTATACCGTTTGGGCGGCTGTCTAGTATTCTTAGCGAGCACAAAGTAATCAGACGTCAGTAAACCGTGTAAGGAATTATTCTTAAATACAACAAAGTCCAGATAAAGGTGTAATGGACCCTTTTTTAAATGAATATTTTCATTGGCACCGACTCGTGCTAACAAAAGCCAACAATTTTAGCTTAACTCAAAAGGTAACAAGCAACTTAGACTAGAAATAACTTAGCCTAACGGCTTTTCACAGGTCACCTAGTAGAGACATTAGAATTTTTGGAAGCAGGCAAGATGAAAAATTAGCACCGCCTTCGACGGGAATCGAACCACGGACCTCTGAAATACCGGCTCAGTGTGCTAACTACTACACCACGAAGGCACGCTAGGAAAGCGGGAGAAACAACTTATTACTTAACGCGCAGGCAGGTTCTGACTCGTAAAAGCGGCGTAAACAAGCTTAATGGCTAGAAGCGCTCAATGCCACAGAAAATTAATCGCTAGTAAATCAAAGATGTCAACGTGGCCTTCAAGCAGGTGGAACATGCTCTCTCTCTAAATTCACCTTCCCTTAAATACTATTTTATTTCTAGCTCATTTGAAACACGGGCACTACCTCATTTACATTCTGGCAAGAAAGAGTGATTGAAAGTGAGAGTTATAAAAATTGACTGTTCAATAACTTAAATAAATTTTCACAACGCTCCAGACCTTTCGAACACGCGTCGAGTACATTTCCAGTTACCCCACGAAAGCGTGGAGAAAGGAAGAAGAAAACACCTTGTAACCTTCTGGAGTAAAATATTAAATTCGAGCATTTTCACTATTTGTTTTCTTCTACCAAGATACACAGATTTATGAAATTGTCGTTTCATTCGAACCTATGGAAAAGAAAGCTAAATTAAATAAAAAATATTGATAAATCTGCGTGTTATTACATAAAATAAAAAAAATATATGTACTCATCGTTCGGAAAATTATTAAGAATAAAATTCTAAATTTCATTTGGAATGGAAAAGCCTGTTAAATAAATTGTTCAACAGGAAATTCAGTCATCAAATCTGTTAATCAAACACTGTCTATACTCCGTTAACACTGCCTATGCTGCATTGAATACATCAAGAATAAATGAGCATTTGAAACCTATGAGCCCTTTGCTGCCGCCGTTGTATTTTTTTATTCCAATGGAGCAGCAATTAATCTAATTAATATGTTATGCACTTTTTAAATTGATTAACTATTTCTCTTTCAGATCTCTGCTCCAAAAGAAGAAAGACGAAACATTGGGAGTCTGTACAACAAATACACAGTTAAAAAGCTTATGGAACAAGTACCACAGGTAAACTAGTTTTAAAATTTCTTGCTATTGCAAATGCAAATTTTTTTTCATCTTTATTTTGGTTCGTTGGTATCAAACATAGTAAGTACTTATCTTTTAAAGTTGTTTTCTCCTTATTAATTTTTCTCTTTTTATGTCTACTATAATCACTTAATCAAATCCATTAGGCCTCTAATTTGATCTTTCAAACGTAGGAGAAAATGTTGTCTTTCCTTCAAGGTTTGACAAAGTTTCTGTTCTGGGAATCTCACTTATGTATTTTTACATGAAATGCTTTTAGGGCAACATTTTTTCTGAGCAGGACACATTGCGAAATTGGCAACATTGCGGCATAACCTTACCGATAAGATACGAAGCACGAGGATGGAGCGAAAAAGACCAGAACGAGAAATGGAATTGGGAGAATCAAATCAATCGAACTGCTCGCTTCTTTTATTAATTTCTTTCAGTCATCGTTTTTAAATTTCCTAAAATCTCTTTTCCTTTAAAATAAAATTCTAAACTAAAAAATACACAAAAATTTGGGAAACGATAAAAATAAAGTCACTTTTTATGAAAAAAAAGAACAACATTCTTTTCTTCCCTAAATAGTAATCGAACTTTCCTGATACGCTTCTAACAAGAGCTCGCGGTGTGCGAACTTTCTTAGGACTCCATTTTGTCGAATCAACATTCACTCACTCAAAACGTGAACAGCTTCTTTGAATCCTTTCTTGAGTGGATTTCTAATTTGAAATGTCTTTACATGTAACACATTAAATCAAACTCTCTTTGAAACTTTGGGGTAATACTGGTTTTTAGCAGCGATGTATTAGCCTTCTCATGCCAGTTCCTTGATGTATCCCAAGTTGGACCTGACGGTTGTGATCCTGTAGATTGATTTTCTCGTATGGAGGTGCATCTGAAAGAGGAAAGAATGTGAAGCACCTTTCTTCTGGAAGTTAGCTGCTAGACTGGTGTATTCAAAAAGGAAGGTACTCCTGATTGGTCCATGATCTTATTTTAGGAGATCAAACTCACATTAGCAGTTGTTTGGCAATCAGAAATTTACTTTTCTTTTAAAAGTGAGTTCTAGCATATCTGAAGAACATTTACCTGAGCTTGGTTTATATTTTGTAATTTTATATGCTTACGTATCTTTTGCTCAAGGTTTGTGTAACTGCGATGACATGTGTTACTTAATCTAATTATTCAGTTACGACTATTCTTCGTAACAATTCTTCTCATTTCCAGTTTCAGTTCACTATGAAGTGCTGAAACTGCTTAGAATAATGCAGAGGAATTTTCTAAAGAGAATACAATTTTGAAATAGTAATATGGCTCCCAGAAGATTGACTCTAATAGTACACAACTTTTGTAGTATTATTATATTTCTGTTCAGTAATATTTTGATTTTATCCCCTAGCATTTTTAAAAGCATTTTTGTTTAGTGTATACGTACTGCATGTTATTTATAACATCTTTATTATTCTATAGTAGTGAAACTCTTTTGATCTTAAATATACACACATTGTAAACCGGTTCACAATTGAAAAATATTTAGTAATGGAAGTACATTTCTTGATACTTTATTATATTTAAAGCCAAGTGAAAGCTGATGTACACTTAGAAGACTGCATTCCGCATACGAACTGAAAAGATAGATTGATGCCTGTTGCCACAAAGTTTAAAACAAAAGTTTGTATAATGAAACAGCTATAAACAACACTGCCAAATATAAAGAAACCACAGTCTTCCCTTGCTGAAAAATTTCCACTAACTTGAATATAATAGTAACTAATCATTCAAGTTCTTTAAAAATAAGAAGCGTAAAGTTGCTTCGTATTGAGAATACAGTGGCTTTAAAAATGGGGATAAATTTATGGGCACTGTCAGATCTGAATTTCCAGGTAATGATGCGTGATGGCCATCTTTGTTTTTAGGAGGATCGAATTGCTGAAACTCACTTCTAGACTCCGGAACATTTTCGCGATAATTATGCGTCCCAGATCTTTGTTTGAGCCTTGATTTATGTATAAAACAAATGAAACGGACTTTTCTGGAATTTCTGTATTTTTTCCTGAGTTGATTGATATGCCTCTTGAATGTGTATCCATTATTTCGAAGTGGAGTCGCTTGGATTCTTAAAATATTGTACCAAATTTCTATATTAATTTTTTGTTGTATCATCTAGCTTGTAGTTGATCTCTGAAGCTTAATTTTCCAGGCTTAACTGCAAGATCCCATTACTTTTGTTAATCGAAATGATTCAAGAAGAATATGAATATCAACATTTTAGCTGAATTATGTTACAGGCTAAATATTCCTCGGTACCGGAAAAAAATTCTTGTACTTTCTATGCATAAAATTTGGTTCGCCAAAAACCTCTCTCAATTGGTTTCTTTTTTTTAACGTTCATTAAGTCAGTTGGTAGCAGAATTACGTAGTACAATGAGTTTCTGAAAAAATTTGCTTTTCGTAATGAATTCATAGAACTTGTTGCTAAAAAAAATAGTGCCTTTATCTAAATCCATAACTCGAGTCAAACCAAGAAAGCCAAAACTATCAGTCAAGAGTTCATACTTTGAATTCAGGGAATTTCGATGTTGCGTCAAAGAGTATTACAAGTTATCTTGGATTGCTACAATTATATATGTGATTTCAGTATGCATAGAGTACTAAATTTATTTTATATCTGTCATAACTGCATGGATTTGAAGCGATATCTTGAATATATTTTCTCTTCATATATTCTTCAAATATATATAAAATGCTAATTAATTATTTTTTTATAATATAATGATGAGCTAGTTGCTTTATTTTTGGTTGCGCCAAGGCGAGCTTGATGTAGTGAGTGTGAAACCATTTTCACTTTGGTGTTCGATCAGTTATTAATATTGAATTTAAACAATTTTTCTTCAGTTTTTTTTTACTTATATTTTATACTGTTACTAACGTTTAATGAAATGAATGAATGAATTTGAAGAAAATGACCGATGTGCAAATAAATATGTGAAATACTTTTCGTTTGATTTACAATAGATTGATTGGCTGAAATACATCAATGGACTAATGAATGATAAAATCTTTGAAAATGAAACTTTGATTGTTGTTAATCCAAATTTCATCACGAGATTTGCTGATCTGATCACAAAAACGAATAAGAGGTAAGGCAAAACCCGAATGGCTTCAAGGTATGTACAGATGTACCTAAACTGATTTCTATTAGCAGTGTACCAAAAATTACCTCACACAGTGATTACTCGCATAAAATTAACTCTTTGATTTATTTAAGATAGGGAGTTTGTAAGATTCATTTTAATTTTCTAACCCGTTATTTTAAGTTAAATTACTTTTCTACCAAGCCTCGTTTCATTTCCCTGTCAGAACATAGATTTCCAGGGCGCGAGATATTCAAGTTAGGTAGAAAGAAGAAAGTATTTAAAGGGAGGTTTTGGAAAGTAAAAATAGAGCCTATTCTGACTGCTTGAGGGTCAAGCTGCTAACGTTAATTCTATCTTAACGTTAATTCTGTTAGAATTCTATGGCAAAACGTTATTCGTGCCATTTGGCGTTCTTTCGCCGACTTCAGAGTCAGCTTGTGCGCTAGTTAAACTGCAAAGCCGTTAGACAGTATTTAAACTTCATTAATTTGATCCTTTATCTTTGATTTAAGCCAAACATTTTGGCTTCTGTAAACACGAGTTGGTGCCGTCTGTTAAATTTAAATTAATAAATGTTAATTTGGATTAATAAAAGGGTGCTTACACCGTTTCATGTCTCTGTGATATTTATAAGACACATTGAAAATTCACTAGCTGTCTTTTAGAGGTCTGGTCTGATTGTATGCATCTCAAAGAAGACCAGATCCTATAAACTAACTGCTAAAGAAGGAATGCTTTCGTGAAAAACTTTCTAAGAAATTTTCTAGCTGCATTAACGTTACGCATGTGGATAAATAAGGAAAATGCCTTGTTGCGGACCATTCGCCGAGATTCGTTCTCAAGTCGAAATATTAATATTAAAAAATCTTATCCATAAGCTGATGTTCCTCATGTAAGACTTCACTATCAATTCAATCACTCTCAGTGTCACAAATATCCAACATCACTATTCGCTTTCACGCCGCCAGCTGTACGAGATTTAATATTGTTGGTTTAGGTATAATTAATCGAATGTTCTTACTGACTTCAGTACGGAGCCTGGAAGTTTAAACAATAGTAAGCATACAAATTATAATATTTGTTAGTTATGCGAAACAATCTCTAATGATTTTATACTAAAGATAGTATACCCTTAATTTGGCTTGAAATAGGTAGTATAAGATACTAACTGCATTCATTTCAGATTTCACTGTGATAAGACGCAGATGTGCAAGTGATAATTTTTATAGATACGTTCTTCAAAATTGTCTATTTACTGTGTAGAATTATTTCTAAACGTCATTTTCTTTGTCGGATATGTCGGTTTAATTAGCCTCTTCAGAAGACGTCTCACATTACATCCACGACTGCCCACTCACTTCTCTCATCAGAGCCTCCCTTCCTCGGCTCCAGGGATAACATAGTCTCAAAGACCTTCTTCAGGATTACTACGGACAGCGGGGAGTCAGAACTATCATACAGTATGTCTATTCTAAGAGAAACATAGTTATAACATCCACAACTGCCCACTCACTTCTCTCATCAGAGCCTCCCTTCCTCGGCTCCAGGGATAACATAGTCTCAAAGACCTTCTTCAGGATTACTACGGACAGCGGGGAGTCAGAACTATCATACAGTTATGTCCTATTCTAAGAGAAACATAGTTATAACATCCACGACTGCCCACTCACTTCTCTCATCAGAGCCTCCCTTCCTCGGCTCCAGGGATAACATAGTCTCAAAGACCTTCTTAGGATTACTACGGACAGCGGGGAGTCAGAACTATCATACAGTATGTCTATTCTAAGAGAAACATAGTTATAACATCCACGACTGCCCACTCACTTCTCTCATCAGAGCATCCCTTCCTCGGCTCCAGGGATAACATAGTCTCAAAGACCTTCTTCAGGATTACTACGGACAGCGGGGAGTCAGAACTATCATACAGTATGTCTATTCTAAGAGAAACATAGTTAAAACATCCACGACTGTCCCACTCACTTCTCTCATCAGAGCCTCCCTTCCTCGGCTCCAGGGATAACATAGTCTCAAAGACCTTCTTCAGGATTACTATACGGACAGCGGGGAGTCAGAACTATCATACAGTATGTCTATTCTAAGAGAAACATAGTTATAACATCCACGACTGCCCACTCACTTCTCTCATCAGAGCCTCCCTTCCTCGGCTACAGGGATAACAATAGTCTCAAAGACCTTCTTCAGGATTACTACGGACAGCGGGGAGTCAGAACTATCATACAGTATGTCTATTCTAAGAGAACATAGTTATAACATCCACGACTGCCCACTCACTTCTCTCATCAGAGCCTCCCTTCCTCGGCTCCAGGGATAACATAGTCTCAAAGACCTTCTTCAGGATTACTACGGACAGCGGGGAGTCAGAACTATCATACAGTATGTCTATTCTAAGAGAAACATAGTTATAACATCCACGACTGCCCACTCACTTCTCTCATCAGAGCCTCCCTTCCTCGGCTCCAGGGATAACATAGTCTCAAAGACCTTCTTCAGGGTTACTACGGACAGCGGGGAGTCAGAACTATCATACAGTATGTCTATTCTAAGAGAAACATAGTTATAACATCCACGACTGCCCACTCACTTCTCTCATCAGAGCCTCCCTTCCTCGTCTCCAGGGATAACATAGTCTCAAAGATCTTCTTCAGGATTACTACGGACAAGCGGGAGTCAGAACTATCATACAGTATGTCTATTCTAAGAGAAACATAGTTATAACATCCACGACTGCCCACTCACTTTCTCATCAGAGCCTCCCTTCCTCGGCTCCAGGGATAAATAGTCTCAAAGACCTTCTTCAGGATTACTAACGGACAGCGGGAGTCAGAACTATCATACAGTATGTCTATTCTAAGAGAAACATAGTTATAACATCCACGACTGCCCACTCACTTCTCTCATCAGAGCCTCCCTTCCTCGGCTACAGGGATAACATAGTCTCAAAGACCTTCTTCAGGATTACTACGGACAGCGGGGAGTCAGAACTATCATACAGTATGTCTATTCTAAGAGAAACATAGTTATAACATCCACGACTGCCCACTCACTTCTCTCATCAGAGCCTCCCTTCCTCGTCGCTCCACGGGATAACATAGTCTCAAAGACCTTCTTCAGGATTACTACGGACAGCGGGGAGTCAGAACTATCATACAGTATGTCTATTCTAAGAGAAACATAGTTATAACATCCACGGACTGCCCACTCACTTCTCTCATCAGAGCCTCCCTTCCTCGGCTCCAGGGATAACATAGTCTCAAAGACCTTCTTCAGGATTACTACGGACAGCGGGGGAGTCACAACTATCATACAGTATGTCTATTCTAAGAGAAACATAGTTATAACCATCCACGACTGCCCACTCACTTCTCTCATCAGAGCCTCCCTTCCTCGGCTCCAGGGATAACATAGTCTCAAAGACCTTCTTCAGGATTACTACGGACAGCGGGGAGTCAGAACTATCATACAGTTATGTCTATTCTAAGAGAAACATAGTTATAACATCCACGACTGCCCACTCACTTCTCTCATCAGAGCCTCCCTTCCTCGGCTCCAGGGATACATAGTCTCAAAGACCTTCTTCAGGATTACTACGGACAGCGGGGAGTCAGAACTATCATACAGTAGTCTATTCTAAGAGAAACATAGTTATAACATCCACGACTGCCCACTCACTTCTCTCATCAGAGCCTCCCCTTCCTCGGCTCCAGGGATAACATAGTCTCAAAGACCTTCTTCAGGATTACTACGGACAGCGGGGAGTCAGAACTATCATACAGTATGTCTATTCTAAGAGAAACATAGTTATAACATCCACGACTGCCCACTCACTTCTCTCATCAGAGCCTCCCTTCCTCGGCTCCAGGGATAACATAGTCTCAAAGACCTTCTTCAGGATTACTACGGACAGCGGGGAGTCAGAACTATCATACAGTATGTCTATTCTAAGAGAAACATAGTTATAACATCCACGACTGCCCATCAACTTCTCTCATCAGAGCCTCCCTTCCTCGGCTCCAGGGATAACATAGTCTCAAAGACCTTCTTCAGGATTACTACGGACAGCGGGGAGTCAGAACTATCATACAGTATGTCTATTCTAAGAGAAACATAGTTATAACATCCACGACTGCCCACTCACTTCTCTCATCAGAGCCTCCCTTCCTCGGCTCCAGGATAACATAGTCTCAAAGACCTTCTTCAGGATTACTACGGACAGCGGGGTCAGAACTATCATACAGTATGTCTATTCTAAGAGAAAACATAGTTATAACATCCACGACTGCCCACTCACTTCTCTCATCAGAGCCTCCCTTCCTCGGCTCCAGGGATAACATAGTCTCAAAGACCTTCTTCAGGATTACTACGGACAGCGGGGAGTCAGAACTATCATACAGTATGTCTATTCTAAAGAAACATAGTTATAACATCCACGACTGCCCACTCACTTCTCTCATCAGAGCCTCCCTTTCCTCGGCTCCAGGGATAACATAGTCTCAAAGACCTTCTTCAGGATTACTACGGACAGCGGGGAGTCAGAACTATCATACAGTATGTCTATTCTAAGAGAAACATAGTTATAAACATCCACGACTGCCCACTCACTTCTCTCATCAGAGCCTCCCTTCCTCGGCTCCAGGGATAACATAGTCTCAAAGACCTTCTTCAGGATTACTACGGACAGCGGGGAGTCAGAACTATCATACAGTATGTCTATTCTAAGAGAAACATAGTTATAACATCCACGACTGCCCACTCACTTCTCTCATCAGAGCCTCCCTTCCTCGGCCCAGGGATAACATAGTCTCAAAGACCTTCTTCAGGATTACTACGGACAGCGGGGAGTCAGAACTATCATACAGTATGTCTATTCTAAGAGAAACATAGTTATAACATCCACGACTGCCCACTCACTTCTCTCATCAGAGCCTCCCTTCCTCGGCTCCAGGGATAACATAGTCTCAAAGACCTTCTTCAGGATTACTACG